TTTTTTTATGTAATTTTTCGCGTACTTTCCATTTCTGGCCTTAAAAATTACTTACAACCACTTTTCAAGGCGCTAGGGGGTGAAAATAGGGGTTGAACGGCCAGCGGCGCGCTCTTTCCTTGGCTGTTCCTCGCCAAATCTTCGTTTTGATGTCACCCATCACATGTTTTCCTATGTAACTTTTCGCGTACTTTCTGTTTTTAACCTTAAAAATTACTTACAACCACTTTTTAAGGCGCTAAGGGGTGAAAGTGGGGGTTGAGCGGTTGGCGGCGCGCTCTTTCCGCGGTTGTTCCTCGCCAAATCTTCGTTTTGATGTCACCCGTTACATGTTTTTCTATGTATTTTTTCGCGTACTTTCCATTTCTGGCTTTAAAAATTACTTAAAACCACTTTTCAAGAGGCCATGAATTTTTTTTTTTTTTTTTTTTTTTTTTTTTTTTTTTTTTTTTTTTTTTTTTTTTGAGTTTCTTTAATGATTTCGTATTATTCCCTAAGACCTATTCGTGCCGTATATTTTCACGTTTTCTCAGTGTACCTCCCACGTCGCACGAGAATAAACGCATGATTTAATCCGAACATAAATGTTTACACGTCAAAATGACATGGCAAATATGGGGAAAAATCTGAGATATGCCCCGGGCAGTACATTAATCTGATTAATAAAAAATCTGTCCTTTACTTCGTTACTTATTTTTTTAAAAGCAGACATTACCAGCCTACAAGCCGTATTTAAGGATATTATGACCACAGATACATTTACACATTCACGCTGAGAGACCAATCGTTACCCTAATTAAGTCATGGGAAGTATGAAAAATATAGAGCTATGGCAACTTATCCATTTAAAAAAGTGCCTCTCCCCCCTCATGAAAGCTTTAAAGCTTCACTTGATGATTCTGCCATTATTCTACCATCTCCCTTCTACGAACTCTCGTCTTTGCATATCATGTAGGCGTGTAAACATTTATGTTCGGATAAAATCATGCGTATATTCTCGTGCGACGTGGGAGGTACACTGAGAAAACGTGAAAATATACGGCACGAATAGGTCTTAGGGAATAATACGAAATCAATTAAAGAAACTCAAAAAAAAAAAAAAAAAAAAAAAAAAAAAAAAAAAAAAAAAAAAAAATGCGAAAAAAATTCATGGCCTCTTGAAAAGTGGTTTTAAGTAATTTTTAAAGCCAGAAATGGAAAGTACGCGAAAAAATACATAGAAAAACATGTAACGGGTGACATCAAAACGAAGATTTGGCGAGGAACAACCGCGGAAAGAGCGCGCCGCCAACCGCTCAACCCCCACTTCCACCCCTTAGCGCCTTAAAAAGTGGTTGTAAGTAATTTTTAAGGTTAGAAACAGAAAGTACGCGAAAAGTTACATAGGAAAACATGTGATGGGTGACATCAAAACGAAGATTTGGCGAGGAACAGCCAAGGAAAGAGCGCGCCGCTGGCCGTTCAACCCCTATTTTCACCCCCTAGCGCCTTGAAAAGTGGTTGTAAGTAATTTTTAAGGCCAGAAATGGAAAGTACGCGAAAAATTACATAAAAAAATATGCAACGGGTGACATCAAAACGAAGATTTGGTGAGGAACAGCCGCGGAAATAGCGCACGCCAGCCGCTCAACTCCCCCACTTCACCCCCCCGTATCTCCGAAACCACTTTTCAACTCAAGCTGAAATTTTTACCAGAGACTTAGGGCATCATATGCAAAAATTTGGCGCAATTCTCGTTTGCAAAATCGAGGGCCTAAAAAGGGGCGAATTTCGACCCATTTTTAACAAGGCTCTTTTGGTACGGAGTTTGTGCAAACCCAAAAAACCACAGTTTCATGCTTCTAGGTTCCATTCTAAGTTTCCTTTTTTTCTGAGCTTTTTTGTTTTATAATAAGGAAAATATGAGTATAAAAACTATTGTAGGTATGTAGGTGATTATCGACAGCAATATTCTGTATTAGTGATGAAAATTTTAATAAATAAAGTGAAAAAAAGATTGAAAAGATTTTCATACGAAATAGTCTTTAGGATTTTCTTACCTTCTTCAAAGTGAAAAAGCTTGTAATGATTTCATCTTTCTGGACAGCCTCTAGAATCAGATTCTTCCTACGAAGCATCCTGTGAGATGCAAGTTTCTTCCCTAAAATTCGTTTAACATCCCTGTAACATTTACAATAAATTGATTAAGTTAATTTTAGTTTGTACATAAGTTATTGTTTGAGGTTTGCGTAAATTGCTGAATGGAACAAACTTGGATATCTGGTTGTAATTAAATACTTTCGGGAAGTTTGAAAAATCATTTGGGTTGGGCTACTCAAATTTTGAATATAATTGTAACATTAGTGTCTGAAATGATCGGGGTGTGTGTGTGGGTTTTTTTTTTTTTTTTTTTTTTTTTTTTTTTTTTTTTTTTTTTTTTTTACGAATAACGGTTCAATACTGTCCATGATGCTATTAAATGCCTTTCTTTTAAGAAAAGAATAAAAGAAATGAGAGGAAATAAAAACAAAAAATTGAAAATAAATTTTTTTCAACAAGTTTAGAATTTCATGAAAATAAAAGGCACTTCAGATAAACTTTCTTTCCAGCGACAAATTGTCATCACTTTTTTTTTCCAACATGAAAATTCCATATTAATTCTAAAAAATCACTCAACGTGTCCATTAGTTGTCGGAAGGGCAACAAGAGGTCAAAATTGAAAAATCCGAGCGAAAGTCTTTAGATTCATAAGAATGTAGCTAGAATAATAGGAAGTATTTAAAAAGTATACCATTCTTGATAGGTTGGCACGGGAGTTATAAAAACGTCCACAACTTTTCCCTCGTTGACTTGAGAGCCTGCCTTTGGTTTAATGGAGGAAGACAAATTGCCTTGAGCTTCGATGAACTGTTCTATTCTGAGGCTTGTTCTATCGATGCTTGCTGTTATGGGAGTTTTGTCCAAATCATCGCTACTCTCTGTCAACGTCGAAACCTGAAAGAAACCAACACATTAGCCAGATTCCAAGCATCCTACGATCAGTGCCTTCCGTAAATGAGGGGAAAAAAATTTAGGTTCATTTTTCCAAAGATTATTTTACAAAATTTTGTCAATATAAATTTTGAGGAATTTCTGACAATTTTGGATAACTTTACAACAAAACACTGCCACCTGATTGTATTTGACTTTTTATTACTTGCCCTTAAGTATTTCCTCTTTGTTATATAACTTCTTACAGTGCGGTTTTTTAAATAAATGAATAGATTATGATCATGTTGGGTGACAATCATTGCATGAGGAGTCATAGGCCCAGGGTATACATAAAAGAGCAAAGTATTGAGGATATCCATATTAAATAAATATTTGCACGTGAGTGAATTTCAATTTCGATAGAGATTTTCAACTGATTAGTTCATTTGTAGAAATGAAACCATCATCTTGATTTGGATCAAGAAAAATTAAGCAAAAATTATTGCTTAAGTTCCGTCATAATGTAATACTTCACGATCACAAGCTGAAATCGAATATTTTATTGAGGACTAAAATTGGATTACATTTAGTTTTAAGCCAAATTTGAACTGAATCAGTAGATCTTGAAATTCTATAATCCTGTTCACAGCACAAAGAAATAAGAATTGTAGACATTAAATGCACTGAACTTGGTATACATTAAAATTGAGACTAAAAAAAAAAAAAAAAAAAAAAAAAAATACTTAAAATTAAGTGCAGAGTTTTCGCTAATAATTCATTTGTTATGAGGAGAGTGAATGCATTTATTTCATTATTTACTGATTATTCTTAATAATCCTGCAGTGTTTTATAGGGAAAATTCAAGAAAAATCACTCATCAGATTCTTCCCTGAGACATAAATTAGTAATGGAGATTCTGAAATACCGCAACCGAGAAACCTCGCACCCAGTGCCTCAATTAATAAATTCGAACCCTGCATTCTAGGTAAAGGAAACTACAGAGTACGAGTATATACTACATATCAATGGTAAAACTGCAAAAATACATATATGTCGGTTTGCAACTTTGCAAACCTCCTGTCATATCTAATTTTCTTCAGCAAAAAGTACTAAATGTCATTTCCTAAAGACAGTGATTTTTCTTTTGTATGTGAAGAGTATTCTATGAAATTTTCGAGGCATGATGAATGTCCGGTCTCCTTTTGAAAAAATAAAACAGGAGGAGTGATTTTGAAACACCACAACTGAGATACGTATTTTTGCAGTTTCACCGTCGATGTGTACAGCACATATATCCACATGAAAAGGAATTTGTAAATGAAAAATCTGCAACAAAAATTCAGAATTTTCTGGGAAAACAGAGGAAGCTACCTCTTCGACCGGAGTGTCTTTCATTGCATCCTTATTGTAGTCATGCTTCTGTTTTTTGGAAGCAGGCCCTTCTTGACCTAACGCCTCTACGAGCTTCTTCCTTTTGAGCGTGTCTTTCTCCTGCTTGTTAGCCAACATCACAGTTTTTTCTTGTTCCATAAATATTTTCTTTCGTTCTAGAGTGTTTTTGCCATATTTCATAGATATAAACCTGGTAAAAACAAGAAGAAAAAAATAATGGTGACAAAATAATGATTTTATGATGTTTTCAAGTTGATTTCATGATTTTCATAGAGGGTTAACATGAAAGCTTACATCTGAAACCGTGTTACTTTCGAATACTTTTAACTGAAGTCTGACTATCAAGTTCATGAAATACATATTGCTAAAAGAGGGAGAGGGGTCTGAGTTTGCGGAACGAGGAGGGGGGAGGGTGTTCAGGATTGCATTTTGTGATGCTAGAATAGGCGGGTGGCGCCGATTTTTCGAAAATCTAAGATGAAAAATTAATGCAAGGTGACAATTTTTCAGCCAAAATCTATCAAAAAACGCTAATTTGACAGTGGGGAATCGAACCGAGCGTTACTAATTTTTTCAAAGGAAGGATGTAGATCTGGACCTGTAGGGTACCTACAGTTGCGTTATGACAGGGAGAGTGGCAGGAGGGAATCATCGAGAATCAAAGCATCCAATTTTAGCATTGCCTATTTCATGCCAACCTCCTCAGTGATCAGATTCCTGTCTCCACTAAGAATTAGGAAGCAAAATACTACGATAATAATCAATAGAGTAAAACGTACATTAAATTTAAAAGGATAACAGCATTCAAAACTGGAAAGACAAAAAGTACGAAACTTACTGGATAACACGGATTCGGCCGCGGTCTATTGCGACAGTGTCAACATATCCTTGATTCTTCAATACTTTCATGACAAATCGTGACTGCAGTTTGGTGAATCCGAGTTTCCGGCCCATCTCTTGGGTGGAGAGACCTACTGGTCCTGCCTCCTCAATTACTTGGTAAGCCTGAGAGAGGGTCGAGCGATCCATGATTCGATTCCCATCGTTTGGAAATAGAGCTAGTAATGACAAAAAGTAACAAATGAAATTGCTTAGGAATTAAGTAATTTTAATCAAGCAATTTTTATTAAATTGAGTTGTAGAGAAATATTTTGACTTCAATAGAGGACTTCCTTCAGGGCCCTAAAGAATGAGTTGCAAGCGGTTTAGTTAAATTTTGTTCCAATTCCTTAATTAAACGTAAAATTAAAAAATGTTTAATTTGCCAATCAAGGAGGTAAAATTGTATTATAATCAGGCAACTTTGTACACAGAGCATTACAGATTAGAATTTTAAAAGATGTTGATTTGTTCTCCTCTAAAAAATTAAAATACAAGTGGAGATTTTTAGACACTGCAGACGAGGTACATGGTTTGGGAGTTTCACAATCAAATTATCAATTTATCATTGCTATTTGAGGGATTTTGGCTTCTTTAGGAAAGGAACTCAACAAGGATCCCCTGATGATTCGCATTTCTTACTGAGTTCTTTACAGAGAAATACTCATAATATTACCTGCCGTGTCTCCATCATCATCATCGTCGTCGTCATCGTCATCATCATGAAGCTGATTGAAAAATTCCCTCACATTGACATCTGGATACTTCAGTCTCATAATCCTCACTTCTTTTTCATTACCTTTGCTAGTGATGCACTCTTTCTTTGTTGCTCCTGGATAGTACTGCTGATACGGCACCTAAGATTGTCGATTGGGATTCAAGATGAAAAGTTGTTGAGAAAATACTTTCAGTTTTAAAATCTTAAAAAAATGTAAACACTTTTTCAAAATAAAAGGTGGTAATTTTTAAAAATTTCAGATCTAATTGATGGGAATAAAATTCATTTTTGAAAAGAATGAATTCATTAAAAGAATCAAGTATTGTTGGTGGTTTGAGAATATTTTTGTCTGAGAGAAAAGAAAAAGACACAACGCAATGTAAAACTGGCAAATTTTGTGAGTTAGGGATGAAATTGTAGTTTTTAGCTATTTAAAAATTATGCTCATAATCTGTTAAAACATACAAGATATTTTTTAACAAACTATTTAAAAGACCCTTGCTACTGGATATCAAGTATAATGCCTTTGAAATTTTTATAATATCAACTGACTTGGCAAGTTCTATGTTCGGTAGCTTGGAGTAAAAAAAACTACCCCAGGGGGCTGAATATTGAATTTTACTTCCTGCTGCTAACTCTAAAAAAAAAAAAAAAATAAAAAACAAACTTACCGTTTCAGAGGAGATCAGCTGAGAAAATTCTTGGGATTTGAAAAGTCTCTTTCGATACCGAGTGTTCCCAATGATTTTTATGATGCTCAGCGCAGTGTCAGTGTAGTTGGGCATTTTTTTCAAGTGTTCCACCGCCACATTTAGGTAAAACAGCATGCGAGATTCGTATTCTACATAAAATCTTGGTAAATGAAGTAGGTTCCCATTTCCAGTCACAAAATTTGACCCAGATGACACAAAAAAATACTGGGGGCAAATAAAGTGCTCAGATTAATTTAGATATGAACACCTACTGGCGATTATTTATTTCTGGTACATATTTCTCTTATTTTAGACTTGTTTCTGAAAGAGAAATAGTACTATCTTCAGACATTTTCAATGATGAGGCTTCATTAGTTCAAGATTTCTGTCCCTCTTCAAAATTTTGACTGCTTAAATTGCACCAGCGATGGGGATCTCCAAGTTATTTGCAGTTCTCTTTTCCATGCTATTATCGTGAGACTCTGAGTCTCTTTTTGTCAAGAGATCTCTAAAATGATCCTCCAATTAAATCAGTGGTATCAGAAACAGGGTGGCATGTTTCATGTCTCTACGCAAACCTCTGATGAACTTCGAACACTCAGAATTTTTCTTCTCTCACTTTTGACTTTGACAAATCAGTTTTATCTGGGCTAAAACTGGTTTGTCAATCTAGCTGTAATGCAATAAATGAAGTATTTTGACCAAAGGTCACAAGAGAGAGTGCGCACATGGAGAAAGCTTTAAACTTAAATTAATTTTGCAGTACAAAAATTTTTTTTAATCAATTTAAGACTGCAGTCCTTTATCCTAAAAAAAAGTAGAATCTTGGAGAAAGTACAAGAATAAGTAAAAGCGCACCTGTTTACATATCAGTTTACGTTTTGATAAATACTTCCGGTGATAAAAGATGTTCTTTGGATCTAGACCCATGCCTTGAAGACTATGCTTAGAGTTGGTGATCTCACCGCCATATCTGCTCCGACCAATCCGCTCAAGCATACAAAATGGTATGCTGAATAAGTCCATGAAGGGATCTACAGATGGTGCGACAAGGGCATTGTAACGTACTTCTTGGCTGGCAACTATGACCAATTTCTGACCCCACCTGCAAAATTTTGACGGTCATGATGATCAGAAAATTATATTACCAGGTGGTTAAAGTGAGAATTTTGAGGTAGCATATTTAATGTATTTCTGACCGTTTGTTAAATCATTAAAGGACATCTTCTTGATCAAAAGCTTAAACATTATACATGTGAAAATAGTTTAGTGAAATGATTAAGGCTGTTATTTACACCGTGTACAGGATTGTTACTTTATCTTGTTACAGCTCAGAAAAGTGTTTGTGTATTTTGAAGTACTGATTAGAAATTTTGAGGAGAGAATAGAAAAGAAAAGACATCTTAATAAAACATAGCACCAATATTGGAAAATTCTCTAACAATATGGCATTGTTGAAAACCCTCTTATGCTGTTTTACACAAATTAAACTACAATTTGATTACAATTAGCCCCTGTTGCTTGATATTCAGGTCACAAAAATAAGTAATATCATACTCATTGTTTCCTGGATAATAAGTCTAAAAATTAAACAGTCAATAAAATGAGAATGCCAAGAAAAATCAAAGCACAGCATTAACCGAATGCCTCGGGACGCAAACAATCCAACTGTAAGAGGTGAAAAAAGTAAAGAACAGAAAAAAATGATAAAAATCAATAGATATTCAGCGAAAATATTTTCGGTGCAAGTTGTTAATTTATCATACAGAGAAAAAAACCGGCAGTGATTATAAGGTTTTAGCTTCTTAGTCTTGAAAATATAAAAAATTGCAAACTCCAGAGGTAGGTCATTACGAACAAACCCAAATATATTTTAGGGGACAATATCTCAAGGAAATCTCTCAACCTCCTTTCTGAATTATGTAAGACCGGCCTGACCCTTCCTCCCTCCCAACATATAAGAAAATAACGGAGAAAGTCTGAAAAATAGCTGGTAAAAATTTCATTACAGAAAATATTATTTTTCTTTTGAAAGAGGGAGTCTTACATGAGACTGAGCTCAATCTTCTCCCTTTCTTGGGGCTTGTAAGACAAATTCAGACTCCTGAGTATCTTCCGTAACACTTGAACAGGCCTTAATGATTGCGGAACCTTTATTTTCTTAACCAGAACTGGTAAGTTTTTGTGCAAAATTTGAGGGACTGGACTGTTTCTAATTAAATAAGCGTTGAAAATATATGACAATTGCTTTGCAAGCTCTCAGCAATAGCCATCAGAAAGTTTAAACAAGCTCTGATAACCTACAGAGGAATGGAGAAGTAAAGCAATGGTACTTCCAGGAGATTCTACTTTTTTTAAAATCTCATAAAATTCCATCTTCCGGGAGAGATAATCTCAACTTTCTCACCTGTTGAAAGCTTCGTCCAAGGTCATTTTTCGGGCCTCAGTGGACACATCCACCCTGGTTGCATACGTAGGGCAAGAACCCATTATGCCCGTATCTGGATCATCGATGGCATAGTGTTTGTAAATTTGCTCCGGTGGCTCTATCTGTAGCTACAGTGCAGGCAAAATATTGAAATGTTAATTTAAAAATAAAAAAAAACCACTAAATTCTTTAACTTGCAAAAGACATATTAATAAGTTTACATATTTACATATCAACGGTGTAAGTCAGCAATCACATAATTTGGTTTGCGACGTCACAGACTTCCTGTCATACGTTATCTTTGAAACAGAGAACTACTCGACGGCAATCATTTAAAACTGCCATGACTTTTCTTCTCTGTGCGAAGAAAATTCTACAAAAACTTCAAGGAATGAAGTCAATTTGTTCTTCTTTAAAAAAATAACATAGAGGCGAAGATTTCCAAACACCGCAAACGAGATATGTGATTGCAGACTTACGCCGGCGACATGTTTAGCAGAGCAGTTCAAATTGTTTCGTTATTTCTTTGGTATATAAAACTTTTTGTGGTGCTTTTGGCAGAGAGTAACTTCGTTTCAGATAGCAATGCACTTTGTATACTTTTTAAACTCTTTTGATTTGTTCATGCTTTTGCTATCAATTTGATGGTTTTCATAATCAGGCTAGTTATTGAGCAGAGCCTTGAATCATGGGTTCTCAACTCATATTAACTTTTTGGTTTTTATTTTTTTTATATCTGTTTCTGTTTTTTATTTGTAGAAACTGGTTCTGATCTTTATTAGTATAATATGCTTAAACTTGCCACAGGAGCTAAGTTCTAGGCAAGTGTACTAATGTAATTGTTTTTCTCTATTCATTTGTTATCATCTGTGTATGAATAAATAAATAAATTTCATGGTACTTTTAAGTGTTTTAATGAGTTTGCAGATGCAAATAACTTTTCAACTGTGAGAGTATTAGACCACGAAACTTGGTTTGTAACGTTGAAAACTTCCTGTCATACTTCATTTTTTAAATGAAAACTACTCAACATCAATCCTTGAAAACTTCCTTGATTTTTCTTCTTTGTAGAGTATAACTCTGTGAAAAATTCAAGGAATGATATTGATTTGCTCTCCTTTAAAGTAATAAGATGAGAGCAGGTACTTAAAAACACCACAAAAGAGATACTTTGTCTGGTAGTTTTACCTCATTTTGTTTACCTCTTAAAACGTCAGAAATGGCAGATTTTCACTTGTAATCCCAATAACTTTGCGAGTACTCAGGGTATTTGGATTTGATTTTTAAACACTATTTGTAGAAAAAATTATGGTAGTGTGCATCTATTTCCAAATAGAGGAGGGGGGGGGGTCTCTTCACTGTGGGTCAGTTAAGAGACTGCCTCTAGCAATACGTACTTACTAAACTGAACCTAGGATTGGGACAAAAAATTCTATTCATGCTTCAGTTTCCCTTGGTTTCTTCCGGGAACCATGCAAATAACTTACCTCACTGTTTTCATTCTCACAGAACCAGTCAAAAAGAATCAGCGGAGGTCGAGGTTCAGGAAGCTCAAAAAACTGGACTTCTTTGAATTTGACTGCTGCATTCCACACCAAATTTTTCAACGGTTCACTCAACGGTTGGCCGAAAAAAGGAGATCTGCTCTTTTCCAAGCGAAGCCATAGCGCTAAAATGTTTGAAAGCAAAACGTTTCATTAAAAAGATTTAACTAGATAAATGCTAGTGATAATGATTGTGTGAGTTTAACACAGAAAAGAGAAAATATGCAAGAAGCCTGACAGGATGATCTGCCAAAATTACATCGTTTTACCTCCTTTTATTATTGTTGCATGAGTGGAATCAACCAACACTTCTGTAAAAATTTGCTTTAATTGCTATGATTGAAAATTATTGCCATTTCATGGTACTTACATCCACAAAATAGCCTTTCCAGGACATATCGACGGTGCAAGTCGGCAATCACATAACTCGTTTGCGGTGTCTGAAAATCTCCGCAACTATGTTATTTTTTTAAAGGAGAACAAATGGACATGATTCCTTGCAGTTTTTGCAGAATTTTCCTCGCACATAGAAGAAAAATCACGGCAGTTTTAAGGACTTACCGTTGAGTAGTTTTCCGTTTAAAGAATAAAGTATGACAGGAAGTCTGCGACGTCGCAAATCGAGTTATGTGATTGCCGACTTTCACCGTCGATATACTGACCAACAGCATCACAAACAAAATCGGCAGTGAAATTACCAGACCACGTATCTTAGATCGCAACATTGCAGATTTCCAGTCATACTTTATTTTTTGAATGGTATACTACTCAACGTCAATGCTTGTAAACATCCATGATTTGAATGAAAACTCTGTGAAAACTTCAAGGAATGATATTGATTTCTTCCCCTTCAAAAAAATTTAAATGGGAGCGGAGATTTTATAACACTGCAAACGAGATACAAGGTGTGATGGTTTCACCATCGAAATGCTTTCAGACTGAGTGTTCATGTGCTGAGAGAAGTGTGCAATGTCTCGCAAACGAAGGAGCAATCTTAGCAGAAAATAAGTATCCTTGGTGGCTAATACTTGATGACTTCCACAGGTATGGAGTAATCATCAAGAATGAAACTGCAATGACACATACCTCAGTTGGGTGCGAGCTTTGCATTACAATTATTTCCTAAACTAGATAATGCTCATCGTCGTTTCTCCGACCTGATTTTTCTTTTCATTCATTTGTGAGGATATTCTGTGAAAATTATGAGCAGGGTTGGTTCGTTCTCCTTTGATAAAATAAACTGAAAGCAACAATTTTAGAGCATCGCAAACGAGAAACATCCGGCACACAAACACAAGATTTGGGATAGAATAACAATCTATTCATCAAAAGATGAGGAATCAGTCACAAAATGTTGTTACGCACCTTGAAAAGTTATGCCATCCAGACCCTCCAACGCAATCTCATCTAGTAAAGTTGCAGTCCAATTGAATGGACTCATTTTCCTTGTCTGAAATGATTAAAGAGATAAAGAGTTAAACAAGACCAATCTATTTTTGATGAACATACTTATTTCTCGGAGAAAAAATGCCATTCATGAAAGTCTTTACGCTTCATCTTCATCCTACCCGCACGCACGATTCATGACTTCAAAGTGGGTTGAGGTTATGTTGATGTTTATGTCTCAGGAGACCATGTGGTAGTGATAAGTGATAAGATAGTGTCGTGAGCATTTTCCTTGCTTTTTTATATTAAATGCAAATATGAACGGGAAATTTATTAGATCCACTCACAAGTTCTTAGTTAATGTTTGCTCTACTAATGTTGAACGTGGAATGAAACATTGCCTTAACTTTTCTACCCACAGTCCAAAAGATGAGTTAGGTGAAGCTCGGCACATTGTTCGAAGACAGTCAGTTTTTCAAGATATTAAAACAAAAATTTTGATCAAAGGGCCTTTAACGGTTGCTGAGTATATGAAGTCAATCTTAACTGATCCAATCGGAGGTTATTACATGCATTCGGATGTTTTCGGTGGAAAAGGAGATTTCACAACCTCACCCGAAATCAGTCAGTTATTTGGTGAGGTAAGTACATTTTCACAGAATTATTGGCAGAAGTACACAAATAAATTGGACCTTGTCCATGGAATCATTGGTATCTGATGCCTAAATGATTGTCTTTTACTGATTGATGGCAGTGACCGGTCCGAGAACTGTGTCCTTAAGTTGACCTAGCCCTCTGGTCTTGTATCTATCGATGCTTTAATAGCCGTCTCTTATTTCGTCTGCAGCGGACACTTCGCGGTCCGCAGGCGTCTGCAATCGTCTTTTATTATTTTGCGGATGACTTGGAGTGGGTGGGGCTAAATTTCGAGGATGCGAAGCGGACACAAGAATTTGCCTGGATGCGGACACCTGCAGACGTTCGCGGTCCGCGGCCGTCTGCGTCTGCGAGGTCTGGAGTTCGCAGACCGTAGACCGCGGACGAAACCCTAACCTCTCGACAATATCATCTTCTTCTGTCTTCTTGTGCCCTTCTATTTTGTCATTTGTCAATCCTATTTAGTCTCTATTTGTATTTTGACCCATGATCTTCGAACTTTCATATCTGTTGAAACAATTCAGGATTTTATAACTATCCAATAATTACGGTTTTATTCATTTATTGGTTGTCATTTGAAATGTGTTGGCATTTATGCCCAAATTTCTCATCTTATTTCGTTTTCGAAAATTTTTATTGAGCACTCCTAAGAAAGTTTTTATTAGATGCTTCACTATGGCAAGCTTCACACCCAGTATTATCAGAATCAGGTACACATAAACAAAATGCAGTGGCGCCCTCCAGCGGTCCGCGCTGTTAACACCTACCTCGCTGTGATTGGCTCTCTGAAGTATCTACGAAAATCATCAATCGTCCGAGGTCCGCGAAGAATCCTGTAGACGAAATAAAAGACAGCTAATGTGCTGCTTGTCATTGATCAAAAATAGGTGTTAGTAAACAGGACTGTCAATGTTTAGGAGTATCAACAATTTCTCTTGATCAAGTTCTACTGGCTACCATCTTAACTTACTCTTTCCTTTCCGCAGACCCGCATCTTGAAATGGCAGCGAATGGATCTCTCAGGGTCTCTGGCAGTCTGGTGAACTAAAAGTTGAGGAATTTACGGTCACCTGTTAAAGTTAATGAATTTATGGGGAAAAATTAGGAAATTTCGAGAGCAACCTGACGCCCTAGCTACTTCAGCTGGTGCTAAGCGGGGGAGCGCAAACAACTTTACACTGCCTCTCTCCAGAATTTGAATCAACTAATGAAGTCCCTAAACAGATATTCTAATTAAATGATGTGTGTGGATACGGTTTTAAAATGCGATCCTAGCAGAACAAAATCCTTTATCCCTGTGCTCTTATAATTGCAACATTGAATGGACATAGTCCCTTCTTCCTGTTGAATGTTTCTTTGTCTCAGCTATTCGAGTATTTCTTGTGCAGAATAACATTTAATCTCTGCTGTTTTCAGATGATAGCTGTCTGGCTCCTAAGCGAATGGCAAAAATTGGGCTGTCCAAAACCATTTCAAATCGTCGAGCTTGGCCCTGGAAGAGGCACAATGTTGGATGACATACTGAGGGTAAGGAAATTTTATGAATGCATGTGATGCTCAATGTCGTTAAGCCTTCATCATTATTCTTTCTTCAAGACTTTTTAACTGAAGTGTAAAGCTGCTGCAATCTCGTGGCTGAAAGCTACAGTGGATTTGGAAGGACCAATTAGCACATATTTTCTTTTGTCGAACTTCCTGAATTAAAATGGTGTAAAGTAAAGAGACCATCAAAATTCAAACATCCAAATTCAGTGACACTTAAAAATAGAGTAATATAAACAGGAAATCAATTAAAACTACAGGTAAGAAAAAAAGTATACAGGATCGTAAATTTCAAAAAGTCTAGCCATCATTTTATGGAACATTAAATATGATATGGGTAAAACAAAGTTACCTAAGTTAGATAAATTAATTACAACAAGTACAACAACTGCACTAATGGTAAAACAATGTGTTGAACAAGCATATCATAGAGAACAAGTTGAGTCTAATTTCATACCAAATTGAATTATTAAGACGTAGGTCTGTGCAGTGACTGCCTCACTAAAATAAGTATTTTTTTCAGAATGGAAATCTCTTGTTCAAAAGACGTGTATATACTTACCTAATCCAAGTCTTACGTCCTTCTCTGCTCATTTTTCTTATTTCTCTCTTTCTCTGGCCAGTTTTTTTATTCAAGCATTAAACATTATTCAAAAGAATAAAGTTCCTTTTTTGTGTTATTTTATTCCTTTTATTTTTAGGTTTTCCGAAAGTTTGGTGCAAACAAGGACATGTCTGTGCGACTTGTGGAAGTCAGCCCACATTTAAGTCAACTGCAGGGAAAGTTGCTGTGCCAAAGTGTAGAGCGCTGCAACACAAATACAGATATCCATTATCAAAAAGGTCTCATGAAAGATTCTGTTCCTGTTTTCTGGTATAATTCACTTCAAGATGTTCCTCATCAATTTTCTCTAGTCGTCGCCCATGAATTCTTCGATGCCTTACCTATTCACAAATTTCAAGTAATTACTTCCTGTATCCCTCAAAAGTAAAGTGCATAACTACCGTGTACAATTCCATTTCCTGAACTATTGTTTCAGCTTTTATGATTGTATGGAAAGGAGGTATTTGACATTTTTTTTTTGTCACAAAATCCAGTAGAATTTTTTTTACTCTGCAGAATATTTTACATTGTATTTCTAGCGAAAGCTGTCACTTGAGCTGCAGACTTTTTATTAATCTATGTTTCTTGCCTCCTCATTAAGGTTCATTTTATTTTTTTTTCAATTTTATCATTACCTACCTGCGTATTTTATATGTTTTTATCAAACGCTTTCTTTTTGTTGGCTTGCATTCATCTGAAGAGTAGCTGAAAATTATGTCCCTAATTTTAGCTTAAGAGTTTCCAGTGTTTGTTTCTAATTTGGAACGAAGGGGCAGAGACTTATTGTATTTAAGTGCATTGTGAATGAATCAATCCTCTTGACAAGATAACCTTTTTTCCCTGCCTATTTCAATTTACGGTGCTAGATAAAATATTAGTGACTTAAATCTGACTAGAGCTTTACTAATCAAAGTACTCGTTATTTTCACAGAAAACTGAAAATGGCTGGCGAGAAATACTGATTGATATAGATGGATCTAGTGAGGATAAACTACGGTTCATCATCTCAAGGAATGAAACACCAGCTTGCAAGATGTTTATCACAGTAAGTTGTCTATACTTCTTGGTTATTTTCCCTATAGCAGTTAAAGAAAGCCAGTAACGCTAATTTTTGGGAATGGCGAAGTATCAGCGCAAGGACAGGATCTCTACTCGGCATTCTCTTTTGGGCCGATGGAAAGAGATCCACCGCAAGCATATACAATGAGTTGTTGGGTCATGGAAGGATTTCAATCTCAATTTTACCAGCTCTTTTTAGGTGGATAACTAGTCAGTAAATAAAGTGATCATGACTTGAACTGTAAGTGCCTGCATATGAGTCTTACGCTCAGGTAGGTGCAGGTTTTAAGAGACTCTCTGTAGAGGGAAAAGTGTAGTTCATTCAAATAGATTGCACCCTCTCTTCTTTAGGCACTAAGTATTTTTTTTCTTCATTTTCCCTCTCCTAAATGTAGTAGGCAATTTTCAGGACCCTTTTAAATGCATGTGTGTGCCGTCAAAACTAGCTACAATCTTCTTCTTTTTTCAGCCAGCTGAAAAACGTGACCACTTTGAAGTAAGTCCTGAGAGTGGTGTTATTATGGATTATCTTGCTACTTTTTTAAGGAGGAAGGGTGGAATCGTCTTAGTAGCAGATTATGGTCATGATGGTGATGGCAAAGATACGTTTCGGGTGAGTGACAAAATGGCTCAAATCTTTACCATTTACAGTGTCATGTATCCTCCATTAAGTTAAGAGTGGTCAAAGGCTTTTATGAGGCCCATGTGAAAAAAAAACTTCGTTCATGTCATTTTTCCTCAGGGAACACTAGAGATAACTTTTTCAATTTCTATTCCATATAAGTATAAGTCTTTACATATGTAGACGCTCCCTTTTCTGGAATTTTTACATTTTTCACCTATCTTACGCTTTAATAGGTATACAACGGAGAATTTGCACACAAAAATCGTATTGCTTCATCTGAGAGTGCTCAATGAGTGGAGTTTGCAGTATTTTTCTCCATCTTTTTCTGAGATGGGAAATTTTAGAAAATTAGATGTCATCTGACGGCATTTTCCATTTAAGGACAAGTATTTTAGTAGATTAGGTTTTTCCATCTTAGATCCTACAGTAATTGTTCAATTTAGAAACGCTTAGTTCTCCCAAAAGTTTCACCTTAAAATGAAATTCACTAAATTTCAGACACCTGCAATTTCTCCATCATGAGAGTAACGCGTATTGCATAATGCCCAAAGCTCAAAGCGCATTGAGGGAGTTGGACTGCGAAGTGATCAGAGGACTGAGCCCCCTAGTTTCATAAGAATTAAACCTGGAAATATTCTAGCCAAAGTAAATGGAAAAACCATAGGTAAGAAATGTCCAGCCTTTGACTCCTTATAAGAAGTTTCAAAAGTTTATTATTTTAAAAATATTTACCATAAACTTAATAAAATATTTTTCTTTTCTTGTGCAATCTCTAGTTGTACCTATTCCTCCCGTCAATAGCTTTTTTACTGTATTTTAATTTCTTCAGGCCTACAAAAATCATAAACAAATCCACCCTCTGGAATCGCCAGGATCTGCTGACCTGACTGCAGATGTAGACTTTGCATACCTCCGATCAGTTGTTGGGGAAGGAAGAGTCATCAGTTATGGTCCTGTAACTCAACGAGATTTTTTGCAGAGAATGGGAATCGACATTCGATGCGAGGTAAGAAAATGAAGCCAATTTTTGTCAAGTAGAGACAGGAATGTGGGAAGTTCAATGACGCTGGTTGCTTTCTACAGTCTGGCTCTCATTTCTTCCTGTAAAATACCCAAATCATCTTAAAGTTTTTTTTTTTTTTTTTTTTTTTTTTTTTTTTTTTTTTTTTCCCCTACAAAATTCCATATTTGAAAATCTCTGCTGAAATTTTCCAAGTTTTCTAGAAGAAGTTCATCATTAATTAAAAATTTCCTGGATCCTTCTAATGTGTATAATTTTTTGTTGCAGATCACAAAATCATGCATTTTTCTTCTCCAAATTGAAAAATTCTGATTAATTATAGGAAAACATAATGAAAAGTTAACGATAAAATCAGTCAAAATTAGGAACTTTCTAAATTCTTCAATAAAGTGAAGAAAAACAGAAGTTAATCATTTGTATTTCAAATGTTTTAATAATGTGCGTGCATTTTTGCTGTTTATCTCAAAACCTTGTGAAAAGCTCTTGCTCAGGATCAGCCTTCTTCTTCTCAATTAGAGGAGAACTGAAAAATTTACATGAGACGATGTGTATTCAATTTATATTTTTTCCCAGATCGTTTATGATTGCAGTAAAGTTCTTACCAAATAAGTTTGTGCATTTACAAATTGAGACAGAAGATAGATGCCTGTATTTTTGTATTATAATAAATTTAAGAATTAAAATGGCAGATCTTCTGTCTTGCTCAAATAAGTGCATAAACTTATTTAGTGCGAACATTTCTTCAAAGCAAAACTTAGTTGCAATCCCAGCTCCAAAATTTCCTCTCTTCGTAATAATAACAATAAGTAAGTGTTGAGCGCAAAAATTTCAAAATTCAGTGTGCTGTTCTGGTTTTTTATTTCTCGCTCTCATCTTCTTTTGAAAAAAAAAAAACCCCTCATGAAAAAAATTTTTCAAGCCGCATGCGAACTGACTCTTGCTTACTCTAGCATTTTCTTCACCCTTGATTTTGCTTAGATTCTATGATGAGATAGCAAGAAGTCCCTACCATACTTTTATCTTAACTATGTGTATCTTGTTTCAGATATTGAAAAAAAGGAGCCAAAATGATTCAGATAAAGAAGCGTTGGAATCAGGTCTAAAAATGCTAACTGACGAAGATCAAATGGGCGTACGGTTTAAATTTCAATCATTTTTTCCAGCAGTTCTCAAGGATTATTTTGAAAAAAATCCTGTGTCTGGGTTTTTCAGCAATCAGTGATCAATTTTACATTTTTTTTATCTCTACTTGTCTACAAAAGTATTTTTTAAATATTGATGTTGCTTTAACACATCGACTACCCTGTCAGCTTGTAGAGTTACCAGTGAATTGTCTCATGGCCCCATAAGGCAACAGAAACGATATAAGGAAGTGGGACGGTGAAAATCATAGACGACATGTCTACTTTGTGGTGTTCCAAAATCTCTGTTCCCATTTTATTTTTTCAAAGGAGAACTAATCAACATCATTCCTTGAAGTTTCCACAGAATTTACTTTCCACAGCACAAAAATCATGGAAGTTTTTAAGAATTGATGTAGAACAGTTTTCCATCTAAAAAATAAATTATGACAGAAAGTCTGCAACATTGCAAACTGTGATACATGGTTTCAGAACATCATTGTCTTATGGTAAGTTAACACCAGCAGAAAACTGGTAAGAAATGCAGAAAGTGTATTGAGACAATAGTGATACAGTTTTGGGACACCAAAGTAATAATCAGCAGGATGACAGATAGTGTCAGTGGAGTTCTAGAAGCTACCAAACTGTGGCTTAAAAGATGCTCATCCCAAAATGACAGTATCGGCCAAATGACATCAGAGAATAAGAAAGTCTTGGCAGTTAATATGTTAACGTCCAAAGTCCCCATGACGGGATGGTTTGCTTAAAATTTTCTGGTTTCAGTCCCTGCTGCAAGGAAATTTGTCAGAAATTTTTCATTCCTCAGATTTTGGTAGCAATCTGCTTTGGACGAATAAAGGAGGCAAACCGTGCTTTTCAATGCATCGGGTCTCAGGAATAAGTTGAGAGATCTAACCCAGATCTCTGAGGGTGTAATGATTCACAAACTTTTGCTATAGAGCCACTTAACTATTTAGGGAGACTATCATTTAATTGAATGCAACGGAGCATTCAATTAGGCACCCCACAGGGATATTATTTAAATGTATTTCCCATGACAACCATTCAGAATTACTCAATTCAATTTGAGAAATTCTGTGATGAGGACGGAGCCTTTGGATGAAAATTGTTAACGGAAGATTTCAAGTGTGAGGCAGTCAAGTAATATTTGTATCAAGAATATACCTAGTTCTAAGTAAAACTTTCCTGCCTGAATTGTTTTATAAATTTCCTTGTTGAGTAGTTTTGTACTTTTTGTCAACCTGTGATCACAGAATAAATGTTCCTTTGGTTACCTACTTTAGTTTGTTTTTTTCTCTATGATGTATTTTTTTAGAATAAAAATACCAACGGATATCCAGCCCAACCACAAACCTTGCTGAAGATGCCTACATTACTGTTTTTGTCAGCACAACAAGACATAATCAAAAGTAGATATATAAATATGACATGGTATAGATAGGACTATGTCTTGTTTGATCTTAACGAAAAAGCAAGAAATGTTATCCACGATCAGTCCACTGCCTAGATAAATATGTTTGATGATGATTAGAGAGAATGCGAGAAGTAACTCAGTTAATTACTTTTAATCAGGTTTACCCCATTTAAAAAGTTGAAGGTTTGGTCAAAAAGAAAAAAAGCTCTTGTAAGAGCTTCCATGAAAATGTTTAAGTAGTTTTTTCGGAGAGTAAAACAATACACTTTCAGTGTCAGTGCATTTGCTTATGGTTTCGTTTTTGTTGAATTTACACACAATGGCTGGAAACACCTCAGTTACGAGTCTTTTCTGATTGGGTTGAGCTAAGCAGAGCAGACTTGATCCATTTTTTTAGAGAAAATGAATTTGAAAGTCCTTTTTAAGGTCATCTTTTTGGGCATTTCCTCCTGATAAAAATCAATGGTTGAGATAAAATATTTAATTGATTGAAACAGGCGTCAACATTTATTTGATACACAGCATCCAATAGGAGGATTAAAATATTAAGAGAGTGAGAGAAAAATAAAACAAAATCTTGGAATTCCGTGGAAAAATAAAATTTAATACAAAAGAATTAGATATAAAAACAAAAAATAAAAGTATCTCAATGACCAATTGCTTCTGATCCATACAAAGAATGCTATCCTTGCTCTTTCATACATAAAAAAGTTGTAGGGCTGTTCTTATCAAATTACGAACAAATAGCCATCATGAGGTGAGGTTATAGAAGTGATATAAATCACAACAACATAGAGAATGTTTATATTTAAGTTCATAGAGGATCATTTTAAAATTTTCAAGCCTAAGGACTTAGGAAAACTTCACTTAGTTTGAAGGAAACAAGTCTGGAATTTGATCTGATAATGGAAACATAATATACATGAGACAAAAGCAGAGACGCCACACACTGTGTATTAAGTACAGCAATTTTTTGCACCAGAATCATCTACTGTTAAAGGCAAAAACAATAGGCCAAAAAAATTGATTAAAAATGAATAGGCTGGAAACTACTGCGATTCCTAAGAAAATAAAAATGTCTCATGAGTTTATATACTAAATGAAAATAGGAAAACTTCAGAGTGGATAATCTGAAATTAGTGCAAGAACTGTGAAATTTATGAGAATAGATTAACATTGACGACAGAGGAAAATCCAGCATCTCAAACATCGTCGTTTTCAGCATGAAAAAACATTTCTTGATTGAGCTGTTTTAGTATTCCTTACTTACATTACATTTTTTCTTTAAAGGAGAACCATCACATGATTTTGTCTGGAATTTTCAGTTATTTTTCTTTACATTTGTGAGGAGAGACACTAAAATTTTCAAAAAAATTCCTGCAATGGTTCTCCCATGAAAAAATAAAATACCGGTAGAAATATGTTCTTTTCGGTGGGAGAGTGCAGCACGTTCAACAATTTCAGATTTTGCTGTTTGTTATTGAAAATGTACTTGAGATTTTCCTTCCCTAATCAAATTGACTTTGTGTCAAAATTAATTTAATGAGTCATGTCTCCTCTGATTTAGACTAAAAAAATGCATTTCAAAAGTTTGTTTTGAAGGTTCTTAACTTAAAGAGAGAAAATGTGGAAATTCAAGTGCTAAACTTCACCAGAATTTAAGAGATTTTAAACGCACTAGGTTGTTCAAGAAAAATGTAAGACATACTGGAACAACATGTTTCTGCCTCAAGAGATAAAAAGTCAGAATGATTGAAGGCACATAAAACATAAAAATCTTACTCAAAACTCTGTTTTTAATACTGAGAGTATTTTCATCAATGAGATCAACATATTTTACTTCATCATATTTTTGTAGCGTTGAGCCGAGGTTGCGAAATTGTTCTAGTTTCTTCTCTATGAAAACCAATTGTTCAACATTCTTTAAAATAATGGGTCTTAATTCATCATCAAATACCCTGTTACCTTTCTTATTACACTCCTTCTTTATGTATTTGGCAGACTGCGCAAGCACATACAAATGCCGCGTTATGTTTGCTAAAAAGAATGCAAATTCATCACTTTCTAGCTTTTGACCTCTCTTTACCCCTAAACAATTTTTCCACATCGATAAGTGAAATTTCTTTACAGAACTTAAAATCAACTGTCTATGACTAGATAGATACACACCATTTTCCTTTAGATCACCTTCATCCATTAACAATAACTTCCCCAAGCTCACTTTGTTATTATGAAAGGGTCGAGAGTAACGGGATAAACATAAATTATGCAAAAAACTGAGAGCATCAGCCATAAATTCATTATGCTCCGGAAGCTCACGAACCATGTCACTGTAACTTTGAACGGTGAGTTGGACCGGTTGCTCCCATTCCTCCTCTATTTTTTTCTCCCCTTCAGCCTCTAAAATTAAATCAGCAATATCCTGCAAACCTTTGGTCTCTGCGATTTCCAAGACTTTTCTACCTCGTCTATCTTCCAATTTTACAGACGCTCCACTTTCGATGAGCAATTTTACAATATCTGTATGTTTTTGGCTGACGGCAAAGAAAATTGCAGACCATCCCTCATGATCTATAGAATCAATTGAAGCACCCCGCATAAGTAATTCTTTCACAGCTTCAATGTGTCCACTTTTAGCTGCGTACATTAAAGGTGTAGTTCTGTCAGGATCCACCTCGTTAATCAGCAATCCTTGATTGATCAGCAAGCGAACACAACGGAGGACAAGCTCTTCGTCCGAACAAGAGGACGAACAGGTTGCCATAAGCGCGTTGAAAAAGTGATGATGATACATTGGGTCTGCTCCATGATTAAGGAAGTGCACCATTAAATCAAACTGACAATAAGAGCATGCTAGCAAGAAAGGAGTAAACGAGCCATCAATTTTGTCATTAATGTTGATCTGATGCTCTGCTAGAATCTGCGTTACTCTATCTAAACTACCAGTTTTGATTGCATCGGTCAGCATGAAGCTTGTGACACTATCCTCGAATCCTCCATTGTCCGCCATTTTCTTGCACCTGTTGAAAAAACATATTTTTTAGAAAACCATATTTTCGAATTTTTGCCACCAAGGCACACATTAGGGCCATAGACATGTTAAAACAACGTTATAGATTTTGATTTAGTTAGTTTCAAACAGTTCCAAACTTTTTCTTTGTTTGAAGTTCATGACAGTTTCTGCTCCCCCTTGATATAGTTCAACGGGAGCAAGAACAAGACAATTTCACTGCTTGAAATTTTCGCAGAATATTCTTCAAACAGAGAGAAAAATTCACAGAAATTTACAAAAATATTACATCGATTTGTTGAATAACTGAGAAATCAGGTGTGGCAGCAAGTTTGCAACATTGTAAACTGAGGCATAGAGAAAAAAAAGGAGGTGTTTGCATTTCGGGCATCTTGGAGTATTTTGATGACTTGATGACGTAGGTGGGTACAGCTGGGTACAGGGACGTCCCCTTCACACTGTACCCACCTACGTCATCAAGTCATCAAAAAATTCCAAGATGCCCGAAATGCAAACACCTCCTTTTTTTTCTCTATGAAACTGAGGTGCACCGTTTCTGAGTTTAAATCACTGACATTTATAATACGCACGGTAAGTAGCTTTTACTGTTGTGAATTCTGATTTTGATTATGCTGGAATTCGTACTTACTGTGATAATGCTTGTATTTTTAGGATCAGTATCACTTAGAGGCACATGACATCTCTTCTTCAAAAATGCTCAATTCAAAATTTTTATAAAATTGAACAAACTTTGATCGCCTTCAATTGTCTCAACACTGACAACCAGAATTCAGTCTTTGAATTAGTTTTGGAAAATTTTTAAAAGCAATTTTGGGGAGAAAGAATTGTAAAACTGTCTTCTTTATCTTTTTGTTGGTGTTTTTTTTATCACCAAGGAACCTCCTTGGAAAACTAAAGAATTAGGTGCCAGCTAAATTTTGTTCTTATTACTTAGATACAATTTTTGTGAGCTTGATGAGAATTTCCAATCTTCTTAATATGTATGTGCCTGCCTTGATATGAATTATAATCACGCAGTTTTGAGTGCCTGTTCGAAACTGCATTTTTAGATTGATAACCTAAGGTATTTATTCAGCAATATCCTCATCGAAAGGAAATGAATGAGGAGAAGACAAGTGCGTTTCGATTTTCTGTTCTTGTCCCCCAACTGATAAAGAGGAAATGTACTTACGATGAATTTCAAAAGGAACAGGAGATCTGGAACTCTGGGTGCTTACAGATTTTGTGATTGACCGTGGGGTTTACTGCTACATTGATGTTTCTGCCTTCAATAAGTCAAATATCATGAAAGAAACTTGAAACTGCATGCGACGGCGATATATATCAACATGTGAATCAAAATCAAAACAAAACGAACGAAAGGACTATCAAGTTTGTCGATGTCCGAAAAATGTTCAACACTAGTTGTGAAGTAAATGCTGGAAATTTTTAAGAATAGTCCGAAAAATCATTTAAATGATATTTAAAAAACTAAAGCCCCATTCATACATGAAAATGTGTACTCGCATATACTGTGAGTATTTTATTGATAAAATGAAGACGAAAACTCGAGTAATGTTGGACAATTTTTCTCTGACAAAACATCAGACTTGTCATTGATAATAACATAACCCATAAAACTTGTAGTCTGGTGACTCTGGTGATAAGTGATAAGAATACCAATTACAGTGATAAGTGAGCTTAAAAAACGTCACCAAAAGTACTCTGTGATAAAATCGAGGAAGTATAAGTATCATCGTGCTAAATGTCACACACTGCATCTCACAATAGAGTGTCGATCATTCGTTTTAATACATATGCTAAATCAAAAATTTTTTCAGCAGTGCACAGCTCACTAATGTTTCTCTTCTAACATATTCTTCCCCCAGGTAGTAAGTAAGGATTTTTCTCATAAATAAATAAGTGAATAAATAAAAGAGAAGTCTGAATGTAACACTCTGTGAAACTCTCATAACATTACTAGAGCCCGTTTCAGATTACTTTTCCTCTTTTACTGCCGCTCCTTTGCGGTACAGAAACTTCTCTATCCCGCGCATATATCCAAGGAGGAAGAGCAATCTAAAACGGGCGTAAGCCATTATTAAGCACTAGGGTTGAATTACCAGTGGTGCACTGGTAGCGGCTGCGTCAGATGCCAAAGTAAGAGGAGCAGGACAAACACGGAAAAAAAGAGAGAGGGAAAGAAAGAGAAAAGAGGGAAGAAAGAGGAGACAGGGAGAAAGGAAGAGGGATTTTTAAAACCCGTCAGACAAAAAGCATAGAGTACATAGATTTGTAATGTATATGGAAGAGCTGGCACCATGTTCTGGTCGACGAGTTCCAAGTCTGGTGTGCGTCGAGCTTTGGTCATTTTTTCAATCCCAAAAGGCAAGGTAGAATACCTAGTAATTCCTATCCTCTTTGTTTACATCGAATGGCTGGGTATCCGTGTATTGATTTTGTATTGTAAAAGTGACCCAGCATGACATAGGAGTCTGGGAATTTGGGACCTGGAAATGGCTTATAATTGGTGTCAGTTCTCCCATTTACATTATTATAAGACTCTGTGTACTCTATGATAAAAAAAGATGGTAATGAGAGAAAGTGTCAAGGTGTCATTAATGCTGAGGCTGTTGTCCATTTATCCAGATTTTATGAGGCTCCATTTTAGATGAGGGAAGGGAAAATGTTTACATGAGTAAAATGAGAAAGCGAAGGAAGGCTTCAGAAATTAGATGATTTCATCCTCGAGGAAGTACATAAATTCAGGAAAGTGTCACATCTCCAAATATTCGTAAATATTAGGCCTGATAACTAACAATAAAAATACATTTTCCAGTGAAGCGTTAAATTAAATTATATGATGACCTCCGTGAATATCTGTCATTGTTTTGACACACTATTCTCTCATCTTTTATTTTATTTTCAATAATTCACTACGGGATCATATACCTTATGAGGTTGATCTACTGCACTAATGAGAAGGATTTGATATTAAACAATTGATAATGTTCAAATTTTAAGACATTTAAAAATATCATTGAAAGTTAACTGAATATATAAGCAGGTATTTATGTTAAAAAATTAATTGAAATACGCTGTAATTCAATTGAAAAGTATGGCCCATGAAAATATTGCACATTGTCTCATCTTCCAATTATCATTATTCTCTTGGGCTGACATGCTAAGAAGCGTTAAAAGAGATTTCCAAATCAGTCTTGAATTTTAATGCCTGACTACATGTCTACCACCATAACATGTTTTGACTTTCAAGAACTTTTGAAAAAATGACTCAGGTACTAATTGGAAACAAAAATTTACTCACTTAAAATCAACAAATTTTAAAGTTTGATTATTTTTAAAAAAATCAGGTCTTCAGGGGCTATTTCTAGAATCTAACAGGCTTGATTTCACACAGGTACCTATCGAGAAAGCCTAAAACGAGATGGGCAGGTAATCCAATGTCCTTTGACTAATTTATTTATGCTGTTTTACTTAATTTTTTGCAGGATTTCAAGTTCAAGAACAAAAAAAAATGGATGTCATCAGTAAGAAGGATCTCATTGAGACAGTAACCCGACAAGAAGAGGAATTGAAACGATACAAGAAGCGTTTTCAAGGTAACAGAGAATAAGATTCAACAGATTTCAAACAGAAAATAATTCTTTTTATATGTAATGAAAATAGGGGAGGCAAGCCTGCATCATATTTCCAAAATTAAAAACAAAAAGGCTCATCTAGGGTCTGTCATGTTTAGATAGCCACAAAAATTGGAATCAGTTTAGTAGAATGGTAGAAAGAAACTGCGTCAAAAAATGAAACTTAAGGGAATCAGAGAGCTTATATTAATGACCTGTGTTAAGAAAATGTGTTTGTTTTCTCAAATTAGAACCTATTTCTTTTTATTTCTCTTCAAATGCATTTTTCAATAAAAACAAACAATAAATGAAACTTCAATTCTCTTGATAGCTCAAAAGATATTATAAAGTCAATTTGACCCCCTGTTGAAAAAACATCAAACTCATCTAGGTACAAATGTTCAGTTTTTTTGAATTTCCTCCTCTTGCATCAACAGATGTTGTCACCGCTCACAAAAATCTTATCAAAGAGAAAGAAGCACTGGAGTTGAGTTTGAAGATCATGACTGATTCTGTAGGTACAACAAAACCACAGCCGGAATCGTCTGCTACAAAACAGGAAGAACCCTCTGAGGAGGAGAAAGGTACAGATGTCCCCTCTATAGAAGCTCAGGTAAATTTAATTTGATGGGAAAAATTTTTCTTAAGTCTCCAACATTCAAGTTTTTTAAAGATTGAACATCTTTACAATCAACTAGCACACATATTAACAGTGAGACTAAGGATCTAGATTGTGGTGTTTCAAAATTTCCTCCCCCAATTTATTTACTTTTAGCAACTTTTCCTCTACTCGTTTGCTCAAAAATACTTGAAGTATTCTTGGAAGAGTAGGATGGTGGCCTATGCAGCTTCTAAAACGGGTCTCAATAATGAAAAATGTCAGTGAATGTTTCTTAAGTATTGTGATTTAGTAAAAACTTGAAAAATTGCTCTCTTGAAAAAAAAAAAAAAAACTCGCCCCTGTGCACATATGTCCCCTCCGTGAAAGATAAATGCAAGTCGGTTCATCCCTTTTTTGAGTATCATTATTTAGTGAGGGTTGCTGCACAAATTTTAAATCTTCATCCCTCTTTCATTTTCTCTGACATTGCAGGACCCTGAAGGAAAACAATCAGATGATTCAAATGTCGCGTTACGCACTCAGCTTAACAAATTGATGAAATCTCTATCCAGCTTATCCAATGAGAAGTCACGAATGGAAGTGTGTTTTCAGACTGATAGGAAGCAGCTCCGTCAGGAGAAAGAAAAGGTTCCTATTTTTGTTTTTTCCCTCTGTATTGTCCAAGATATGTGAATTCTTTTCTTTTTAATTTTCTACTTATGGATTTGAACACTTGTAGCTCACTTTTAGGTTTTTTGTTTCAACATAATATAAATTATCGATTAGGTATCCAAAAACTTTTTTTTTTTTTTTTTTATTTATTTATTTATTTATTTATTTACGGTATTGTGGATGTGTAGACAAGCATAAAAAAATCTAGTTTCCCCTAGAACACATAAGGAACCGATAATTTTAAAGTAAAATGTTTTAACTACACATTGGTAATGCAAAGATGAAGCAGAAAACTATGTGAATGCTAGAAACTTGATATGCTTGAGGCTTTACAAAAATTTCAATCATTTCTGTTTGCAAGGAGCAGTCCCCAAAATTAAGTGTTCGATGTGTTTGGAAAATGAGGCGTACATCCGTTTCAATGTAATTTTCTTAATTGATGTTTTCCCTCTTCCCTTTATTCATTTATTCTTCTTCAATTTCTCCAGCTTCAACAAGAAATGAAAGACATGAAACAGCGCTTCGAGACATCCATAAAAAATTTTCAGAGTGAAATTGAAAATTTGAAGTCGAAATTAATCATTTCAAAACACCAGCGGGACAAAGAACTCATGGATCACGGAGCCATTGTCAGGTAATCTATACATTCAAAATTATTTTAACTTTTTTAGATCTAGAAATTATGTGTTTTAACTCTTACAAAGATACCGTGTCCAAGTACATTCGTAATTCCGCTTATTTGAATTTAACGATGTACTCTTCAGTCTATTTCTTAAAGTAATTTGATTTACTTAATAAGATTGTGAGAACAATTAGTTTGTGCCAGTAATATCAGGTATGGACCAGTAATCTGCCTCCAACTTCCTAATGTGCCAGTAGGTTGGGTGCGTTAACCCATTGTCCTTTTTTTTCTTTTCTTGGAAAGAAAAAATGTATTGACGCAACTATTGTCCCGATCCCTCCCAAATGCAAGCAATCAGCAGAAATGGTGACCAAGGAGCTTGCTACGTTGCAAGTAGTGTGCGAGATGTGGGTTTAGATCGTGACTCAAACCTTTAATGGATGACGGAGACAAATCCAGTCATTCCTCTCGCGGGTATTCAGAGGCGGTAGTGAACATACTTTCCTAATTAACCCTGGAACTTTACCGTAGCTTCATTTTTTAGTGCATGGCTGCTTGAATTTAAGCATGAGGAGCTGAAATGGGTGACTAGACAAGGTCTAAACTAAAAGGAAACGTGATCCGTTTCCTCTTTAAAATTTTACGCAGAAAGCTATTCAGACCACGAAAAGTTTGGAAGTCAACTCCCAAAAGAGGCTCTAACAAGTATTTTTAACACTGATCAAATAGAAGTTAGATCATACAAATGGCTCATTTGTATCCTTGCCGTTTTATCAATGTTAATTGTGAACATCTAAATCTTCCTCAGGAGTTGATTTCCAGACCTCCGATTATACGGTTCGTTTCCTTTGTGAAATTTTGAAGAGGAAACATGTGACAAGTTGCTCCAACTCTTGCCTTGTCTAGTGGCCCATTCTTGAACATTCTTTATTTCTAAGATATCTCTTTTTCTATTAACATTTTTTTATGTCTCCAAATACAGAGAGCTGCATCAAAAACTGCATGATGAATGTAAAAAGAGAGAAGAACTAGAACGAAGTGTTGAACTGAAAGATCAAAGAGAGCAGGACCTAAAGAATCAGATAGAAACCCTCCAACAGAAAGTGAGCAAGACGAAAGCCCCATTGCTGAACCGATTACACGAGGAAATGATTGCAATGAAGCAGCAGCATATGGTCGCCATCCAACAAGTAAGAACAGATCTTTAATGTGTATTCAACTGATCCTCATGCGGCAGAATTGGTGACAGAGTGTATGAGATCCTGTAGAATGTGTATCTTGAAGATTTTTGCTTTCACAAGATTACGCTTCATCAAGCCACTATCTATGAAACCAAACGAAAAAATTGTTTCAGACTGTAACAGATTTTTAGGTCCTCTGTGGTGACATAAATAAATTTGTTCCTCCTCAGAACCAGGAGTACATAGTGCGTCTGACATAACCTAGCCCAATCTCACCTAATTCATCAAACCTAAAATAATTATAAAACAAGTAATTAACAGAATTTTGCCAAACAATCTCTATTGAGGCCTTTCTCAACCTATTTGACGTGACATAATATTTTTTAAATAATTACTCCATGATGCAGGGAGTTACTAAAAAATCCCGGGGAACCATTTCAGGTTATTGCAGGGCCGGGCAAAAAGTGACTAGATTTTTTTTTTTTTTGCTCAGCCTCTCACCTTGGAAATGGCAGGTGAGCGGTTTTTCCTGGCCCAAATCAAAAGCCTAGGGCCAGGCAAATGCCCAGTCTACCCCCTCCCCCTTCCCTCAAATGGTGCCCCTGATAAGAATCTGTGGTATACCGAATCAAATTTGCTTCAAAGCACCATCAGTTGTCTCTGACTGAACAGATACACCGCTAATTTATACCGCACAAAATATGCAAAACTGCGTAAGGAATTAATGGTCAATTTAATTTTATCCATGCATTTTATGGACAACACTGAAATTAATGGAATCAGGTTTGACTTCCAAGGGCATTTTTTTATTTGCTAATGGTTGACCATGATTATGTAAGGAATGCCCAATGATTTTGTTTCCTTATGTGTTCCCCAGGAGCAAGAACGAGCAGCAAAGGCAGAAGAACAAGTTCAGCGGTTAGCAGCCATGCATGAAGAGAGAGTCGCAAATTTAGAGGCTCGATTGGCAGAACTATCCCTCACAGTCGGCTCCTATGATCATCTAAGGCAGCAGGACCAAAACGCTATTTCAAAATTAAAAGTAATAAACCAACAAGTCCCATTTTCATTCCTGAAACATTCCAAAAATTTGATTTAATTATTTGACTCCTAAACTGAAGTGGCAATCATTCTCAGGAGTGCAGAAATTTCCTAGCTTTCCCGCAAATTCAATTGATCTTAACTCATGTATAGTCAAAATGTATAGTGATCGCTTCCCCTTGAGGACTTGAAAAGAGAAAACTTACTAAAAAAATTGGGCACTCTCACTGCTGGAAGGCTGTATTTTGAAAAAATCTGACAAAATTCCCTCCTTTCATTCTGTTTTTATAGGGACCTCCCCAATGTACCCTGTTTTTATAGACATATCTATTTTCAGAAAAGAGGAATTTTTTCTAGTTGAGGACAACGCTAAGAAAATTCAATTTTTTTATTCTCCTTTGATATATCTACAAGTCACAAGGGACAACAGCCGCTTTCAAAGTAATGCTCTATATCAACGGTGAAACTACCAGACCACGTATCTCGTTTGCGGTGTTTAAAAATCTCCGCCCCCATTGTATTTTTTTATGGGAGAACAAATCAATATCATTTTTTGAAATTTTCATGGAGTTTTCCTCGCATAGAGCGGAAAAAACACGGAAGTTTTCCAAAATTGGCGTTGAGTAGTTTTCCATTTAAAAAATAAAGTATGCCAGGAAGTCTACAACGTCGCAAACCGAGATACGTGGTCTGATAATTTCACCGTCGATATAAGTTGTCCCTGGCTAAGAGCCTAGTTTAGGCTCTTGTTCAAACATTCAATCGGATTGTCTCTTGAAGGGGACAAGTCTACATTCCAGATGAGCCCCACAATCCTAGCACTCTTATATAACCAAAAGCTCTTCTGGACAGTGAACTCGCTCCTTTTTAGGTGCAACCTTTTCGTTTACCATTTGAGTCCGGCAAAATACTTGGTTTGTCCTCTGATTGGAAAGATTAATTTAACTGAACACATGAAAATTAGTTTTTCTCATCTCCTCAATTGATCTTTCTAGGAAAGATTGGCCCAGTTAGAAAATGAAAGGAGTGAATGCTACAAAGATAAAGCAGATCTCGATTTTGAGGCACTTGTCAGCAGGCTGAAGCACTTGAAACAATTGGTCTTAGAAGCAAGTGATACAGCAGAAAAACCTGTCGATGTTCAAGGTTAGTAACGTCTCCACTGTTGGAATGAACTGTGTGGAATCAATCCCAGCTTGAATGAGGATAAGCTGCTTATCTCAGTTTGTATCACAAGGAAATCTTGTTTGAATTTCAAAATAAAATCTCTTGTTTTAGTTCTTTTGCATTTCTTTGAAGAGTACGATAGACCATACGACGAAAAATTTAAACCTCCTACTCACATGATAAACCAGAATCTATGTTAATGGACGGTTTTGGCAGGTCTCTTAATTAAACAGTGTCCTTGCTCTGTTCTGTGTTGTGCAAAGTGTAAACAATATGCAACAGCTGAGCCAAATACCAAGATTGAGGGTGCTGTACTTTCATACTGCGAAGACTGTTTCGGTAACACTTAGGGTGCGATTCAGCTCAAGTTGATTATTGATTTATTTACGAACAAGAAGTGAGAATGTATGCTTAGGAAAACCTATTTATCTTAGAAGTTATTATCAATTATTTACATTGCACAAATCATGTCGCTTATGGAATTTTGATGAGGTAACAAATATTGTAATGCTTAAATTTGCACTTTGTCTAGAAGTTCATTAACAAAATCTGAGCAACAATTGGACGTATTTGTGCTCAAAGAAACTGCGTTGCATGCAAACTCTATGCACATTGTTCATTTTAGCATAAGTACGTTTGACTCACACACACAGATAAACACCATCAAACATTTTGAATGATTCACTTTATAGATTTTGATGATAATGCTTTAACTTTAGAAAAATACTTTTTAGGATTATTATAGAATATTAATAGCTCTTAGACAGGCTACTCCTCTTTAATATTTTCTTTTTAAAATTTATGCAGCAATTCTCCTGGAGGGGCTCATTGATAAAAAAGAAGACAACAGAAGTGGTGGTGATGATCATACCATTTGTGAACAAGAATATGATTTACTGAAGCAAGAATTTGAAAACTACAAAAAACAGTTTAATCTACAACAACAAAGAACATTGTTCAGCCACACCATCATGTGAGTACTTTCTCCAAGTTGATTGCATGCATTACTTGAAATCAAGGTTCTAGAAGGAATCAGGGTACCAGTCGCATTTTGAAAGTTTTGATTTTCTTAAATGGCACGCAATTCCTTACGTGTCCCGGTGGGATGAGTACCTAAACCGGAAGGGTATTTTACTTTTTGCGCACTAAAAGAGGGAGCATTTGAAATAGCAAAAGTTTTGTGGGAGAGTGGTTTTAGGATGGGAGAATCGAGAACACTGATAGTTTTTGAAAATAGCTAAACACACCTTTATTCACACTGGATTTAACAGCTGTTGGGACACAATACTTGGCTCTAAAAGATCTGAGAGTTTTGGACAGAGCTTGAAAAGTGACTTACAGTCTAGCTGAGGTGTTGAACCTGAGGTGTTAGCGGTTGGAACCGAAGGAAAGAGTTGAACATACGGATGGGGCTTGGAAGCCTCGATTTGTAACCCTGAGGCATATTACATAAGCCATCCGGTGCACAGATTAACAAGAGCATAAAATATATGTGATGGTGCATCCGATTGTATGCAAGCACTGGCTTAATGCCTAAAATGCTTGACAAGTGGAAACTGAGAAAGAGACAGAAGATATGGGAGGGAAAAGGATAGACACGGAATCTGTCTCTGGGACAGTTTTGAATAGAGACGTTGCGTAACACGGGGCAGTACCTTCGATTGAAACAGTTTAAGGAACCAAAGAGCAGTAAGCTGAATGTGAACTACAGAGCAAATATATCCAACTGTCATCATGCAGAGCAATTATATTTATAAATAGAGTTTTGTAAAAAAAAAAGAAAAAAAAAAAAAAAAAAAAAAAAAAAAAAAAAGTACCTAGTAACGCACTCTATCATATCATAAGTCCCTTTCCAACATGTTTTCTGCAAATAAGTAGGTATTTGCACAATTACTACCGTTGGGGTAGGAAAATTTGCTAAAAAAATCGCAAAATTTGCATGCATTAACTCTGGATCCTGCTAATTGCTGCAGCAAAAGCGCTTACTATTGAACTATTATTATTCATAATTGATTTCGAAAAATTTCCATGTGTTTGTAAGTAAAGTATAGTGAATACTAAAACAATTATAGTGATTTTATTAAAATAGTCGATTATCGTTGTCTCAAATGATAAAATTTGTGCCAAAATATTAGTTGAAGGTGAATGAAACTGTTTTTTTTTACGATTGCACTTGGATGTATTCCACCTTATAAGGTTACAAAATTTGCATTGCATTTGAATAAAAAAAATCACCATAAGAATATGACAGCTTTTTGAACATAGCAGGATACTTTAAAGCTGCTGATCATGAGGAGGAAATCTTGACTGCAAAGAATCCAATATTCGTATTAATATCATGAGGTAAAAGGCTTTAATTGGGATTATTGAGCTTCTAAAAGGATGTTTTTCTGCATTTAAAACATTGTACGATCATGTTTTTCAGGGAAAATTGTCCTCAGTTACCATCTTGTTGGTATAGACCTATTTGTAAAATGGTGCTGCGTTGAAGATTCTTCAATTGATTTTTGCTAATGTTCAGTTTAGGACAGTTGTTCTGTTGTTTTTCTTTCTTACAATTTCTTTAATTGAAAAATCGGTGTATGTATATCATTGTGTGCAGGAATGATGAACCTGGTGAAAAAACTGCCCTTCAAGGCCAAATTAAGCATTTGAAAGAGAAAGTGAACTCGCTTCAAAATGAACTTAATCGTGCAGAGACAGATTATAAAACCAAACTGGAGCAGCAGCGTAAAGTAAGATATAAACTGAGTGTTGATTTGTAACACTTCATTTTTAATTTTCAGAATATTCTCATTCAATGAAAAAATTAGTTTTATTGTGCTTACTCAAGACCAGGAATTCCTTCCTGTGAAAATACTTCAAGATATTCCCTTTAAAATATTTAGGGCAGCAAAGAAAGATGCTTACCTCATATCACAGGTGAAACTCCCAAAGCACTTATCTCGGTTTGCAGATGAATGTGTCATACTTTATTTTTTAATGGAAAACTACTCTTGTCAATTCTTAAAAACTCCTGTAACTTTTCTTGTCTGTGTGAAGCGTATTTGAAAAAACTTCAAGAAATAATATTGCTTTGTTCTCTTCTAAAAAACTCAAATAGGAGTGGAGTTCTTTGAACATTGCAAATGAGGTACATGGTTTGAGAGTTTCACCATTGATATTCAATGCAAAACTTGGATCATCCATCTCTCTAAAATATCGCTAAGCACATTTATGTTTTCACACACTTGGAGACAAGGTGAGTGGATCAGTCTCCAGAAGTAAATCAGTTTAAGGAAAAAAAAAGGATTCCAGTTGAAACAAGGAGAGCGAGAACATCAAATTCTATATAATGTATTAATTTATCACTGGAGAATTTGCAGGTTTCTAAAACTTGATAAATTTTGTGTTTAAGTAGAAATTACTAAGTGAACTGAGCTCAAGGATCTCCGTGGTTTCTGAATTGAACAATTGTAGGAGGGGATAAGATAAAATATTCCCAAGTGATATTTTTGTATTATTGTTATATCTGGGGTAAGACATTTCATTGGAACATTTTTAGACTAATGCATTTAATCATGTCTTCAACATGGAGTGAAAAATGCCTAAATTCAGTCATGCCCCATATAGTATTCTATCAACCTGTTGGAAAAGCTGAGTAAAATTCAACTGGGAGATAAGTAAACAGTGTGTAAAAATAGCTTCATATTGTGGAAAGGAATGTAAAAAGAGAGCAGATCAAATGTTTGTGCTTACTCCGCTCCCAGGCATTACATAAAGTATTCTTTTTACTTTGCTTTTTCAGCTTTGGAAGAGTGATCCTGCAGTATTGCTCAGAAATGATCAAATTATTTAAAAAAATACTTCAAGATCAATTTATTTTTTTCCAAATTCGAAAACAACATGACAGTTGCATCATCCCATTCATTCCATTTATGAAAAAATCCATAAAATTTTAAGTTCGATTTTTATTTTAAAAATAGATATTTGATGCGGAAAAAACCGGTCTGAAAGAGAAGTTAATCCTTCATGAGAATGAATATAAATCAAAATTATTCGCGCTGGAACAGCAAGTTGTTAAACAGAGGGAACGAGCCATGGCTATGGTTCAAGAGAAAGAACAGGAAATCCACAATCTCAAGGACAGTATGAATTTCATCATTCCAGCATCTTATTCTCAATCCAAGAAGGGACGTACGACTTCGCAGTCGTCAGACACAAAGGTAAGAAATACTATGAATCACCAGACTATATATATAAAATTCACACTCTGCTGTTAAAAAATCTCTTTCGCCATTTGTGCCATTAATAGATTCTTGCGCCACAAAACCTTTGATAGGAGGATCTCGGGATGCTTTCCCCAAAACATAATTGGGAATTTTGTAATTTTTTTTGGGGGGGGAGGGGGGTAAACAAAACCTTGTAGTTTTTCTAATTTTCAATAGTTGATCATAGTAAACTGATTGGATTAAGATGTAGACCTACATTTCTAATTGAAAACTTAGGAAGATGCGATTTCAACCTGTTTTTTCATAGCCTTCCTATTTTTTCATGCAAGTGGCCTAAGAAGTTTCTGCATCCCTGGTTGAAGCAAAAATTTCATGCTACTAGTGTAGTTTGCAATCCTCCATCAAGCTCACAAAATTTAAATTAGGATCTCATAAAACCTTTGTATGTGATCAGTTAAATTATGAAATGGGCAAAATTGAAGAAAAACAATATTTCTTGTTAAATTTTTTGGTGGTGAGTAACAGTTACATTCAAGCACAAATTTTTAACACAGATAACAAAGTAAACCTTGCAAGTTTTACAGTTTAATTCAAATTGTGATGTATTTTAGAGTTCTGTGGATGAAGATGTACACGAGTCAAGTTTGAGTGGCATCACCTCCACGAATGATAGCCCTCATATGTTACATTATGCACATGAGCTTGCAAGAAGAGATGTCGATATATCAAAACTGAGACAGGCCAAACACAAACTAGAAATGACTGTGAGAGATCTACAACGCATTGTTGCGGCAGAAAGGGACCAATTTTCGCAAGATATTATGAAACTAAAGGAGGAAGTTTCAAGGTTGGTATCCCACATATAAATGTATTTTTCCGTAAAAAAATTTTTTTAGCCATTTATCTGAAGGCCACACTTTTCTTCTGTGTGTTTACATGAGTGGAAAAACAATATTGAAACAGGGATTTCAAGGCCAAAATGACGAAAAAAATTGAGCTACTCTCTGCCGTTTGAAGATCATTTTTAATTGAAAAAATTAACCAACAAGGAATACTAGTTGAATCTACTAAAAATGTAGTTGTTGTGCCTATTCCAATTATGAACCTTATTGTATAACATTATAGTTTTATGAAATAGCTTTTTTGAAAGCTCATAGATACAGTTGCAATGTATAAAACTGTTAATGAGCCGAACTACTAACTTCCAAGTGCTTTAAATACCTTTTATTTTAGCAAACTCGATTTCACATATCTGAGCATTTTTTTTGCAAAATGCACCACTGAATACCTATTCAACCTAACCTATCATTTCTTCCTTTGTTTGGTTTTCCCCCCCTTTTTTTAGCTGGCTGTAGGCTAACTATCAGTACAACAAATTCTAAAAAATAATATATATGTTTTTTTGGCTTACAGGTTGGAAAGGTGTAAGTCAAGAGAAAGTGCCAATTTGGAGTACCTGAAAAATGTGATCCTCAGCTACTTAACCTCCACAAATTCTAGTCAAAGGCTTCACATGCTGAACGCCATCGCATTTGTTTTGAAATTCTCGGACAGTGAAACAAAACGTGCCCTGATGCACATAAACAAATCCACAGTTACATGACGGTAGTTGCTGCCTCTGTTTCACCTTTTTGAATTTAAAATCTTGTGGAATCTTTCGAAGTGGGGAGTTTCTTAACGGGAGATACTGGAGGAGCTGTGGATGCAAATCGATGGCTAAAGTGCGAAACCACATACCTCCGTTTGGAACTTTGCAGACTTCCTGTCCTTCTGTATTTTTTCTTTGGAATAGCAGTCAACGTAAGTTCTTGAAAACTTCCTTGATTTTTCTTTCCTGTCAGAGGAATATTCTACCGGAATTTCAGGATATAAAGTTAGCTCGTTAATTTTCTAAAAAATAAAATAGGAGCAGAAATTTCAATATACTGCAATGGAGATACATGGTTTCACACTTTGTTCATCGAAATGCAAAATGCTCTTTTGACATAATCAAAAGATTATAAGCACGAAAACTTTGAAAGCTAGGCAAAAATTTTTTTCAAGTAAAAGGTAGAAATTTTTTAATCTGAAGGCTGATGAATACCAAGAATCGAAATGTTGCTCAGATTGTCTCAGATCACTATCTGATCCAAAATCATCACAGGCAAAAAATCAGTATTGTCAATCCGACCAAAGAAACTCCAGCTTTATATACTTGTTCTTCTTGTCATCACCCTGTTTTCACTTTTTTGGCGAATGAGAGGGTGATTCTTCTTCTTGGATGTATTCATATTCTGTTGTAGTTGTAATTGCCTCACTGATGATTCCTATGTCAGGCCTAGCCTTTTAGAAATCATGGACTCTGTCAGGCACCATCTGTGATGATTAAAGAATAAGAAGGATAGGATAGATAAAATGTCTTTGAACTTTATAATTTAAAAACTTAAGTATCCTCCATTTCTTTACTTTATGGTTTTAAAATTCAGTTGTATGATTGTTGAAAGCCCTTTCTTTCATGAGAAATAATAGATTATATGGAGGAGAATTTTTATATTACCGAAATTTATTTTATTTGGATGGACTGATTGCGGCCTAGCATTAGAAATGGAAGAGAGGTATAAAGTGGTCGATTTCAGTAAATATCCATTGTAGAGTCAGCAGGACTTTGCTTTGATCCTCGGTTATACCATGTGCTATTAATAAAATTCGCTGGAGCTAGGACGATTATTGTCAAGTAACAAATTTTTCTTCCTCTCGGATCATCTCATTATGACTCCAAGTTGCGACAGTGATCGTAGAAATGAAAGAGTGTCAGTAAAAGAAGGCCCCTTTTCTGCTTTCAAAGTATAGATTTGAACTGGATGGGGCTTGAATCAAAGATCAAATCATTGACACAATTTTTGAGACAAAATTCTAGCTAGAATATGAACGATTTTTGAAAGACAAGAGGGTGCTCGTTGGTGATGGGAGGGGGGGGGTGAATTTTTCTTTGTTTTAGTACAACTTCCTTCAATATCCCATTTTACTTGCAGAAAATGGGTCATCGTTGTCGCTGTTGACCTTCGAACTTTCAGCCACTGTTCACTTTATACAAAAACTACGAATTTGTACAAATTCACAACCGAGTAATAATTTAAAGCTCAGGCCGCTATTTTATGAGCAGAAGTGAAATGATGGCTGATTAGTCCCTGATCTCATTGATTGCTAAAAATTACGTGTTGCGGCCCACTTTTCAGGGCGCCATTCAATGATGCATCTGTGACTTCCATTTTCAGAGTGTGAAGTGGGCTTACAACTCTGCTTTGCTTCTCATCTAATTGTGCTTACTCATGTTAATTTGCATGATTTATCCAGTTTTAATATGAAAATCGTAATGAGATCTTTTTAACATTAGGGGGGGGGGGTACCATCAAATTTTAGACCATTTCTCACCCTCTGAATCCAAATGATTCCCACGTTTCTCAAAAACCGTCCGGATACTTTAATTAGGTGAAGTTTTTCCCTGAGTTCTGGGTCATCATATGCTTTGACTTAAGCCACAATAAATTCAAATCCATGGTGGCCATTTTGGGGGGTGATTTTTTACCAAGGCTCTTTAACATCAGTATTCATTATCTATTTCTTCTTTTATAAGGTAGCTAAGCACTGTAAACATTTTATAATTTTTTTAAAGAATATTAATTTATTTGTTCTAACAAGCGGTTTTATTTTATTAAAATGACTTGCAATTCCAAAACTGAACCGCTGCTTTGGAAAAAAAATCTGTGTTGATTGAGGAAACAAACCAACTGTTTTTAAGATCAGTAGGTGATTATATATTTTTACCCGTTTTATATTTTAAACCAATGGTTTCAAATCGAAAAGAAGTGAGCCGATTGTCGTAAAATGCGCAAGCCATTCTATAATTTCAGTCCCATCTATTTCCATCTCACAGGGGTCGGGTCACTTTGGCGACTCTTCACCAGCTGATGGCCGTTGCCGTCCTGGTATTCGGTGGGCCCCTTTCATGGGGGGCACTTTGGCGACCCTCATGACGGGGGCAATGTAGCTAATTTTTCCCCTCATCCAAAAAAAAAAAAAATCCCATCTATTTACAAGTATTTAAAGTTGAAGAGAAACTATAACTTAGAGGGAATAGCAAATATCACTCCCAATGATTGTTAGGAAACAATTGATTGGGATTTTCTGTCTCTAAAGAAATTTCTCATTAAAGATACAACAAATAGTTGATGTGTTTAACATAATAACGTTGTTGATACTATTTCATCTTGTGAATAGAAAAAGTCTGACAGAACTTGCGTCAAATAAGTTGGCAGTTTGTAACTCCGTTTGCAAGTAACTGCGCTGCTGCCGTTCGATAGCAATCGGAGGGCTTGGAGGACAAGGCGCATAAGTGCAGTTTTTGCTACTCCGAAAAATACGTGTTTGAAATTTCGGAATCCTGTGGATCCTTATGGTGGGAAGGAAGTTCAAACTGACTTTTTGATGCCTAAAAGTTGGAATTTGGGGGCAAATTTTTTATAGAAGTAGGTATGCATCAAGACTAGTTTTACTTAAAATCATTAATATCTTCATTTTTTCAAAAACTGCACTTACGCGCCTTGTCCACTGATCCCCTCAATTAAGGACTGACTGAGTGCAAGAACAATGGTGTGTTGCCATTAGGTACAAATACTGAAATCCAATCCCCTTCTTTCAAGAGGATATTATTAAAAGTGCCAACTGCAGTTGAAAATCAGAACTAAACAACTGCTAACCCATCTGTCAAGAGTTATAATACCTATAGTTCTTAGCAGGTGAGCCTCACCTCTTAACATAGTTCAGAAGGGCCCTGTACACACCTCTTGGGGATGAGTACCACAATCAATTTCCCATTTTATTATCGCATTAAACTTGTCTATGGATACTGATTAAAAGTCATCTTTGCCCTAACTTTCTACAAGCTAAGTACCATTTTCGTACAATCCACAGTTGGAGGTTCAATAATTCTTTGAAGAAAAGGAGGCAGTGCAGCAATGAAGGGCCAAAGAGATCCCTCATTTCAGCACTTGTGTACGGTTGGCTGTGTGTCAACAAGGAAATCAGGAAAACCGCAGCGCAGTCTTATCTCGGATTCCGCACGCCTTTTCGCTTGACCATCCAAATAAGATTCTCTCTCTAACCTCTCATCGACTAGATTTTTCCTTGTTTTCATCTTTTTTTATATTGATTAGATACATAGGGGACGACAGAATATACGCGAATTAACCCTACTTTTCATCTGGACCGTTCTTGAGTGTTAAAAGAAAGAGGGATCTTCTTTACTCTTATTGCTGTGCTTCTCCTTTAATTCAAGGAATTATCCTAACTCCAACTGCGCATTGAAAAAAAAAAAAAAAAAAAAAAAAAAAAAACTGCGCATTGTGGAAAGCAATAGCTCGTAGAAGGTCGGCGCACCGATGACTTCGGATCAGCATCCATAGACGAGTTTAGTGCGATAAAAAAATGGAAAATCGATAGTGGTGCATATCCCCATAAAGAATGTGCGGGGTCACCTGATGTGCCATTTACGACAAGGAATTCAAATTAATAGCTTTTCAAGAATTTGAGCTGCAGTCAAAGTGGTACCCTAGAGTTGAAAACCAGAAATAGATTCTTTAATAATGTTCTTGGTGATTGCAAAAGTACGTAAACAAAGTTTTCAGTGTTCACTGAAAACTTACTTGTACTAGGTAAATGATAGAAAACGGTGGTTGAAGATAGAAACATAATAAGTTATATTAAGACATTTACTGAAACAGAATTTTTTAATACAAGTTTGGAATAATAACCAATTTTTTCAGAACTCATAGCAACAAAAGTCCATAAAAAATTATTTTTTTGCTTCCGATGGTTCTGGAACTATTTCACTTGGTTCCTCTCTTTTCAAACTATCATATCCATAAATTCGGAGGTTGGGAAATAGTCCTTCTAGCTCCAATAGTGTCATTTCTAAGAATATACTATACCGCAGGTTACTAACATTCAGTGATTCAAGTTTTGTCAATCTGTACAAAATACTAATTCCTCTATAAGTAATATTAGAACAACCAGAAATGTCCAAGTGTTGGAGAGCTGTCACAGTTCCTGATATGTAATCCATCCACCAATCATTAGCTTGAGGGACATTTGCTATGCTCAAATGAGTTAATCCTGAGAGATTATTTAAATGCGTCAGAGATGTATATCTCACGTCCTGATTAGAAAGATCAATACCTGTTAAAACATACTCTGTATCATATATCACTGGTAAATCCTTTGCTAGTTTGTCATCAGAGTAAATCCATTTATCAATATTAAGAAACTTAACTCCACCTCTGCGAAACAAAACAAACTGAGCTGCAGTTAAATCTGCACCACTGAGCTTAATCCGCTCCGGATCTGCTGACTGTTCTTTCAGCTGAGCTTCACGAATATCATCTTCAAAAGCCCCAAAAATGGACCCTTTCCTCTTGAGCAGCTTTCGCATCCTCACTGCAAATGGTACTTTCCCTTCATCTGCCACCATTAGTTTTGAGAGGATAGGCATGTCTTCGTACCTAAAATCCTTTGCAGATAACTCCATTTCTCGGTCGTATTGACTTTTATTCTCACGGGGACTTCTATGCTGGAAGCGCTTAAAAACTTGAATGTTACAGCCTATGAGTTCAGTAACACTAGTAATTCTTGTGAGCAAGTGAAGAGGCCGCAAAGTCAAAAGAGCACTCATTTTCTTTGATGCAACTTGATAACAGCAGTCGATGAGTTCATAAAAATAGAGAGGCGAAAACCAATGGAAATACAGGAATATGAAAATTTTTATAAAATCAGTGGTATATAAATTGATAGTAATTTAAGTCCACTTGGTTTTTAGGAGAAAGTTTTATGTTCAGACTTAGTTGAGACACACATGCATAAAGAATCGGGTTAACACTTTAACAGGCATCTATCACGACTTTCAAGCACTGAGTATTACTGAAGCAAGAGCGAAAATGTTATTGTTCTGTTATTCCAAGTTTTGTGTACATTCAATCACATTAAAATTAAAAAATTTTGAAATTTAAACGTCCCACAACGGGCTGAGAGAGGTCGAACATAACCTCTCTCGTTTTGTTTGTTTACGTTTACAAACAACAATAACAAAGCAGCCACCAGGGACAGGGACCAGTTCTATAGGACCCTGGACTCCCGTAAGAGTCAATGTAAAAATTCGTGAGCAGGTACTAGTGCTGCTATCGCGCGTAGGATCCTCGCAACTCACTGCTGTTATCAGTTGTTGGACTTCATTAAAATCCGTAGGATCGCGTATAACTGCGAAAAATCGAATTTTTCATCGTATTACTACATGCGGCGGGCCCTTCCTTGTCGAAAGGGGTCGAAAAACGCCAAAAATATACTTATTTTTTAAGAATTCAGCCGCCTTATGTGTTATTTTTCAATCTCCGGCGTAACCTCACTTTTGGAGCGGGCGATGGATGAGTCGAGGTTCGGGGGGAAGGATCCTCTGAGTTGACTAGGATCCTACGCGAGAATGCGCTGCAATCACCCGCTCACAACAGAACGGCGTCCTATAGAACTCGTCCCTGCCAGGGACGAGTTCTATAGGACGCCGTTCTGTTGTGAGCGGGTGATTGCAGCGCATTCTCGCGTAGGATCCTAGTCAACTCAGAGGATCCTTCCCCCCGAACCTCGACTCATCCATCGCCCGCTCCAAAAGTGAGGTTAAATAACACATAAGGCGGCTGAATTCTTGAAAAATAAGTATATTTTTGGCGTTTTTCGACCCCTTTCGACCAGGAAGTGCTCGCCGCATGTAATAGTACGGTGAAAAATTTGATTTTTTGCAGTTATACGCGATCCTACGGATTTTAATGAAGTCCAACAACTGATAACAGCAGTGAGTTGCGAGGATCCTACGCGAGATAGCAGCACTAGTACCTGCTCACGAATTTTTACATTGACTCTTACGGGAGTCCAGGGTCCTATAGAACTGGTCCCTGCAGCCACCCACCACCACCACCCACAAGTTCTTTGAGGTTAGAGTGGGTTAGACCCAAAGACATAAAGACGGAGTGCTCGTATCTAAAAGCACGGGGAAAAAGTGAAGCTAGGTTCGGCGCTGCGCGTTTGTGTGAGTGTGTAAATGAGCGCGGGAATCCATGGCGGCAAACGGAAATTTGATTTGAACTTGTCCTCTTGATTTTTCCTTATTTCTTCTTCGAAACGTGTTTTAAATGCTTTAAACGATTATATTAAGAAAGTTCGGTCTGCGTCCTAATATATTACACCTACTTTTGCTCGGTAACAGGCAGTAATCTCAGATAAAGTTAGTTTTTCTTCTGCTTATGGTGGTTCTGCAGGTTCAAACAGGCCGTTACAGTTCTAGATCTACGTTACTCCCAAATGAAATCAGTCGGTCGACGACGGACCGAAACTAACCTAAAGTTAATAAAATATGAGTGTGTACCTGAATTTGGGCAAAAATCAACCTAAAATACTTTGTTTCCGCAATTTTATTTATTAGTTCCCGCCCTACATTTGAATTCAAACTTGTCCCGATTTCGCCGCCAATCCTCTAGCCAATAGTAGAGGTGATTGTAAAGAAGCTCTAGAAGCTTCATTTTTTGCTTTTAGTGCTCCGTCTTTATGTCTTTGGTTAGACCAAATTTCTCGAAAAATCTCTTCTCACCAGAACCAGAGACTTACCAATAATCAGTAATTTTCAAAATTACATCGGGTACATAGGTACGTCCTTAACGATCTTAAAACCTCATTTTAACTCTCAGCAGCAGTTTGACTCATCTCTACAGTTGACGTAATCTCTGCTTCTTCAGAACTGCTCTGCGGTATTGTCTTGCAATCGGCTTAGTTGAAGCTGCGATGTTTGAGAATTACAATATCCTTGGACACTCATATATCTAGGATTGGTTATTTTGTCTATCAAGGTCGATAGACTCAAGTTAGTTCGGTGGCAAGCGTTCGGATTTTGGCGACAAATTCCCCCTATTTGCTGTTTTACTAAGACTTTCTAAACGTTTCCTCACTTTGCGCCGCACTGTTGCATAGTTCCTCCTGATCTCCCGGATCTGCATGAGATCAATGTAATCAGATTGGGAGAACAGTAGAGTGGGACAAGCAAATGGGGGAATCGTCTGGTAATGCGGACAGCCCTGGCCACCGCTTTCCCAAGATTGTCATACTCTACTTTCCTAGCGAACTGACCCAGGTCTATTGACCGTGCCCTTCTATACTTCCTCACAAGTTTGATTCTAACACTGCTGATCTTTGTTGGGGTATGCTTTAGAATTGACCCAAGTCTGAAGCCCCGTGATACTTCCTCTCGCCATTAGAAGAGATTTATTTTGCCTCTGCTTTTCTTCAATTTTCATAGCAACAAATTCAGCGCTGGTTAAATTTTGACATTATTGGACCCAATGATCCTCACAGCCTTCTGTGCTGGATGAGTTTTTAGGGTGTCTACAAGTCCGGAATTTCCGGAAATATTTAGTACTGATTTTTTAAGAGCGGTCCGGAAGTATTGAAAAAGTGCGGAAATTCCGCAAGGAGGTCCAGAATTTTTTTCATTTCTTGGCATTTTTGTCATAATTTGAGCGAGAAATTCAAATTTTTAAAATTTTTCGAATTCAATTGGAGGTACTGAAAAAACACTGAATTTTTCTATGAAGAAGGTACGCAATTTCTTGTACTGAAAAAGTACTGTAAGTAAAAGTACTGATTTTTGGTCAGCCTGTTTTAGTAGACACCCTGGTTTTTAAAGTTGAATTTTCTAAGTATGTGCCAATCTCAAGAAGGGTTGAAAAGTAAACTTTTTGGCATGACCAAAGAGTGCTTTTGTTTCCTCACAGGCTGGGAAGATGTGAAAAGTATCAAATCCTTCTGAATGATAATAGCGTGCAGCGCAGTATTCACACTAACATAGCAACAGCTCAACATCTCCAGTAAGAAACACTTATGAGGAGGCCAAAAAATTCATTTTTCAGCTTTGCTTTTCTCGACATTTGCACCCAGAAAGTTTGATCTGAGAACCTCATCATGCTCAGGAGAGTCTCGAGGAAAATGATACCAAAATTTGACAGTCGCGTCATCATGATTTTGTTTTTTTTCACTCCCTGGCTGTTCTAAATCAGTCTAATTTCTATGCAGTTAATCTGCCTTTACAAATTTTGGAACAGATGCTGAAAATCCACTGTTTTTTGCTCATTTTAAGATTAAATTAAACAGTTCAAAAGCACTTAGAAACACACACAGTTTTTCCAAGGATACAAAATTGCCAATATCTTGTTTGCAAATAGGAGCTTCATTTTGTGGTCCTTTTCGTTTGTTTAGGTGTACTGGTAGTCATTCCTCTTCATCACCTTTTTTTTGTTTTTCAATAACATACGTATTTTCTATACCTAAGTTTTGTCGGTTATAAGTTTCTCACAAAATTTGTTCTCTTATTCTAGAAGTTTCAAGATGATCATCCCTATTCGCTGTTTCACATGTGGTAAGGTCATTGGAAATAAATGGGAAACCTATCTGGGCCTCTTACAAGCTGAATATACGGAAGGGTGAGCTCTCTGTCATCTCCTTTTTTTTATATCTTTCATATAGCAAAACTGTCCATTGTCAAAGAAACAAAACCGAATTGGCAATGCCAATCTGCCACGTAATAATTTCGGAAGTACAGAATTTCGGTTATCACATCATGGAAGAAATTTTGCACCATATTCTGTATGATTATGTGTAGTATGAGGAGTTAATGGTCTCTAGTAGCTAGGGATGTCGATACTCAGGGAAGTATCGATACTCGGTATCTAAGCACTCTAAGCATCGATACCGGTATCGATCATCGAGCTGAAGTATCGATACTTATGAGGTATCGATACCATCGATACTATTTCTGAATTATGCCGTGATTCTGAGTGTGCATATGCCTGTCGGCCGTTAAATTCCGCCAGATTTACGCCTCTCTCGAAAAAGCCCTGTTCGCGTCCTTAGTCAACTATTTTGAGCCCTTAACTACAGTTATTGAACTGAGCTTTTACCATTTTTATTGAAGTATAATCATCTTGAGAAACTTGATTACTCCGTCGTTTGTCACAGTGCATCATGAAGGTGAAATAGCGGGGAGAGAATTTTTTAAAAAAGAAAAAGAGGCCTTCTTCATTGCCAAATCAGATTAAGTATCGATACCGTCGATACTGGGGTCTTGGCATCGATACTGCATGGTATCGATATCATGAAGTATCGATGCCGAGTATCGTTAAGTATCGATCGAAAGTAGCGATACTTTGCAAGTATCGGATAAGTATCGACATCCCTACTAGTAGCTATGTCCTTTTAAAACATTTTTTAAAAATTTTAATTACACTTTTAAAATGTTTGTGTTAGGGAACCCTTTTTTGCTATTTTTTAGGGAAAATATAATGAGTGAAATTTAAGGAAAAATGTATTTAAAAAAAAAAAAAAAAACTCTTTAAATATCACTGTAGTTCTCTAACATTTTTTCAAACATTTTTAGTGTTGAAAAACCACAGTTGATATTTAAAAGTTTTTTTTTTTTTTTTTTTTACTTAAAATTTACTGCTTGTTAATTTTACTTTAAAAAATAGCTCAAATGAGTTAGTTTTTTAACTAGTTGTCTTCTTGAAATTTGAGAGGTTTTTTAAAAAAAAATTTAACAGTTCCCAAGTAGGTAGCATTGTCATCTACTTTCTAGGTGGCGCTCATCAAGAAAATGTCTACTTTCTAGATAGAACAATTTTCTTGAAAGAAAATAGGTATAAAGTAGATCTAGAAAATAGACACAAAAAAATAGAAAGAAAATACATTTTTTCCTTGCATTTTCTTAAAAGAAAACATTAAGAAATTAGCTAGAAAATAATTCTTCTTTCAATAAATTTTCTATCTTTTTTCCAAATGGGAAGTTGACAGAAAATAGACCTATGAAATAGATCTATTTTCTTTGGTCAGACTTTTGACTCGCAATGTTTTTTCTATCTATTTTCTGGATAACTTTCTTTTTCTCTGTTTTTTCTAGAAATTTTCTTAATATTTTTTTTCCAGAAAAAAATTCTATTTTGCTACTTGGGTTGTTGCTACAAGGGTAGCACTATGTTGCTAAGTTCTAGCATTACAAGAGCGACTTCTAGCCAGTCAATCTACGAATTTATTAGGTAATAGCTTCCTCAAGTAGGAGAGCAATAGGGAATTTTCTTCAAAAACTGAAACTAACCGAACATTTAGATGGAAGACAAACACTTTCTTTAGACCGTTTAAAAGAGAAAGAGACCTCATGCTAGACAGACTTCTAAGGTGCTAAAGAGAGATGTGTGATGTTGGAGGTACAATCTTAAACTGACACTCCTGCTGTAAAATCACCAAAAATCAGCCAGGCATTATATCATCCGTTTCTTTACGCTTGAGATGAACGGAAGTAAAGCGTGATTTTTGTTTGTTTTGGTACGTCAGCATCGGACTTTTTCTCACCAGTTACACATATTCATAGCTTTTCTTCACCTAATTGAATTCCTCTTAAAAGGTTCCTAAAAAGGTGTGTCTATCTTCACAATCAAAATGAGACATTAATGGGAATGTTGAGTGACACCCTTCAATATCATGAGGTGCCTCTACTTTTTATGTACAAAATCGCTAACAGAGTATCACAAGACATTTATTTGATACTTTGCTCGTGTTTTATGTTGATGGAAAAGTAAAGGCCCCTTATTTCGATGTCCCATCTTGATCTTGGAAACATGGCTCTAGATTTTGGTATCAATCAAAAAAGTTTGTCCAGGCTCCAGCATGTTCACAGCTAGATGATCGCGAATATTTAGACACCAGCTTTGGCCACAACCTCAAATATGTGGGTTCGTTCTGCGTATGGCGCTGATCGAATTCGAACTCTGTTTCCCCTCCTATACTCTGAACCTACATACCTGTCTAGGCCACATCACATTTTGTGTCTAGTGCCAGGTTTTTTTGTGTGAGGCTATAAGTGAAGATTTTATCACATCATGCCTTCAATGAATATCAGTTTTCCATGTCCAATAACCAACTTTTAGGATTCAAGGATATTTGTTGAGAATTCTGATTTTTTTAAAGAGTTCAATATCCAGACACTTTGTGGTAAAAGTTAAAGGTGTAGTTGTGACTGTTAAAGGAGGCTACACTTTGACTTTCTCAAGGCTTAAAGTTCGAAAAATAGTGGAGATTTGATTCCCACAATTCCCACAATGGGCACCAAAGTTTGGAATTCTAAGGGATAAATGTTTCGCCAACAGATTATGGTTAGTTGCTAGAGTCGTTTCAAAAGAATGTTCGCAATTTTACAAATGGAAGTTCTCATTTTGGAGGGAAAAACCTCATTTAAATTATTTCAGTTATATACTGAATATTTACGTACTTGGGCAAAATCACCAACACTCAGTTGAAATAAATGCTCTGTCTAATTATCTTAAAATTATTTGTGGTAAAGATCCTAATGTTTGCTTTTTGCCCAAGTTAATGAAATGAGAAAAACTGAATCTCTCATTTTCCATGTACTTTATTTTATTGTTACAGAGATGCACTCGATGCCTTGGGACTGAAGCGATACTGCTGTCGAAGGATGCTTCTTGGTCATGTTGACCTCATCGAAAAATTATTGAACTATGCACCTTTGGAAAAGTAACCCTTTGTTCAAATGTATATGATCTCCTTAAAAACTAACCTATTTTTCATTTTTGTAAAGCATGTAAATAATTGGTTAATTCCACCGTGATAATGTAAATAAACTTTTCTGAATATTTATTTTGACATTTTCTATGCATTTCTCCCGAATAAAATATCAGTAAATGATGTCACTAGAAGACTTTGTATCATGGCTGATTTTGTTTTAAACTTGGTTTTAATTTTGTGATTTTTTGTATGATATCCCAGTTAATCAGTAAGTATTCTCTTCGAGTTTTATGCAAAAATAATTTTCTGTTCTCTTCTACTCCAGTGTGCAGTAACTTGCTAATAGTGTGCAGTGCCAACGTCTCTTTTGCAGACCCACAAATGCTTAACAAATATCTGAGGTCTTCATGGAAGGGGGTTTCTATGTGTGGAATGTAAAACCTAGGTGGAGAATTGTGAAGAGAAAGGGGTATAATACGGATGGCAGGTGGGTTAACTCGCTCATAATTTTACAAGTAAAATCATTCTGTTCCATAATGATGACTCAACCTCATTTTTCACGATCATTTCATGCTCTATCAGCAGCTCTTGAAACAAGGATGGATGATAAATAATTACCTTCAAGCACCCTCTTTGCAGATTTCCTTAAAATCTTGAGAGCTCTTTTTTTACTCTTTAAAAAAAGAGATATAATAAATAATAGGTAAGCAAAGTTGTAGGAGAATTTTCTTTCTTAAATTTAAGGCCTGTTTGGGAATTACCCTTGTAGTAACAACTGTTTTAAAAACTTTCGAACTCTTAAATTTCAAAAAGACATCTCATATTATAACTGTTAAAATGGTCGTATTCGGAGGCCCTTTTGGGCTACTTTCTTGAGTAAAATTCACAAGGGGTGAAATTGGGTAAAAACGTAAAGAAAACTCTTAAAATATCAACAATAGTTTTTCAATACTAAAAGTGTTTGAAGAAAATGTAAAAAAAACGAGTGATATTTTAAGAGTTTCTGAACACTTTTTCCTTAAATTTTACTTAAAAAAATGGCCAAAAAGGGTTTCCTAATGCAAACATTTTAACAGTTTTATCAAGAGTTTTTGAACAATGTTCTTAGAGGTCATTGCTGCTAGGGTAATGCAGAACTTAGTGCTGCTGACAAACTGGCTATGCTACAATATGAGGACAGAGGTTGACAGAATCACACAGAGATTGAACCAAGGAAAAGAGAGTTCATCCCTCCCAAAGAATCAATTTAGAGTGCACAGGTTAACAAATATTTTCCCCGTTCAAAAGAATTTTTCTCATTTTGCATTCTTGACAGGAGCAAATTTACGACTTGTTGAGTTCACAACTACACCCAACTCAATTTGTCCCAAAATGCTGCTTAGTATATTTCTGCTAAACTCGGTCCATATTTCAACAATATAAAATTCTGATGGATGCAATGCCTGTGGGTAAGCAATAATAAAGGGTGATCGAACAGCCCGCATCACCCCCTTACCCCTTGGCTTGGCTTATTTCAAGGCCTATTTTCAAGGTGGTCCCCCTTCAAAATTTTGGGGGTTCTGAAAATTCGTTTTCTTTCACCTAGAAGCATTCACAAAATTCTATAAGTCTCTATCTCGATTTCTTCAAGTCACAGGGGTAATGTTTGGCAGTGGTAGTACAGGACTTTTGCATCACCCTGTGTACATATTCCAATCATGGTGTATAAAATCTACTGGGACATTCTTAAAGCGATGATATCTTAAATTCGCCAAAATAATACCCGAGTTTGAAGCACTATGACTGAGACTGAGGCATTGTAGAAGATTAAGAGGAAAGAAGGTACTAAATGGTGACACTTATCAAAATGGATTTTAATTATCTTCAAAATAATTACTAACAAAAAATTGTGGAGGTTATTACATTAATGTTGCGTAAAGTTAAATAGAATAACCAAAAGATAGTATTCATGTTACCTTGGTCTAAGAGCTCACTTACTGAACCAGTGTGAAAGGACGTATATAGTTTGATGAGAACATTTTTAGTAGTGGATGGTCAAAAATCTATCAGAATAGACATTGAGCCGATGAAACTGAGAGTATTACACTAGCATGAAAAGTAAAAAGTTATTTTTGGACAGATCAAAAAAGAAAGGACCACATTTAAGAGAACGATTTCTTTCTTCAAGAGCGTATAGACTCTTATCCTGGCTTTAGCTGAATGCTAAAAAATTCGGTAGAAGAAAGAGAGAAAAGTAAGGGGTTACCAGTTTATTAGTACTCAGATATACTAAAAATGAGGGGAAGAAATATGAGGAAAAAGAGATGTCAGTTTTTTTCAATGGTCACTTGAAATTATCCAAACAAACCAATTTGAATTTAAAAACTGTGAATAAAAGGACTCATATCAGTGCCCCAGAGCCAAAAGGTACCTAATTCCATTGTCTTTTGAGATATCAGGGGCTAACCAGGTGTCGGCTACATTGATTCCGATTTAAATTGCAAATTTTTGAAACTCCATACCTCATAACCCAAAAACTCGATTTCTCTGAAAATGTGAGTTAGGTACCTTTTAGCTCTGAGGTACTGATATATTCCATCCACAAATTCTTATCACTTCATATTAACATTGAGCTTAATTTGGAATGTTTTTGTTAGAAAAAAGGAAGAAAAATATTAAGCTCTAAGAATTCTCAAGATAAATTACATGAAAAAAGAGAAAAAAAAATTGATTTTAAAACGTGCCAAATTTTATCATGACAGATGAGAAAACTGATTCACAAAAGAAACGGTTTTATTCCTGTAATGTAAATATAATTAATTACAAAAACGTAATGATAATCTTGATGAAGGTACTTGTACATGGAATCAATAAAAATACTATAATTTATTCCGGCGGAGAGCNGGGGGGGGGGGGGGGGATCCACAGGTTATGTAAAAATATGATTGAGGTGAAATTTATAAATTCGATAATTTGAAGTCTTTAACTGAACTATGACTGATGTCAGGTTTGTTTTTCAAGTCGGTCATTTAAAACAGAGGGGAAGAGGGATAAAATAAGCAGCTCACATAAAATAGTAGAATTCTGAATTTACCTAAAATTTTTAAATCTGACGAGGGTTACACAGTTCCCTTACCAATTAGTCAACGACGCAACCTTTTTCAAAGGAATTGGTTTTCCACGGAGAGGGCTAATGATAAAACTAGCTAAGCATGTATTTACATAAAATGCAATAAATCCAATAATTCCAGTTGGATAGGCTCTTCAGAAAGTAAGGAGATGATTCCTTCATACACTGTGTAGTAGACAAGTGGAGCTGCATGTATCATCAAGTATATTTCTGCCATACATCAATGATTCAAACTTGAACCTGGAAAATAAGATCATAATGAAACCAAAACAAAGGGCAAGGGTTACCCTAGGTTTGCACACTAGAATGAGCCTCATGGCGAAAAAATAAGGCAGATTTGATAAGGGAAAGAATTTAATATAGCAAAGGATGTACCTTGGTCTTCATGTAATGGTTGAAGGAACAATGCTTGATTAAGGCTCTTCACGTTGACAGACATTCACGCATTCTCTCTTTCCCTTCTAACATATTTAAGCACAATGACCATTTAATTCCCCTTTCTTTTTTTTGAAAAAAAAACAAAAAAAAACACAAGATCTGCGAAACAGCAGGAACGTATATTTTGATCTGCGACGTTGCAGACTTTCTGTAATTCTTCATTCTTTGCATGGACAAATATTCAACTCCATTCCTTGGAAACTTCCCTCATTGAAGAGACATGAATTATTTGCTAATTTCAAAACTCACTTCTACCACAAATACAAGTATTTATTACTTGCTTTTAAACATATATTTCACATGACCTTTAACGAAAAATGCCTCATGCATTTTGCCTCTTTTTTTACACTCAAAATCTTGGGACATGACATACATTAATTCAAAAATGCAAACCGCCATTAGAATTTCTGAATTGGGCAGATTTACCCAGAATCAACCTAACAGCGTTTTATGTGACCAAACTTCCTCTCATTTTTTATTTTTTAAACAAAGAACTTTGTAAAGCATTGAAACTCTTGATTTTCCTCTGAGTATGAAGAATGTACTCACTAAATTTCAAGTCAGAGTGTGACTTTGTTTCCAGGTAAAAAAAAGAGAAAAAAGAGAAAAAGAAGAAAAAAAGAAAAACAAACAAACAAACACGAGAAAAAATTAGGCAACATCTGATTTTATTGGGCTGATTCTGGCAAATCCGTTCAATAGATCAAATTACCACTTGCTTTTCTCTGACTGTAAATGGAAACATCAATGAAGTTTGTTAGGATAAATGAACATATTTATGTTGAAAGGAAATTTGTATAAAAGATTTGCATACGACATAGTTTTTTTTGGCGTAAATACGTCCAAATATACAAGCTCAGAGACAGACTTTCCTTAGGAATAAACATTTTGATATAGTTCAGAAATTTAGACACCCTGGTTAGAGAGCAAGTTTCATATCTCTTTTTCTATACAAAATATGAAAATACTTACAGCATATGTATCATATTAATGAGAGGACTAAAGCAAAGGAAACAAATAAAATACATGAAAAGTACCTCGATTGTTGTTCTAGCGGCGCTCGCGAGAAAAGGAACGTCCACGAGATCTAGAACGGGAGCGACTGAGCGAGCGGTATCGTCTTGGTGATCTTGAGCTGTAAAAAATCAATGAAACGTGAGACTTTTACAAAACTACCTAAGGGTCACTATTTCTTGGGGATGGAGGAATGACTGAGATAGTTTACATGACAAAACTTTTGGGAAAGCAATCAGTGGAAATTAAATACTTCCACCAGTTCCAGATTCAATTTTGAGCAGAAACTATTTCCATGGATCTCAAGTTCTGCTAAGTTTCGCTAGTAAGAGCACTACCTAGATTTGTGCATAAAACATTCCAGATTTGAGTAACCAAACTGAACTTGCAAGCAAATTGTAGGGAAGAGATATTTTCTTTCTTTTAGGCACACTTTAGTGTTGATCAATTGTCAGAAAATAATTTAAACGAAGATCTACTTCAATTTACAGGAGAAGGTTATAAAAAAAAGAAAAAAAAATTGCAGTATAAACAAAAGAAAAAAGTGCAATTTCATCACAATAGAAGAGGATAAAAAAGAAAAATTAATTCTGTGAGAAAAACTATAAAAATAATATAAAATCAACTCCAGCAACAATAGATGCTCTATCGTCAGTGGAAAGAACAAACTCAAAGCTTCCAAGATGGTGTTTGGGTGTGGTACAATCAGCAATTTACACTAAACTGGCGGCTCTTCATATGTACATGGTGTGTTGTTAGGTAGTTTTCATTGCAGCTTTCCTTTTTAATTTGTTAATTGAATAACTGATTGTGGCTTCGACTGTGAGGTTATTTTGTTAAAAAATTGCAATTTTTAGATGTTTTCCTTTGAATCAAAGACTTATCACGGTTGTCCACTCATGGAAAATACCAGGATCTGGGTAACTCTACATATCCAGAAAGATACCCTTTTAAAATGCAGTAAAAGAAAAAGGGATGAAATCGTCAGACTAAATGTCATTAGAGTAAAATTTAATGGCAGCATTAAAAAAAAAAGTTTGGCTCTAAAAACTGTTATTACGGGCTTTAAGGACATGCTGTCTATTCAGGTTGCAGCGCTGGAGAGTTACAGGTGTATGAACCGTATTTTCCACTGCTCCAAGTTTAGTCACCAGAGCAACAGTATCTACACCTCGAAATTGCACTCCCTGAGCTTACCATGGAAGAAGTAAGTATGGGGAACAAAACATTGCAGTAAGGATACACTGATACTTCCTGGCTGCAGCTTGAAAAAAGGTAAATTTTGAAAAAAATTGTCTATATGTATAGCCTGTATAATTAAGGCGTTCAGAGCTAGAACTTTTTTTTTTTTTTTTTTTTTTTCCCCAGCACCCTTGCAAGTATTTCAACTTGCTTAATGGATCAGCTGCATGACAATGTTAAAATTAAAGCATTACATGACATGGTCCCCCATCAATAATTGTATGAAATGCACTGAATACATACAGGGTGATTCAAAAGTCTCGCACGGTCCCTAGAGCTGTTGGAGTCCTTTCCTCTTTATAGGGTGGTCCTTTTGAAATTTCGGGGGTCTCGAAACATGGCTTTTTTTTTACCTTTGAGCACTCAAAAAATGTCTAATCTCTCTCTGATTTGCTCAAAAGTTAGAGAGGTTATGATTGTAGTGCAGGCCTTTTGTATCATCCTGTATAATAAAATGTCTTAAATAACCTCATAAGAGAGCGAGAGACTGAAGTTTGTTTACATTCAAATTTCTCAATAAGAACTTGACGATTATTAAGAAAACTAAAATCAATGCAAATAAAAATGACAACAGAAAACTTATTGCCCCACAAACATTTCTTTCCTTCTCAAACTTGCTTACTACAATACTTGTTCATTTGCAAAGAATAAAGTCAGTGCTCAGAGCAAAGTATTTCATCACTAAGCTTGTTGAAGTTTTATCAGTTTCAGATTTTCAAAAATAAAAGACTTTCTTTCCTTGATCAAGAGTAGAGTTTGGAAATTTGAAAAAGATCACCATGACGTGCAAGATATTTTGATGGTACCACATGTATTGTAATGCTAGGCTTCTAACTCTCTCTGACAGTCCACCGTTCAAGCAGGCATAGAGTGAAAACTTTGAACACCCATTGTTGCTGGAGATTTAAAATAATATGCGATCATATTAGCATCAAATTTGTAAAAAAAGAATACGTACAATGACTACGGAGATGCTAAAGAGTAGTGTTAATTTAACAAGATGACAAGTTGAGTAGGGGGCAGTAGACAGAAGGGTTGAGTAGAGGTGAACGGAGAGCTGATTGCGGTGACTGGAAGGCGCAGCGATGGCACGACCTTTACGATTCTCTCCCGATTACATTTCTGGTTTTTGAAACTTACAAAACACTGTTCATAATGGAATTTTGTGCTGTAAGTTAGCAATTCTTGAGTGACTGGATTTTGGAGATAGTTTATTATAAACCAGTTGTATTTTTTTTTATTTGCAATATAAGTTTATAACGATCGAAACCTATGATCCAATTAGGATGAAACAGGTGAGGCTTCAGGCAAGTGTTTTCAAAATATTTCAGTTCACTAATCACTAATTAACTTGGCAACTGTTCATCGCAAAGCATTTTAATGAAACTGAATGTCTTTTGAAGGAAAAAAATCTCCTCAAGCCTAAAATACGACTTACTCTAAAAAATTGCAATCTTGATGCCTTGATTGATCTAAACATCTTAGCAATTGTTTGGTCCTAAGATATCTCCTAAGTACAGATTTTTCGAACCATTCAATCTCACTTTCTGAGCTTTTCTTTGTGCTAATGTGAAAAGTGCGCTTGTTAGTTGACGTATTAATAATTAAAATTTGAATACTTGACAATTTTCTTTACTAAGTAATTTTTTTCATTTTATTTTTATGGAGACTTTACTGTGACTCAATTAAGATGGTAAAGGAGAAATCAAACCAGAAACTGAGCGACTTTGTACACTTCAGTAACTTGAGTGCAAACTCGTAAAAATAATGGAAACTTTTTCTTTTGCTACCCCTCCTGACTTGGTTTAATACAATAACAGGATCTCATTTCCTGAAAATTACTATAAAGTAAGAGCGGTGAACCGTGCAGTACAAGCTTCATTTTTAATTTAAGCAATGTTTTTCTAAAACTGTTTATATGTTTGTAAAGGATGCTTTTTATGTTGGTGGTGACTTGTTGAAGTCGATTTTGCTGTCAAAATTTTTCTGCTGACGGTTACTCTGTATTTACTATTTAAGCCACAAACAACGCTTCAAGTACTACAATAATTGATAAACAGGATATCAGTGAAAAAGGATTTTTACAGTCATTTGAGACAGAGATTATTTAATTTATGTCTTTTGTGACGGATTTAAAAACATATTCTGCAAAAAAAATTGAATCAACTTTAGGACTGATTGCTATTATTCAACCGATTTTACGGAATTTAGTAGATGTAGGACCTTCGAAAATGACTAAAGATAGACAATTACCTTTTTGTAATTATATGATCACAGGCTGTTTTCATCTTCCATGCCCCCCTAAAATATGTATTCAATCATAATTGAATAATCTCCACTTACGTTTGAATGAAAAGATGACATAACAGAAAAGCTGCAGAGCTCTGTTTTAAAGGCTAAGCAACATTTCAACAAGGCACTTGTAAAAAACCTGTTTCAAAACCAGAAATGCAAACGGTTTAGAAGCAACCGAATGGTTTAAGTAAAAGCTTTACGCTTTAATAACATTGTCAACGCGTAAAGATGGACTACAACTGGGCCAAGGCCGGGGCGGACTTGGTGCCTAGGTAGGCAGTGCTAGTAGAGAGTGATGAAGATGGTGGATGTTGTATGTGGTAGTGGTGGTAGATTGTAGTTTTTTGGATAGTTGAACAAACAAGTAGTACAACCTGTCAACACCACCCAAATCAACTTTCAGTAAAACAGTACACAATGCCCGGCCTGAAGGAGTCAATCACTAGTTAGGATTCACTTCCTTTTCTAAGTCCATTAATACCACTTCAAATTTAGTGGAGAAAAAAATCAATAATAAAGTCGAGAAAGTAGAAACGAAAAAAGTCTCTATTCTCACAAGTAAAAACTTCTCTTTCAGGACCATTCTAGTACTACGCAAAACCCTACTTACAACAGTTGACAAAATTCTAAATCCTTCCCCCTTGCGAGTTGTGCAACTCTACCTTGGACACTCCCTTCTTCTTTTCCCTTTTCATTAACGTAACTTCTTTAAGAAAGAAAAAAAAAAATTCTATAGGTGTTGAGAATCAAACCAATTTTGGCGTTTAGAGAGATTTCTTTGATTGAAATTGATACAATAATGGGTAGCTGTGCCGTAAGAGGCCCTTTTCATGCTAGAGAGCGTAATACAACGTGCAAATATGTACAGATTGTATCAACTGGGCAACTACATACTCTTGTTTTTCTTTTCTTCTCTCATCACAGCACAGTTTGAGAGAGAAAAATTCTATTTTTAACTGTCCAAAAGTGTTACTGAAGACTGGTCTAGGCCCCCCCTCCCCCTCCGGCGTGTTACGTAATACTTGAACAGTCCTTTTTTTTTGGCGATTACATTTCTATTTCATTCATGTTACAGGCAAAGACAGAGCCTGACTTTTGTCCTCGCTACAAAATAGAGAATGCAAATAAAAAGAAAAACGGGTAAATAGCAGTGATGCGAACCCAGAGCAGCCTTTTTATCTATTAGGATATTCAGGCAAAAATTCTATAAACAACAGCGTAATTGGATTGACTAATCTTGTCATTCACATAATACGCTTCATTCTAACATCTTCCTAAATTCGTTTTGCCGACTAATGAGCATATTATCAATCTTACGAACAAGAGACGCTGTAATGATTGGCTGCTAGACACGATATGAATTAAAACGCTATGCAAACAACTTGTTTCCTCATCAAAATTTCACGAGAATAACAAACAACACAACAGGAAGCCTGGAAATCAACTCCTTAATAAGATGCAATTAATATTGATGAAATGGAAAAAATACAAATGATGTCATTTGTATAATCTAACTTCTATTTGATCTGTGCTGAAAATACTTATTAGTACAGAGTTGATTTTTGAACTTCTTACTGCGTGAATCATTTTTCAGGTAAGATATTTCAGGGAAAACAAGTGATGGTTTTCCTAAGTTCGAACATCGCGTAGTGGCCTATTGGCTAAGTATCATAAAAATACAAGATTGAGCTGATGAAACATTTTAAAAAGGACCATATTCATTATAAACCTAATAAGTCTCTGGAGCTGAGAAAGTCGGTCAAATTAAGACTATATGAATGGCTTGTACAGCTTCTCACAATGGGTATGCTCCAGGGTTGACATGGATGATGATCATGGTGAACTTAAGAAAGGATAAGGCAATTACTGTTGGATACCATTCTACTTTCTCAGAGTTTGAGACAAACAACTTTTCATCTTTACAAGTTTGAAAACAAATGGGATTCCTGTCTTTGCTTGCAACAAGTAGTAATAATTTTTTTTCTAAAAAAAAATAAAAATAAATCTGAGTTTAACTAAAAAACCACAACATATTATATACACCTGACGGCAGGGACGCCATTTGAGGGGGGCAGGCTGGACATTTTATCCAGTCAGGGTGGGGATAACCCCTTGTCTGCCGTTTCCAAAGTGAGAAGCTTGGCAAAAAAAACCTTGTCACTTTTTTGCCAGGCCTTGCAATAACCTGAAATGGCGCTCTTGCCTAGCCGCAGTCATTTTTAAGGAAATTTAAAAATTTCAATTTTTGCTTCGCAGGTGTGAAAGACGCAGATTGTAGCACGCATGAGGGAAATTTGAGGAGTCATGATCAGGGGTGCAGCATCTATCAAACTCCCAAAACCAGGGTTGTATGAAAAAATGGGAAATCTGTGAAAGAAATTGGGAGACCAATCTGTGTCGGGGATTAACTGCTCAAGTTTTTCCACAAAATCGCAGAAATTTGTTAAAGAGGGAGCAAAAAAGAAACATAACATGAATTTGATTAACAGGAAGGCTGGGAACTTTCCGTCCCTGGCTATGGCTATTCATTTAGATTCATTCTTTTTTCAAGGCTCATGGTTTTAGATGAGAGAGGCAAAACATACATTTTGCTATGTAATCAGGCACGTTACAATAAGGCAAATGTATAATTATGCTGAAGGCAAAAATGCTAAATCCCAAGCAATAGTCTGCATTTAGAAAATTCGGGCGAGGGCTTGGGCGATGGCTGCAATATGAATGGAGAAGGGGGAGAAGGTAGCATAATGTACCTCATGGATGGATCTTTACAACCATGGACTTCCTGTCGCGAAGGAATGCAAACAAAAATCATTTAAATGTTTTCTAGCAGACTGTGATAGAACTTTGCTTGCTTGTCTTCCCAAAAAGGAGGTTTTTCACTTTTTACCTCATCCTCCCTTCACTAAAAAGGGCATATGAGAGACATTTGGTGGCAAAATTGCGATACAATAATAATCGGAGCAAAAAAGGGGGAGAGGGAGGGAAGAAAATAGAAGATACACACTAGAAGTTCTAAACAAGCCCAGAGAAGAGAACATATGGAATTGATTTTTGGATTGACTATTCGCTTCCATAAAAGCTGGGCAGGGCTTTTCATTGATATTGATCCTTCTGCATCAATTTAGTAAGTATTAGGTAATGTATAAAATGACATAAATATTACCGTCTGTAAACAGGAGAGCGCCTTCGGGGAGGTCCACCACCACGAAATCGAGATCGGCCATTCGACATTTCTACAATTATTCGTGATCCACAGCACCGTCTAAACAAAGAGAGAAATTTCAATTAGACGAATGAAAAGTTCTTTAACTAGTGCATGAATGAAGAGACAAGGTGTCTAACTTTTGGCTGAATCACTGAGTTTGGTAACAGCCCAATACCGATAACTTTAACAAGGTTGTCATTATTTTATTATCTTCAAATTCTCTGGCTTTTCCTGATTTTTACTTCACTTTTTTGCTTTCCTCTGACTCCAAAATTGTCTAATTCCCTGACCTCCAAACAAAATTTCCGCCTCCTTTTTTCTCCGTTAAAATACAATATCTATCACTGAACTTAGGATAAAATTTCTTTGTTCAAAGATGAAATGATAGGTAAAGGCATTTAGTAGCAGCTTAACATACGAAAAGCCTTAGAAATGTCCAGAAGGATAAACAGTTAGAAGGTCAACGATGTTTTTGTAATTGGTAGATGTTCCTTGTAGTCCCCAACTTCCCCCAGTCGTCACAAAGGACCCCGCACACCTCTTAGGGGAAGCTGCATCACGAAGAATTGCCTTCTGACTTATGTATTTTAATTCTCCTCAAGATGCTGATCAAAAGTTATAATTGCGCCAACTTTCTATGATGCACCGTTCTCGCAAAAAAACCTATGAGATGATTCAATTATTCAGTGATAAAAAGCCAGAAAGATTCCTCAATTCAGTGCTCGATTGACAAGCGGCTGTGTGTCAACAAGGAAATCATGGGGACTCCCGCACCGAGCAGCAGTCTTATCTCGGATTCCGCACGCCGTTTTGCTCAACCACCATCCAAATCAGATTCTTGAGGAGCATAAGAACAGGAAAGTCTGAACGTCTACCAGGCGAGTGCGGGAGGGAGATAGCCCCTGAGTCGGCAGGTACAGATAAGAAGACGGACACATGCTACATTTTTTCCTTATTCACATCGGGCCTGTTCTCAAATGCTTTGTTCTTTTTTATTCATAGTCGCCGAATAATTGAATCTTCTCATAGGTTTTTTGCGAAAACGGTGCATCGTAGAAAGTTGGCGCAATTATAACTTTTGATCAGTATCTTGAGGAGAATCAAAATACATAAGTCAGAAGGCAATTCTTTGTGGTGCAGCTTCCCATAAGAGGTGTGCGGGGTCCTTTACTGATTTTTCAGACCGCTGGCAACCCTCCATTGAGCTTTCTTTTTGGATCAACTTCCGAATGATACACCCAAAAAGTGTCACTTTGAATTATCTGAAATAAGTTGAGCTTACGTTCGGTCTAGTCCTCTGACAGCATCTTCAGCGTCTCTTGGGTCTTCAAATTCAATGAATGCAAAACCAGGAGGATTACGGGCAATCCAGATATTTCTGATCGGCCCATATTTGGAGAAAGCATCTTCTAACTCATTTTTGTTTGCGTTGTTTCCCAAATTTCCGATGTAGACTTTGCACTCAATATCCCACTCACGATGAGACATGCTGAAACTAAGAATGAAAAAGAGGTTAGGGCAGAGAACAACAAATATGCTCTTTCGAGATTGGATAAAACTTCCTTTCATTAATAAAGGCAACAGGGGGGATAAGAAGCTTTTTGAACTCAGAAATTTTCAAAGTGGTGGGTAGCCATTCACATTATTCACTCTCTCAGTTTTTACTTCTCAGGTTGGCATCACATTACTTAACCCAAAGACATTGGGTCACGTAGACCGTGCATGTGAGCTGAAGCCTGCGACACTTCTTGGTTCTTCGCATGGCACAACGATCGATAAGCGTATAGCACTGATCTTGCATCGGTAATCTTAGTTGTCCCACAGTGCATGCGCAGTACAGGCCCCTGTGAATTTTTGTCGAATTGTGAGGCACTTTCTCAATTGGTAATTAGCTCAGCGAAGTGAAACCTTACAATTAAGTTGTACATAATGTACCTGCAACTTTCGTCTGAGGGAATTTCCTCTGAAAGTCTTTACTCTAAGACTTCAGCTACAAGTTTTGAAATGAGGCACCCAAACGGGGCATGGCCTCCAGAGCAACTGAAGGTATTCTTAGGTTTACCCGATGACCAGCATTAATACAATGGATCGCCTAACATATCAGCCCACTGTTCAGCTGCCTCCAAGGGTCGATGCGACCATTGAGTTATATACAGCAATAAGAAGAACCAAAAGGTATTGGCTAAGTTTACTTAGACAACACAACTATTTGTAATGGGTGGGGCTTCACATCAGCCAAAAGACAAGTCAGCTGGCTTCAAATTTTAGAAGTGCATCCAGAGAAATAAGAGCTTAAGTATTTACATATCAGTTACCATTAGAGAAAGTAGGCTCAGAGATGTCTAGAAGGTGTAGGGAAACAATAACATTCTAGGAACTGTGATTGAAGGCCGGTTAACTAACATATCTTTGAGGGAAGTGTCAATGATTCTGTCCCTGTCCCTTTGGAAACGCTTTATCAACCATAAATGAATGTATTATCGTGAAGTTAAAGTTATAAGGATTCATACTTTAGGAGCCTTTAAGCTATGGTAAAGAAAAATGCATGATAGCGACAGAGGCTTTCGAGGAAACTTAGGCCATGAGAGCAGGAGAGGAGAAATGCAGTCGGCATAAAAGAGAATCAATTACCTGCGAAGGCAAATTTAGGAGCGCTTGACAGATGCAATACTCACAAACAGAAAACTTCTCGCAGTTAGTTACGGTGAAAAACAATTTAGAAGAATTCACTGCCACAAGAGGCACTTCAGAAATTCAGAACACTCCTTCAAAATTCGGTAGTGAAAATTGAGTATCGTGAAAGATGGCGTGATCCGCAAATTAATAATGGCGACCGAAGCTTCGGACTTAGATTAGATTATGATAATGCATAGAGGTGCATTTTTAGATATGCAACCCTCTATACAATGAAGAAATGCAAAAATAGAAACGAAATCTGCTTCGGTTGCAAGGGCTATTTTAGAATATTAAAAGCTTAGTCGTTACTAAGAGATCATTTTGATTTATTTATTTAACCAGGAATCAGGCACCGAAGTACAAGAAAATAAAAAGGGAAAATTTCCTTCATGCTTCAGTCGAAGAAGAAGACCAACCACAACAGCTCACTAATATGAGGTCTGCTACTTCTCCTCTCGCTCCATGCTGTCTGTTTTGTCAACAAAGCTAGCCAAGACGAGTTCTTTTATCATCGGAAATTCTCTGATAATTCTCTACCATTTTAAATCTTTTCTTTACTGTTCAACACTAATTAAGTGCACATAGTCATTTAGAAATTAAAAATATGACAGTCAGAAGAGCAGCTCATGCTGGAAGTTGGTACACCGCGAATGGTAATAAGTTCTTAAGTTTTCTTTCTTTGTGCCACTTTGTCCAACTCCACTATCACCATTGTCCCACATCCCTTTTCTACCAATCCACCCCTGCTGAAAATCTTATTTTCAAACAGTTTTAAAACTCAAATTTTTTTCGGAAGATGGAAAATTTCTCCAGATCAGAATGTTCTTGAGTACAACCAACCATGATTCCTGATAAGTCACACCGAACATGGTCATAACAAGTGTTACTTACTGCAAACTTTCCCTCTATAAAAAATCAGCTTTCTATTGCATACAAAATTGCTCGCCCAACCCTACTTTGAATTTTGGTCTGTAGTTTCACGCTACAATATTTCACTCTGTAGGTATCCATTGTTTTTAATCATTCCGTCAAGCTAAATTGGTAGTACGTACGAGGAGCAAGTGGAATATCATGACCGATAAAGGAGACATGACTGTGACTCAACTTCTGGATTATTATGAGCGTGATCTTTCAGATGTTGTGTAACCAATAATAAACTTTTCCAAGATTCCCCACTCTAACCTTCTTTGTTCGAGTTGCTGCTTGATGCTAATTTTTAGCATAAAGAAATTACGTGTAACACCCAAGCACAGAGAATATGCATCTATTCATTATTTCATTGACATTTTATTTATCTTAATCGTATTCAAGTACACAGGAAGTTCTTAGTTTTCAATATAAAAACAATTTAAAAGGCAGGTAACAAGGCTAAAATTTCACTAAGAAAACCAAAATGTATCGGCTGAAAACTCAGCCATCTTTCGTTGGATAAATAAAAGAAAAATGGTAAAAATAAAAAATCTAGGATAGTACCCGGCTGTACCTTTCAACGTCAGAATGTCGTTTTCGCAGAGCAGCATTCTTGCTTTGAAAGGTACAGCCAGGTACTCTTTTAAATTTTTTACCATTTTTCTCTTTATTATTTTATCCAACTGAGGAAGGCTGAGTTTTCAGCCGAAACATTTTGGTTTTATTTGTGAAATTTTAGCCTTGTTCCCTGCCTTTTAAATTGTTGTTTATCTTGTCACGGGCTGTGGAGCGTCTTTCATATTTCTTAGTTTTCTCATGCTAAATACCCCATTTCCCCCAAAATTTTCAAAGCTAAGACCTTTTTTGTTCCGGTTTACAAGGTGCTGGAATTTGCAAAAAACCTGCAATTGTCACTGCAATTTTGTGAGACCCAGACATTTGCAATGCTATTATAAGCTGGTTTGTTCATTTTTCCCACTAGCGGCCATGAATTCATAATTGTTTGATCAGGAAGTTTCCGCACCCCTGATCCTACTTTAATGACTCAACTTCTGCTTTCAGTTTCTTGAAAATGCCATTTTCTAACTGTATTTTAACTTTTCCTTTTTGTAGGGAAAGATCTTGGAAGACAGTTGGAAAACTGGTTAAATGCTGCTGAGCTGAATTCAGGTCCGGCACGTGCTATAATCGCGCCGTGAGTTTCAATTTATTTTAATCTTTCAATGACAGCTAATGTTAGTTACCTTTGACAAAATGATAATGCTCTGTAATGGTAATTTCTTGTCTAATCAAGTACTAAGATGCTGAAAATATTTTGAAATTTGAATAAGTGCACAGGCTGTGTGAAGAAGCAAGTGAAAGAGCCCAAACATTTCGAGATGTATGGACCGTGAAACTCCTAAACCACTTTTCTCAGTTTGCGACTTTATTTTTTAATGAAGAACTACTCAATGTCAATTCTCAAAAACTTCCGTGATTTTTCTTCCCTGTGCAGAAAGAATTCTGGAAAAAACTTCAAGGAATAATGTTGATTTGTTCTCCTTTGAAAAAATTAAATATGAGCAGAGATTTTAAACCCCGCGAACTAGATACGCAATTTGGAAGTTTCACCATCAATATGTTTAGGCTGCAGTTCAAGAGATATTTCAAAATATTCCATAATTATATTTTCTACATCAGTATTGGCTGTATTGACAAATGATTTAAGTTCTTCAATAAAATATAGAAATCGATGGCTGGAAAAATGCGTATGTAAACTGCAACGTCTATAAATCTCCAATGTGGTTATTTTTTTTTTTAAAGAACACCAATCAAAAAGTTTCCTCACGATTTTGAAGGTATTTTTTCATAAGTGGAGAAAATTTATAGAAAATCTCAATATAAATTGTTGGTTAATTTATGTACCTTAAAAAAAATGAAATACGAATGGAAATTTACACCGTCACAGTCTGAGATTTGACTTAAGCCACCAAAATGATCAACACGTTTAGTTGGCCATTGAATTTTTCTCATTACAAGTGCAAGGTCACTTTGAATTATAACAATGAAGTGAAATCTTAAATTTAGATTTAGATTTCAAAATGATGATACTGTTTTAATTTTATTGTTTAGACACATTTTAACACGGTAAAATTGTATTTTAATTATAACTGTCATTACTTTTTAGGCATGCTGGTTATATGTACTCTGGTGCTTGCAGTGCCTTTGCTTACAGACAAATTAGCCCAATAGTTGTGTAAGTTTGAATCTCTACCTATTTTACGATATACTTCTTAAAAAATTTTTAATCTCGCAAACTTGTGCCAAAATCTTCTATTCTCTGAAGTGCTAGTGAAGCGTTGTTTTTGCCTCTGAGCAGATAAGTCCCTCACTAGTCTATAATAAGCATGAAGGTAGAAATATGATATGAGCAGGCGAGCAGAAAATGCTTGATCACTTGCCTGCCCGTGCACGTGAAAATTTGGAAAAGCTCTTCAAAATTTGGAAAGAGGGACAATTTTTAGGAGTCTGAAGTTGAAAATCGAAGGAACAAGGAAAAAAAAGGGTCCCTTTTTTTAAATCTAAGGGAAAATTTTAGGAAATCTGATGAGAAAATTGTGGAAAACTGGCGGAGGGAAGGGGCCTGAAAACGTAGAAACTTGAACGATTCTACATCTGTGGGTATAAGTGGTAAAATGGTTATTTAAGACAAATAACTTACTGGTAATGTGTTCAAACTTATTAATTTCAGTCGGAGTGAGGCAATCTCTCCTCCGATAAAATTCCGTTTTTTTTTGTTTTTTTTTAGCCGAATTTGTGTGTATCGTGGTTAAGTATTTGCCTGTCTCTACAAAGAGAGAAAGAGATTTTTTTTTATTTTGATTTATGCATCTTAAATCGCTAAATTTTTGCTGAATGCCTCTTTTATCTTTATTCTAGTCAAAGAATTTTCATCCTTGGACCATCCCATCATTTTCGTCTCGCAGGCTGTGCTTTGTCTACAGCCACTAGTTATGAAACTCCCCTTTATGACCTGAAAATAGATACTCAAGGTATATATATGTTTTGAAGATGTATGTATGTCTTTCATTAGAAAAGAAGTAGATTCAATCTGTCTTCAACTAAAAACTGAATTTTAAAATTTTACAGTCATCTGTATGTTTTAGAAAGGTCTGTCCTTTCTTTCAAGAAATTCAATAAACTATTTAAGTATAAATCTAAAGTTCGCAAAAACAACATTTTGCTGTCTTGAAATTGGAAAAGAGGCATGTTCATTCACTATATTTTAGTTTCATGCAGAAAATTTCTCAAATACTCTCTTTAGCACTCTGAGACATGGATTATTTTAATAAAAAACAAAAAGTACGTTCATAATTTTTCAATAGGCTTCCAAGTAACTTGAATGCCTTAATCCAGTCTCCTAGTTTGAGAGAAATCTATACCTATTGGTTCTAATTGTAAGTCAAAGTTTAAGGGTGACCTGCCTGGTTTCAACTAGAATTTCTCATTCACAACAATTTAAAATTAGCTTAAATGAAAAGAGTATCTAGGATTTTACTTTCTGAACCAACACTCTTTTCAGTCTATCAATTTTTATCGAAATTAAGATGCCTATCTATTATTTATCGCAAGAGATAAAAATGTATGTCTTGTTTGTATATTTTGCAATCATCCCATGAAGTTTCCAGCTTACTGATTTAATCAGATATGGTTTGTGTCCAGTACTTGGAATTGGATACTGAATGCTATGTATTGACCCAAAATTTTGGTTACTAAGAATCAGTATCCAGGACTCGTTTATATCATGCAGCAAAGCCAACAAGATGCAACCTATTACCTCAACATGTTACTTTATAGGTGCACTTAAAACCAAGCAAAGTTAATCTCTTCCTTTTTGTCAAATATGACGAACTGATTGTGCAAGACAAGTTTTAGCCTGACAGTTGTTTGGAAGGAAAGGAAAATTGGTTGCTTATGGTTTTTTATCGGCAGTGTGGTCGCCTTTAATCAATAATGAAAACTGTCTGTAGATGTCCTCAACTCTCCTTTTTATTAAATTTATTGTAAAGAACTAGGTACGCACGGAATACCAAGAAATTTTGCACTGACTAAATTTCAATATTATTTGATAGGAAAAAAATTAAATCCATTAATTTTAATCCCTAAATTTAAAGTATTATTTTGATATTATTTGATACGATCATTTCGATATTATTTGATAAGTATGATGATCCTTTTGATCTCCGGAGCAGGATGAGATTTTAAAAATTGTAATAAAACTTTCCATGTGCCAATGTCAAGAAAAGTCGTGCTAATTTTCCAACCTCCTTCCATGCATTTTCTTAAGTAGATGTGGAATTGTTGCTATGCGAGTGTAGATGCCGAGCTGCAAGCCTGTATCATTCAGAGGAATTTGATTCTTTTTATCCGTCGTAGTGTCCTATCTTTCTGGCCTGCAAAAAAATAAAAGCCTTGATTCATAATTAGACGTTGCAACATTTCTACCCACCAGATATTGTATGTCTCAATACTGAAAAAGTCACTTTTTAGCCCTGTTTTGCTCAAGATTGGCACGTAGAAAGATAGATTTTAAAATCTCATCAAACTTGGGAGGCCATAGGAAACATCATAATAAATAATATTGAATGGAGTGGTACTGATAAGGTCCACCCTTGCTCAGATTCCTCAACTCAACAATTTTTTGCTCATTCAAGATCCATTGTGTATGGAATGCATCATAATTTGGTATTTTCCGGTCTTTTTCCGGGTCCAATACAAGCCTAAACATGGGTCTGAGGGCCAATTTTAGCGAAACTCATTGTCAGCCAAGATGGGCCCAAAAACGGCCCTCATTGACCCCTCCTGTAGTTGATGCTGAATTTCTTGGTATTTTGCACATAGTTCAGGGGAACAATTCTGTTTATTAATTTACTCATTAATGTTTCCTGAATTTCATTCCGTGCATAAAATTGTTCCCTTTTGTTCTTACAGTTTATGCAAAGTTAGAAGCAACAGGAGAATTCGAACACATGAGCATGAATGTAGATGAAGATGAGCACAGTATAGAGATGCATTTGCCTTACATTGCCAAAGTAATGGAGGAGTAAGTAATATCTCATCAAAATTTTTATCAATTCACATCTTTTGCCAATTGTAAATCTTTATCTGTCTCAGGTCATTTTTTCCTATGGTACTTATTTATTTCCTACAACATTTTTGTATTATTTTTTTGAGCATTAAAGGACTTGCTACTCGCTTTGACCTCTGGATTGCTCTGGCGGTACAGTTTGCTTTTTCATCCTCCGTTCCCCCAGTTTTGTTTCTTTCCTGGTGGTTCCATGTGTATTTCCGTTTCTCCCCTCCTGTCTTGACTAAAATTTACTTAGTTAAAACTTTATATCAATGAATGGGTATAATTTTCCTCTTTCTTATGAAATCTTAGGGCAAGCAGTGCTTGCCTCGGTTACCCTAACCGTATGCCACTGCCGCCTCTCAGTCATGTAATAATGCAGAAGAATTAGTCAAATTTTTTCACTGGCTTCTAACACTAGATTTTTCGCTTGTTTCAGCTACAAGGATAATTTTACAATCGTCCCAGTTCTGGTTGGGCCTTTATCAACTGAAAAAGAAGCACTATACGGAAGCATTTTCGCTGAATACCTGGCAGACCCTCAAAATTTATTCATCATCTCATCAGATTTCTGTCACTGGGGCCTAAGGTTTCGATACACTTTCTATGATAGATCTTGGGGTGAAATTTACCAGTCTATCGAAACGTTAGATCGAACGGTAAGTATTTATTTTCGCAACCTGATAATCTTATCTTAAAAAAGAGGTTCAAGTCAAGTTGATGGTTTTTTATGCTCCTCAATTTTCTCTTTAATGTTTCAACCGAGTTGAACATTTTTTTCGGAAGTTGTAAGGCAATTGCTACAAAATCAAGTGAATCCTGGGTAGTAGTGACAGCCAGCAAGAAGTCATAGATGATGTCTTGCTAACGGATGCCACTAAAGTTAAAATTCGCATGGTGTGGTACTGGAGAAAGTCTCATTGCTGTGGATCCAATGAACAACCTATTGAAGGCCACACCCTTTTCAAAAGTCGTCCTGTCAAGATACCTTTATCACTGTTAAGATATACAGGGTGTGTGGAGGTCAATGCATATACTTTGGGAATAGATTTTTGGGGTCATAATGAGACTTTTATGTCCCATGCTTGTATCTTCAAGAAAACGTTGTTTCAACATTAATGTAGTAGATCCTTTCAAAATTTGTTTCTAACTCCTTTTTAACTGTCAAATTTTGGTGGAAATTCGTTGAGGAAGAGAGGAGGGACTTGAAGCTTTCTTTTCATTTTCTGTGGTTTCTAAGGTTCACATTTTCATAAAAAGTTGCAGGCAATATCTTTACGAGGAAAATGGATTTAACACTTTCGCTGTCTGGAAATTTTTTAAAAACTAATTGCACCTTGTAAAAACCTCCAAAATTTTGATCACAAAAGATATCTAGAAAGTTCTACTAAAAACTGGAAGTAAGATTATAAAACTGATCAGCCGCAAGGCTTTCTATATAAAAAATATTTAAGAAGCAGATTTTCCCTCTTAATATATTATTTTTTTCTTCTTCTATAAATACTTGATTTATTTCTGTCGATTGGAAAATCAAATTTACTCAGTACATGGCTCATCTAAACTGTCTAATACTTTCTTGCCCTTTTTCTTTCAGGGAATGAATATCATAAGTTCACTGAATCCTAAAGCTTTCACAGATTACCTCAAAAGATACAATAACACCATCTGCGGTCGTCACCCAATCGGTGTTTTACTTGAAGTAAGTTTTTTTTCCATCTCTCTCTCTTTTCCCCTTCATGTTCTTAACGCCTGGTTCTATCTCCTCTTGTAATGGATTTATATTCTGAGTAAAAGAGCCTGAAAGAGCTCTTTGACAAGTGGTAGTTTCATCCATAGCAGGAGTGCAGAAACTTCCAAGGGTTCCCCCAAAATAAATTTAGGTTCCCCCATTTTAAGTTTTCGCAGAATTTCGCGCGACACATAAAGTAGCGCGGTCGACTGTTGGGTTCCCTCAAAACAGCACGGTCAACAGTTTGGTTCTCCAAAAACACGGCGCTTGAATGTTTTGTTCCTCCAAAAACGGTGGGCTTGACAGTTAAGCTCCCCCTAAATTCTAAAAAAAAAAAAAAACCTCCCAGATTCCCTTAATTTTTTCGTCCTCACATGGGTTCCCCCTTTTCACACAAACGGCCGGTCATGTGGTTGGGAAGTTTCTGCACCCCTGATCCATAGTTCAGCAAAAATCCGCATAATCAAAAGAAAAAAAAAAATCTTAACAGAGGTTTTAATTGAGGGTCTGGAAAAATTCAGGTAATTTTTGCTAAGGTAAATCACAAGAAGGTGGAGAAAGTCAGGGAATCGGAAAATAAAGAAATCATGGATTACTCTCTAAAACACTCTCTTCTGGCAAACATCAAGAAAGGAAAACAACACCATGCAATTTAATCTAATATACAAGTCTTTCTGTCCTCCTATAATTGTATACATAGTGACAACGCAAGGGGTACTTTTTGCTGAAGTAACAGCAGGTTATATAAATTGACTTAAAACACTTTTTTTTTTTTTTTTATACTACTAACCCTTAGACTGAGTAAAGGTGAGTTTAGGTTAAGTGAACTTTTGTTCTTTTCTAACTATGTTCGTATTTTATCCAGCCAAACTTTTTTTTCAGCTCCTGAAACGTAACAGCCCTTTATAAATTTAAATTTTCTATTCATGGCTACTCATTTTTTAGGTTGCTTTTACAGTTGTCACATTTCAAGCCATCACGTCGTTTTCATCGTTCAAGGCTTTAACTTAGTCAACATTTTTATGTATCTTGTTTTAGTACCCTTAATGTTTTTTTGTTCCAGGCAATCTCATGTCTTAGCAAGACAAGGAATAACAGCCAAAAACTGTCCTTGGAATTCTTAAAGTATGCACAATCCAGTCAGTGCATGACGAAACGCGACTCCTCTGTCAGTTACGCAGCTGGTGTACTGACAATTGAATAACATGATCTTCAAATAACGCTTCTTTCTTCTCATCTTCTAAAAATCTCCCTTCTTACTATTTTTGTGACCTTGTTGATCACACTTAATGCATGACATCAGCCTAAAAATTGCCTACGTTGTTCTAGGTATTCAGCATTTTTAGGCATTCACTTTTTTATCTTCCTCCTCATTGTATGACGTTTTACAATGAAAAGATAAATAATTGAACTGTGAAATGTTTGTAAATAATTTAATCGAACTCGTACTTTCTCTCAAGTTTCCTCTCTCTCAGTTCTTGTATTATGTATTTACTATACTCTACAGATTTAAAAACTCTTCCCAAAACCATTCAATGATTACATTGGCAGTTGAACTCTGAAGAAATGAAACTCTTTTTATCACCGTATTTCTGTTTTAAGTCATTGCTGCAGTATATTGTCACAGAAGATGTATTTTGTTCATGTGTCAAAAACTGTTGTCAGAAAAAATTCAGAAATGACTTTACATTTCAAAATCATTGACACAGTTCTATGTATCTAACCGACAAAGACATGCATTACATATTTACTCCATCTTCATTAAGACAAAATATCAAGATTTTTGAGCTGCATATTTTCAGAGTTCCGCTTGTCACTGATCCAGTCATGCATGTATTTTACTTCATCAGTATCTCATGACCTATATCTGTAGTTAAGAGCCACGGAATGGTAATTACATTTTCACCGATTTAAGAAAACAGGGGAAAACTATGCGATAGTTTCATTGCCTGCAGTGTATTTTGATTGGCTTTAGTCCCTGTATGTTGGGCCCTGTATGTAAGAATTATTGAAATTATAGACAAAGCAATAGACAAAGAAGACATAGGGAGTATGGAACAATCCTATTGGTTGAAATGGGTGGCTCCAATAGACCAAAGGAGAACATGTTGGACTAACTCTAGGGTCTCTCAGGGGTTGCCTTTTATTAGTCTGTTACCTACCCCTTCTGTCCATTGTAACCTCCCGCTTTCACGAATAGGATCCCTCCATATCTCTCATGTCTCCTGTTTCTATAGCTTCGTCTATCGATTTCAATAATCGGCCCATAGTGTTATGTAGTTATCATAACCAAATTTGTATCGTATTTAGATCCCTTGCCAAGTGTGTTACGAACGTTAAAAACTCAATTTTCTAAAAGTCGCGTGTTACGTTTCTTCAGCTCTTAACTATAGATATATCTAATTAACTACAACCAATAAGATTTAAGAGGTCAAATTATCTCTTCCATGTTTTAGGAACCTTATGGTCACATTCAGAAGATAATTTTCTTTTGTTAACCTGCTCAATTTGAATTTTTTGTAAGCATCCCAAGTGAGATATGTACGGTTTGCAGAAGCTTTCCTCTCTCCTCTTTAGTCTTCGAATTCAAATCCCATTAACCATAGCTTCTTAAAGTACGTCAATCAAGAGGCATATTTCATTTCCTCTTCTCCTTAGTTAATGCTTTAAGTCATTGTGTCAGTATATCTTATTTTCTTTTCAGTATCGAATTATTTTTTGAAGTTACTGCCATTTTTATGATGTATTTTTGGTACCTTACAAGTGATTTTAGTGCTTAAGTTTGCTGTTTATGATGATCAGCCACCAAATAATACCTCTTGCTGCAAGGAAATAATCATCTCCTCTGCTCTCAGTTTTTTTCTTACGGCAAGAAATGCCTCACCAGCTTGCCCTGGTAAGCGGAACTTGAGGCTAGATTTGATGTCGATCACGGCGCAACCTGTTTTTTCTTCAGAATTTCAACAGGGAAACGAATCACACAAAGGGAAATCTGGAAATCAACTCCTGCACAATATCTAAGTGTTTACAATTGACATTAGTAGCTTGGGAAAAATACAAATGATGTCATTTGTATAAGCCAACTTCCATTTGATATGTGTTGAAAATATATCGACGGTGTAAGTCGGCAATCACATAACTCGGTTTGCGACATCGCAGACTTCCTGCCATACTTCATTTTTTACACCGAAAACTACTCAACGGCAATTCTTCAAAACTGCCTTGATTTTCCTTCTCTATGCGAAGAAAATTCTGCAAAAACTTCAAGGAATGATGTCAATTTGTTCTCCTTTAAAAAAATGACATTGCGGCGGAGATTTTCAGACACCGCAAACGAGTTATGTGATTGCCGTCTTACACCGTCGTTATGTACTTGTCAATATCGTGTTCAGGAGTTGACTTTCAAACCTCATGTTGTTTGAATCATTTTCTAAAGTAAAATTTTGCTGAGAAAATATGACTTTTTTCTGGTTCAAGGCTTGTCTAGTGACTCATTCAGGCATTTTTTTTTTTTCGTTGAAGGACAGCAGGTGTGCAAACCAAGCGGCTACATGCTACAACTAAGCAGTAAAATGAGTCCTTGGCTGCAGCATAGCAGCTGGACATCCTCTTAATGATTAATCCTTTATCTTTCACCAAAGCATTGATAGAACTTACATAGACAAACTTGGTATCTAATTCTGGTGCATAACTAACCCTCAGGAGTCAAACTTTTCTCAGCAGCTGATCAGGGCTGACTTTGAGTTTGGTCCATATCAGTTTCCGTTTTACTAAAATTTATGAGGTTAACACGCAAGTAAATAACTCCTAGATTTACCATTAAGACCGCTTTGTCGATGAAAAAGAGGTAATTTGCTTTTGACTCCCCTCTTAATCTGCTTTCCAAAAACTTTGTTTTTTTTTTTAAATTGCTCTTGTGCAATGGCGTAGCTGGAGAGGGGAGATCTCAGGGGATCTTGGATAGCCCCATCCAAAGAAGAAACTTTTGACAATAGAATCATTTTGCAAATTTAAATAATCTACTGTTGAAGTATTTAAGTTTTTTTTCATAATTATAAGATTGTTTGATCCCTTAACTTCAATAAGCCTCCATGAAAAATTTCTAGCTACGCTATTGCTTCTGTGTCAAGGACTTGAACTTTTTTTTGTCTCCCTCAAGAATTGTGTGATAAATTTTTTGTGATTAAGTAACTTTTAAGTGTAAATTATTGTTGTACAGTTTACCTGTATGGTTTCATACTTAGTTTTCGTCCTTAGTAAAACAAGTAGTTTTTAGGTATGTGCTCAAAATGCCTAACACAATAATTCTGTAATCTTTCTCGACCATTTTTTCTTTTGTAAAAATTAACGAAAGCAAAGGCAACCAAATAACTTAACAAAGTAATAAGTTTACGTATCATTAGTTACTCAAATACCGGACAGAACATGATAAAATAAAATTAAATGCACTCATTGCACAAAGATGTTTTAGTTTTGCTTTTTCTATTATTTCAATAGTTCTCCTTTGCCCTTTTCATTTTTCCCCCAGGAACACAATTCTTTTTCATTAAAAATCACTTTCAGAGAGAAAACTTTGTGACCAGAAAGAAATTACAAAATAGGTCTTCAAAATTGCTTGAAAATCCTTGAGAAGTGCTGTGTGACTTTGAAGTGATCTTTTTTCTCCAGACTGCACAAACCATACAACCAGAACATTTTCAACTTAAAAATTAGAAAAATTGTGATTCATCAAGCGTTTCTTTTGCTCCTCTTGGTATGGCACACAGATTCAGTCTGTGTTCTATTGTTAAATGTACTGAGTGGGAATTTGAACGTCTAAAACAGTTTGCCAAAATGACCCGAAACTACAGGCTCAATTTCAGCCGCTCCTTATGTTTCTGACTGTCTAAACAGTTTCAACCATTTCCTGCTACTTTTGAAGTAGCTTCCCTGCATCTATAAGTAAACTCAAAAAAAAGTTTTCCCCGCCTCAAACCAAATTTTGATTTCAGGGATGAAATTGATCAACATAAGTATGAACTGCATAGTTTTTCGAAAATAATAACAAAATATATTTAACACAAATGATAACAATCACTTTTTTCAAAAATATAAAAGTAGCGATAGGAATTGTAATCCAACAATAAGGGTCAAAATAGGGTGTCTACAGAATCGCAGGGAAAAAAATTTGAACCTTCTCCTGACTATTTCCAAACTTTTTTCGGACCACCACCGGACAGATTTTGCTGAGGTGCCATTCATAAAATCTATTTGGCTGAATGTTAAATTTTTCGACTCCATCCCTTCTCCATTGTAACGTTTTTGTGACTAAGATTCCTATCCTTTGACACACATAAATGAAGTGACGCAATGCTCTACTCAATTCCCCTCTTCTCTCGAGCGTTACATATTTTATGAACAGCCCCTCAGCCAGCAACGAAGATCCTTTTTGTATTAATGATGAGCGATAATTAATAATTCAGAGATCATGTTTGCCATTTACTGAATTTTCAGAGAATTCATCAGGTCTCGACTTCTCACTGACTTGCATGTCTTGAAAATGAACAAATGTGAAAATGAGCTGTTCATTTCAGGAGTTCTATAATGAGGCAAGTGTGGTTCCGTTTTAGGTCGATTTTTTTCAAATTTTACTGAAAAGCCACCGTATACTTAATTTAGATGCGCTACTATATTCTAGTTTTTAGTGTATTCTACTTTTCCGAAGGAACCTACAATACTTTTTGAAACATTTTCTTGGAACCTTGGAGGCAAACTTCTAGACTTTTTTTTTTGGCTTCCAGATCCATAAATTTTTCAAGCTGAGTCAATCTGACGACATTTTGCAATTTGGGGCTTCAATTTCTGGTTCTGTTAAGAAACGGCATCTGTACCATTAGTTTACTTATGTGCATAAGTGTTGAAATTTTTTTGCTAGATCTCTCCATCTTTAGCAAATCTTGATTTTACTTAAGGCTTTGACAGATCAACAAAAATCAATTTTTCTGCCTCAAACATCCATTAGCTCCTGTTGGATCAAGAGCTTACATACTCCTGGTGAATTTTTTTTTTCATTACATACATATTCTGATAGAATGGGACAAATTCATTAAGTATGTGCATAATCATAGAGGCAGGGTTTCTAGCTATCTAAAAGACAGGACAAGTTTGTGTTCTTTCAACCTAGATGCAGAAAGTCAAAAAATCTAGTATAAATGCTTACACTTTACTTCAAATCCCCATTATTTTTCCAAGAAATTATCTGGTGAAATCTGAAACTACCTATGGATCTAATAACCACGGCCCTTATTTTTTCTCTGTTAATCTGTAGGCTATGTTATCACATACCATACTATCCAAATTTTTCTTCAAGGGACGATGTAAAGAGGGCAAATTCTGCGTGCAATAATCTGGGAACTGTCATCAGATCTGTAATAATATCAATGGCACTTACTGTGTCGAATCTCAAAGAAAAACAGTATGATTTTTCAATGGTAAGAGAAGTTGGTCTTCATAGAAAATTGGATGCTTTACTTCTGTCCATAGTGCTGATTCATTTATTGTGTCTTAAATAGTAAGATATTTTATTGGCAACCATGAGAGACACTAAAAGATTTTCCCAACCGGACCACACGACAGTGTAAGAATTAGATTTCCAAACCCGACGTATTCTCATTAAAATTGTTATCATCTATTGTTTAACATACATTTAAGAGAAGAAAAAACAGTGTTGCCAACTTGCCAGAATCGCCTCTGCTTGTACCTCGTCTAACAGTTCACCGAGAGCCCTTGACATTCTGAGCGAGGTCATGAGATCTTTAAGAAATATTTGTTTAAGATTCGACCGTTTCGCAACAAAAAAAATTGGACCTCCAACTTCAGGAAAGGCTACTTAATTTAATCTGGTAAATTACAATCGACACAGTTCAAATAGAAATTAATACATGGTACATGATAATAGGATGTTCCGTATTTGATGACGGCTGAACCAGAGTTAGAATTGCATAAAGTGCAGTCATAATCATTTTCTTCTTCACATTCCTGGAAAGAAGAGAGGAATAAAATATTAACTGACAAAAATAACGAATGGTTCAAAATTGTAAATAGATGAGGTTCACGTTAACATCAATGACAAAATTAAAAGATTAAAATTCTTCTTTTTTTCTTCGTCTTTTTGAAGGGAGAAAAAAAGTTTCAGAAAAGTGTCATGGCTCATACTCACATTAGAATACGCCATGAAAGGCCAGTTCATCACTGATCTTCTGAATGAGTATTGAGAGGAGGATACATATTAACTTTCTTCCTTGCGTTACATGAGTACCCCAAAAAATCTGATAGTACTTCTTACAAACAGAAAGCAGTTGTCCGCTTTCCTAGGATTTAAGGTGTGAAATAAGTTGAATGATAGGCCTCTAGACAAGGTATAAATTAAAACGCCATGCAAAATTTCTCATTTTAAAAATACTACTATAAAAACAAATCACTGAAGGGTTAGTCTAAAAATCATCTCCTAAACAAGACATAAATGAATACAATTAAGATGGGTTTGATAGAAAACAGGAAAAAAACCTACTTATATTTTGAATTACTTGACCTTCCCTCCCCTCAAGGTCACGGTTGCCAGAGAGTCTTTCTATGTTGCACTTTTTTTTAACAATGATTTCGCCTCTTAAAGTTGTTCTGAGATAAACACAATATTCTATTCTATTTTTCTGTTCTTCTTGTTATTAAGAGGCAAAGATACAAATGACCAAATAACTTCCATTTCATCTTTGTTGAAAATACTTGTTAATGTCTTGTTCACGAGTTTACTTCTGAAGCTCCAGTTGTAAATCATTTTCTACAGAAGATCTTGGAGATAAAATATGCAACTCTTTTTTTACTTTAAACTTTGTCTAGTGGCTCATTGGCAAGGTTCTGGTACGTTCCTAAAATCTTGGTTAAATTTGGTTTCTTGTTTTGAAGACTAAATTTATGATGAAACTTAGGTATCTCACAGTCAAAGTATACTACATCAAGACTGTAGGCCACAATATACCAAAATATGATAAAGTGAACTGATATTTAACTGTAAAAGTGGAGTGCGTACTTCAATTGAAAATTTGGTTGATACATAGGAGTTTAAGTCTTTCCAAACGTTCGTTAAATCTTCCTTGTGGAGTTCATTATTCACGCTTTGGATCATCTTCTCTGCAATCCTGTAGATTTCAGTTAAAGCTGAAAAACAAAGCAAACCAAGTTCGATAACAAACTGTAACTAGTAATGCATGTGACTGATGAAAATTTCAAAATCTCTAGAAAACGGGAGAGAATAAATAAAATTAATAAAAAAAATAATTGTAAAAAAAATTAATAAAAAAAAACACAATAAAATAAGAATAATTTTCTTTTTTTTTTCTTTTTCTGTTTTCAAAAGACATTTCTGTTTGAAAAATAAAGCATCAGAAAAAATTAGGCAACAATTGATGCAATAAAGCTAATGCCGGATAAATCTGTTCAATTGAACTAAATTTTGCGATTGAGAACTACAATTGATCTCTCAATCAAGAAACAATGTATGTACCATTAATTAAGCATTAGTTTCTATGCACATAAGTGTTTTAACCGACGAGCCAGGGATTGTAGTTCCGGATTGCTAAATGGACTTAAAAAAAGAAGAGTACCTTGAATATAATCGATGCACTTGTCTTCACAGAGGACAAGTTTTAAAACATCTGGGTTAAGACTAGAGAATTTTTCCACAGCATTCCTGAGCACTGATATGCAAGCATTCATGCAAGTTTCCTGTAAAGATGAACAAAAAAGGTACATAAAATAAAATGCTCTTTAAAAAATAATTCAAGTTGAAAAATTTTGAGAGGTCAAGGAATATTTGAGATTTTTCTAGAACACATTAAAGAGAGCCCAAGGCGTGATAATTTAATTTCAGGAGACAAATACGAGGCAGAAATGTCCTTGGATTCTTGAAGATATATAGGGGACCATTTAAAAAAACACTTAGCCCTCTAAAGGAGATAAGGGGGAGGCATAAAAATCCGATTTTCAGCGTTACATATTTTATGAACAGCCCCAAGAATATGTTTTCACATAGTTAAAAATTCAACTGAATACAGAATAGGTAACAACTAGAAAAAGTCTGATTGCGGGGAGCTTTCATATAATTGAAAATTTCCAACCTTTCTGAGCCTATAAATAACAAACCAGTGATTAATAGGTATTAATATAAGATTTGAGATAAATACTTGACGGAAGTCATGAATTTTAAAACTTATGATAGAATTCTATAAAATTACCTGTAATGACTGAGTTTTTGGATGATCAGTATTAGTTTTATGATCTCCACTGACAATGGGCTCTGAAAAGAAAGATGGCGATGGGCTGTCTAGAATACTCTCCTGAGATTTGGGTGTTTCATCTTTTGGTTCTGTAAAATCTGCCGTCAAAAAATCGCCAAACTCATCTTCTTCAATTTTCATCTCCTTTTGGGGGTTTTCATCGATCTCCAACATTCTGAACACACTATACTTATCTTCTGACACCTTGCCAGAGATTAAACTGGGCACTTGGATGAACTGGGGAGTTGGCAAACTTTTATTTTCTGATTCACTATTTTGGATGATTTTGGTATCATTAACTGGTGCTGAAAGAAAGTTTAGACCCATTCCTTGGCTAGAATCTGCATCTAAACTGACAGAATCGAATTTAAGGCTTCTGACAGAGTTGCTGTCATAAATAGAGTCATTGTCGGAGAGGTACAAAGGATTTTCTACGACATAGCCTTTCTGACCATAAATGACTTCATCACTCTCGTTAGATGAAAATCCATTCTTCACTTCTATTTTAGGTGCTGCTTTTGAGGAGGAATCATTTCCTAAACTTAAGGTCATTAGACTTTCAATATTTGAGCTGACAACTTCAGTTGACGCCAAGTTAATCTGTGATTTGGCGCTGTTACTATCAAAACTCTGGAAATCTGTGAACTCATCATCATTCTCATTACTTTTTTCAGTTTGTGAAATGTTTGAAGGTGGTAAGGTTAAAGATGTTAAGTCTGTCATAATGTCGTTAGGCATGCTCAGATTAGGTACAGCAGTATTTTTTGAATTATCACGAATGGGATTAGATAGAGAGATTTTGTTGAAACCCCCAAAATCACTTTGATTTGCACTATCAGAAAAGGTTACATCTTTTGAAGAAATACTCTTGGAGGAATCTAGGGAAGTCAAGAATGATATGGAGGAGCCAATCGGAGTAACATTAGAACCTGGGTTTGACTGGTTTACACTGGCAGTATGATCAATAAAGTCCGTCCAACTGTCTGAAAAATCACTATCACTGTGTTTTTGAGGCAAATTATTTGGCAGATTGTTCATTTGAGGGTTTGACGATGTGAATGTTGCTACCTTTTGACTGAGATTATTACTCAACATTGATTCAAGTAAAGATGGGTTTAGTTCCAATGATGTTTTACTATTTGATAAGACCGTGTTAGTGGTGTTTTGGAACGTCTGCACCGGTGAAGGAATAGACATTGCCATTCTGTTTGGTAAGTACGTTGAATGAATTCCGTGGTCAGGTGCTGTGGGGCTCATTGCAAGTAAATTATAGTTGAGGCATGGAACTACCGGCTCCTGCAGTTTTTGTAAAACAGTGATACTGTTCCATGGTCTGCCAAGCTGAAAAAAAAGAAAGAAAGAAAAAAAAAATTATATTAGTCATTCAATTGGAGGAATATTTGAGCTCTTCTTCAGCATTTGTTGAAGGGGTGTCATCAGTTTCTAGTGAGCTATTGAAACAATTTAGTTAAAAAGTGGTAACGATAAGGAGACCCTTACTTAAAGCTGTTGGAGTTTTCAGAGCTGGCAAAAATATCCCTTGAAACGTGTCCAATGGGAAAATAAATGTACAAGTGTGAGAGGGTCTCCTCTTCTTCTTCTTCTTTCAACAAAATATTGTTACTTAATTCTAATCTCTTGGAAATAAAGGCTTAGTGCTTTTTCTAAGTAATAATTGGACGTATTTCTATCAAACGGAACTAAGCGCCAATTTGAGTTCCTTTTGAGGAATTTAGAATCCCGGATAGCGCGTTCTGTCAAACGGACTTGAGCGCCATGGAAAAGCATGGCGAGTATAGGACGGAATAAGCCGGACGCTCGATTCCGCCGCCAATCCAAGCCCCCCTCTACCTTCCTCACCCTATGGCGCTTAGGTCCGTTTGATAGAAATACGTCCGATTTTAGAGTTGGACTGTTTACTTTGCAAACTTTTGGGCCAATCAAACATAATGATATGTTATAGTGCTGGCTAAATATTTTTGCTGGCACATTTACCATGATGCACACAACAGTGACTGCAGTAAGTACTACATAAAGGCAAGATCAGCTGAAAATATCTGTACCTGTGCTAAGGCAATCAGAGCCAGTACTTGATACAGCTCTTGCTCCGTCAGAAGACCAGGTGCCGTTTTATTACACAAGGCCCAGATATGGCCAAGACATTCTGTTGAGATGCCACTTGTCAATAAGACGGATGTTAGGAACTGGGTATCGCAAAACTCTTGAGGTCCTGTTGTACTTTTTGACTTAGCACTCAGCCAAACACTCCTGTACACCTTAGGTAAGGAACTTGATCCACAAATCAGCCATGCAGGTAAGCCCGTATGTGTGGAGCCTTTCTGTTTCATAAAAGTTTCACTCCTGGACAGAAGGTTCTCTATCATTCTGTCTGCATCCAAAGCCTAAAAACAGAGGTAATTAATTTAATTAATTTTGAATCCATCCCATAGTTTTAAACCTGCAGAAAGTCAGTTTTTGTTCTTTGGCAAGTTATTTTGACCATTCCTTTTAACTGATGTATCCATGTGATTATATATAACTACACTTGCAGCTACTGTACAGTTTCGCTGCAGTGCTACTGATGTCTAATGGAGCGGGTTATGCCCTAAGGCAATATTGATGTGTGCATAGATTCGTAGAATTGTTTTTAGTGCGCAACAGTCAAAAGTGAACTAGCCTGGCACAAGCCTCACTTTTGATACAAGGAGCACCAAACAATATTACATACTTAGAGGCATTTAAGTGACCTCAAAAGAATCTGGTACCTAAAACATTTCCTGTAATTGTTGCTTGAATTTGCGGCACAGCAGTTGTTATTATGGATTTCACGATTTTAAGGATGTGACCTGAACACCTTGCTAGAGCGTTGAGTGCACTGGTTGGGTGCAGAGTAAGCCGACATTTAATAGTCTGCAGTATCATTTACAGTGAGGCAACAGCTCTTTTACTGCCTTGGATAACATGGGTGCAGTGCAGTTCAGCCAGTATCAAATTCATCGTACCAAACAAAATAAGAGTCCACACTCCACACCAAGTAATCATATGCACTTTTAGACTGCAACAGGCGATCTGTTATCTTGATTCTTGCATTTACTTTCAATGCTGAACTGACATCACACTATCTCTGTCGCTGTCTCGAAGTGCATAAATTTATTTGGCGATTACTCTAGTTCAAATATTTACATTTTAAGTCAATCTACTTTAGAAGGTATTCAAACAGAAAACAGTGATTAATTTGAGCCCGCTGAGCTAAGAAGTTCTTTTTAAAGTCGGACTGGTTATGATAACTTCCCATCTGTCTGCAACAGACGCGCCCTTCTAATCAGGACATTCACTGGTCACTGAGCTGCACATTCAGGAGGAAATACTCCAAAATGCTTCATTAGTTATTTTTCGATTTGCATCCAAGAACTGCCGACAGTTGAAATTAACTAGCTAAAAATGAATTGAAGGTAAAAAGAAGAAACAAATGTAACAAACCTTGACAGCAGTTGTAGAGTGTGCCATACTTCGTAGCTTTTCCTGCTGTACGAGGTAGTCTCTATGCTTCGTATCATTTTTGGCCGAATTGGATCCTACTCTTTTGTCAGGATTCATATTAGAAAAGCTCTAGTGGTTCATGATAAGGACTAAAAGGGGAAAAACCTTAGAGCTTACGAAGAAAGACGTGGATACGATTTGAGGAAGTATGAAAATCAACACTGAGAGGCGGAAATCAAGTGAAGACTTGTGGAAAAACATAACTTCTTTGAAACGATGGCTAGTAATGAAGGGGACATTTAATTGAAACAAAACCACAGTTACTTCATAATGATAAACTCAAAATTTTAGACAAGGCGACAAGGACGTGATGAAATTTTTACGGTTATGTTTTGATGTTGTTCGTTCATTGATGACGTAATTCCTTGTCTCTGGTAATTCCACAACACACTTTTCGCGATGTCTGGCGGAGAAGATTAAAACTAGATCCAATTAATTACCGCGTACTTTAAAATTAAAGTCGTGTACAAAATTATTTCCCTTTATGGCAGCTGTTTACATGGGAGTGATTAATTTTTATAGTGAAAAAATACAAACATTAAATTTATTTAAAAAATGACAATTTCCAGTAAGAATGTGAACTATGCAAAACGATAATCCGGGTATCGGAACTTGCCTGTTTTGAAAACGCCTTCAATTGCGGCGTGATACCTCACGCATTCCGGAGAGTTCAAATAGTTGTATCATTGCGCCTTATAAATGCGACGGAAGATTGCAATTGAAATTCTCCATGCCCGCTGGCCTTTTCGATTTCCGTTAACGTTTTTGCAGTCATGAATGCGCTTAAGTGCGCTTCAGCTAGAATTGTATTTAGCAAATGCGTGGTTTTTCAACGAGGATTAAAAATAAACGAGTAGTACGGAATATAACAAAAGAATATGAACTATGCAAAACGATATTCCGGGTATCAGAACTTGGCTGTTTTGAAAACGCCTTCAAATGCGGCGTTATACCTCACGCATTCCGGAGAGTTCAAATAGTTGTATCATTGCGCCTTAGAAATGCGACGGAAGATTTAAATGGAGATAGCTCCACGCACGCTGGGCTTGTTGATTTCCTCTGAAATTTATGCAGTGGTGAATGCAAAGCTGAAATTGTATTTACAAATGACTGGTTTTTCTACGAGGATTATTATTAAACAAGTGGTTAGAAATGGAAACAAAAGAATATGAACTATGCAAAACGATAATCCGGGTATCAGAACTTGGCTGTTTTAAAACGCCTTCAAGTGCGGCGTGACACCTCACGCATTCCGGAGAGTTCAAATAGTTGTATCATTGCGCCTTAGAAATGCGACGGAAGATTGCAATTGAAATAGCCTTCATACACGCTGGCCTTATCGATTTCCGTTAACATTTTTGCAGTCATGAATGCGCTTAAAAGCGCTTCCGCTAGAATTGTATTTAACAAATGGGTGGTTTCTATGGGAGGATTATAATTAAAGAAGTGGTTAGAAATGGAAACAAAATAATATGAAGTATGCAAAAAGATTATTCCGATAACCGGCATCCCCCGAGAAATTTTAGAATTTATACGACTAATTGGACGCATTGCGAAGCTTCCATAAAGAATTTTTCCATCAATTTCTGCGGAATAATTTTTTTTTTTTTTTTTTTTTTTTTTTTTTTTTTTTGGGGGGGGGGGCATATGATACTATTTTCAGTTCTATGAGGGCAAGGCCCCCCTGGACTCGCCCTTCGTTTGTGTATGCCAAGGGAGTTGCGCCATGAGCCATTGAAGTCGAGGATGCCCAGACTGGAGACCCTTAGCATCTGACGACGGAAGAAAATGAAACGCAGTTACTAAAAATATCCCTCTGTACTGAAAATCTTGAAAATCAATAGACGTTTTCCAAAAAGTATACTTCTTTGAAAATCTAAGAAGAATTCCACAGTGCCCCAGCGTGTTTCTGAAAATCTATTCACCTTTTGCGAAATTTTTAGGGTAAATTTTTCACTTTTTCTTACGAAACAAGGGTTGCACGAGAGTTCGTAGTGGTTTTTCACGGGTAACACGGGCCCCGATACCAGGGACCCAGTATCCTCCCCCCCCCCCNCCCCCCCCCCCCCCCCCTTGTGGCGGGCCTGCTCACTGTCTACTGAATGTATCAAAGTTTAAGAAGCGTGAAACATGTGTGTGTGTTTTTCGACTGAAATCTGTCCTCACTCCGCGGTATGTTTGTGGTCTATGCGTCAAAATTGAAGTCGAATTTCAAGTGGACGGTATATTAACTCACTATCTATCGGCTTCATCAAAGTTTATGGAGCGTGATATATCTCTGTTAGTCGAATAAATAATTATTCGCGCTCCCCGGCACGTCTGTTGCCTATGCGTCGAAATTGAAGGCGAATTTAAAGTCGACGAATTCTTCGAATAAGTTCACGCAAATTTCATTGGCTTAATTGATGTTCATGGAGCGGGATTTGCTGTGTTCGTCTTCTCAAAAGGCAACCCTTGTCTCTAAAGCAACTTAAGCTATAACTTTGGCGTCACTTTAAACTGTACACTCTGCCCGCCGATTGTTTTTGCTCCCTTTATCCTTTTTTCCTTTGCTCCCTACTATTTTCATCTCCTCTTTTTCCTCTTCGTTTTTTGTCTTCTCCCATCTTAGAGTTCCAGTGGCGTGGCATGCTTCACGATATATCGATTAACCTGGCATCTAAATCTATGAAAAATGATCGATACACAGGATGTTCGCAACGAGTACCTTGATAATCGATTCTCTACCATAGCTTCAAATGGGGATATATCGATTAATCGATCATTCACGCCTCGCCACTGTAGCGCTCCTGTTGCGCCTTCTCAAGGGTCTTTTTTTAAATCCTTCAGATTTTTGAGATGAACCAAAAGTAATCGTCTTGATATATATTGGTTCATCGAATGTTGTTCAGTTATTTATGAGACCAATATAACCTTAAGGATGAACCATAGAGTTGTGGAAACAGTATCAAAGTTGTCTTTTCAATCATTAGTACATAAGTTCATCTTCATTACAAGTTCTAGTTTTTTGTTTTTAAAAATAATTAACAGATTGGAAGGGAATTATTTTTACAATTTTATGCTAGCAGTGTTGAGGTTAAGTCACAAACATTTGACTCGTGCGTCAGGTATTTTTTAAAAAATGAATTAAAACAACTTCTCTTGGTAAGAGCTTATTTTATATCTTGCGCAGTTTTCGTGATAGCATAGCTCGGACTTAAATAGTCGGCGTTTTTAACGTTTGCTGCCTCAGGGTTCTGAAGAACATGTGTCCCTCCAAATTAGTTTGGGTAACTTCCGCGATACTGGAGGTTAAGAGCTCTGTTTCCAAAATTCTGCAACAAAAGGGACGGTTAATTTTAATCAATACGCTCGTTGGTATGGGTGACTTTGATACTATGCTGAGCGATTGCGACGAGACTTTAAAAACATGCATAGTGACATGCGTGAACAGAAATAAAATAAAATAGGAGGCATCTCCGAAAGTATCGCAATCAGTACAAGCTTCTGATGCAATCGTGTTTGCTCAATGGATGCTCTTGTTGCATGTACGCGGAATTGAAGGGGCTTCTGCAAACTGCAAAATGCGTATCCAGGTTTGAGACAATGCAGACTTCCCGCCATACCTTATTTTTTAAGTGGAAAAATTATCATCGTTATTCTGCGAAACCTTTCTGGATTTGTCTCCTCTGTGTAAAACATATTCTGTGCCAATATCGTCACGTTAAGCTTGTAAACTTAGACAGTACACGTGCGTTAAAATCCAGAGAACTAAAAATCTCCACACAGAGTGCTGTACTGATGGTGGGTCCAATTAGACAGGAAACGCGTCTGCAGTTGCCTTCCTGAAGGGTCATAACTAGTGTTGCACCAAACAGCTTATCTCTTTGAGAGAAAATTGTGCTCGAATGAGCTATTTTTCTCTGTTCCAGTTCAGTGGCGAGGCATGAGTGGTCGATAATCGATATTTCTTCATTTGAAGCTATGGTAAAGAATCGATTATTAAGGTGCTCGTAGCGAACACCCTGTTTATCGATCCTTTTTCATAGGTAAATGGCAGCTCAATCGATATATCGCAAAAGCACGCCACGCCTCTGTTCCAGTTTTCTGGATTTTAACGCACGTTGCCTATACATTTCCGACTTACTGTCTATACGGTCGTGCTAACGCAGAACGCCGTACGAACATTCGAGAGTTGCCAAATTCCCTTCGATAGGATGTTTATTTTTGAGTGAAGATATGTACATTATTCCCTGGAAGTTTCAGGAACTTTAGGTGAAATTGCGAACAAAATTATCTGAACAACTGGAAGGAAAATATTCAAAAATTTACCAGGAAAAGCGTGTTTTATCAAAGGAAATTTGGCAGCGCCTGAAGGCTCATACGGCGTTCTTCCTTAGCACGGCAGTATGTGACTCGCGCGTCTACCGCAATCAGTTTGTTGTAAACTTACCTTCAATAGTTTTTTTCTTTTTTGGATGATGTTGAATAGCCTCTTGAAAACATTTATGGGCTTCTGAAGTATCTTCAAGTTTAATCAGAGCCCGCCCTTTGTACAAAAGTGCCTTTAAGTTATGCTGATCCACCTTCAGAGCCCAATCGCAATCCTCGATGGCCCGTTCGAACAACCCGAGATGTAAATAAGTAAGAGCTCTGTTTGTGAATATTAAAGGATTCTCCTTCGTGCAGGCTGCTGCCTTTTTTGTAGAAACATAAAAATTAAGGTACAAAATATTTGGTCATGGTAGACTTGGTCAATGGTCAAAGACTCATTAATAAAGCATTGGAAAAGGGTCTCGTTGCAAACTTTTGCCGAAGTAAAAAGAAAAGTTTTGTCAAACGGATCCTAACTTTACAACTTCTGTACAAAATCAATAATTTTTGAGCTTTTCGGAGAGATAATAATAATACGGCAAAGACTTATAATGTGACAAAAACGAGTCACTCGTGTTTCAGAACTCCACCCAAAATTCAAAATGGCCGTCGTAACTTGTCGCAGTCTTTAATTTAATATAAACTACAGAACAAATACAATTTTTCTGGCATCTTTCCTGCTTTGCCTCTTAAAAGGAATTTTATGTACTCATAAGAAAGAAGGCAGTTTGCAATATGAAGAGAAACTGCAACTTATTTCAGTAGTATCGCAAAAAGTTACATTAGAGAAACCCCTTCAATTACTAGGCTTGCAACATATCCTACATAACGATTCAGCGGCAATAATTTTACCATGCAATCGCAATATATTATGACCTGTGCTTCTTAGTTGGATAGGACTGGTGCACTGAATATGGCGGTCGTATGCAGGTCGACTTTTAGTAATCTTGTGACGATAACCTTTGACCTGCATGGTAAAACGCAACGGGGAAAAGGATTTTGATATCCAAAATCTCCGCTACGCGAAAAACGAAATCGTGCTGCGTTGCACTCATAATATAAGTGAGTGAGCATCGAGACAAATCAATTTTGCTAAAATACTAGTTTGGCTTTAAATCGAGGACCGGAACAAAACACGCATCTGCGATAGCTATTCCCGAAAAGGTTTTCGGAAAACTTTACTTAGAGCTAAAAATATCCAGAAGTGAAATATGTGCAGAGAAATGTCGCGTATAGGATTTGTCAAATTTGAAAGTTAATTTCTGCTCGCGGATATTTTTTGCTATAATTCAGCGCTTCTTAAAGTAGTTATTCGAGAATAGGAAGCTAAAATGAACCGCGTTAGTCAGAAAGGAACCAAGCCACATCGGCTACTGTCAACTTTAATTGGGCAATTTAATTTTTTACATGAAATCGGTTTTCCGGATTTTGGTGCAAATTTCAGTAAATTTGCTGCATAAAAGAAGCGAATTCCTAAAATTTTTTTATCGAATCCGAAAAACGATCTCTTGTAAAAAATTAAATTGCCCAGTTAAAGTTGGTAATAGCTGACGTGGCTGGTTCCTCTCTGCTAAACGCGGTTCAAATGTATACTGTACTTCCAGGCCTTAATGAAAATTTTAAATGAAACCAGAATAATTTAGAAAAGCATGTTCGATACTTTAAGCTTTGCTTATTTCCGGCGTAGGTTAATCACATGGTGGCAATTTCATGGTGTGAAAAATTCAAACCTGGTTGTACAAATGAAGTGCTTTTTCATAGTTTTTCTCTCTGAACGCCTTATTGCCTCGCGTTTGGAATCCTCTAGCCTCTTCATTTTTCATCCTTTTGTCATCGGTCCTCTCCTTTGCGTCTGCCTCAACTTTCGCCATGAACATCTCTGTAATTTAAAGATCTATTTTAGTAGAAATCGGCAGGACCGGATTAAAGGGGTGACCACATGGGCCGCGGCCCATGGCGGCAAAATTTAGGGGGCGGCAAATTTTGCAATCTTTTTGAATGTAGGTATCAAGAAAAGAGAGAGAAAAATCGGACTCAGAAAATAAATTACAAACTAGAAAAGGCGACAAAATCTCTCATTTCCCGAGAGAAAAAGTAATTTCTAACTTTGTCGTCTTCCGATGATACAAGAGACAACACCTTTAATTAGTCGAGTTAAGAGAGAAACCAAACACGCAATTTAACCTGAAACGGAGCGGCGCGGCGGTCGGCATGAAACACATAGCGCCTACAAGACTGCATGAATACTTCACGCATTGCGCCAAACAGTGTGGTTAGCAGCGATCGGCGGGAAACGCATAGCGCCTACAAGACTGCATGAATACCTCACGCATTGCGCTAACACAGTGCGGTCGGCGCGGCGGTGGAAGTTAAAATTTTTAACCACATTTATGTTTGTTCATTCATAATTTTTTCGTTCTTTTTTATAAATGGAGGGCCTTGTCCAAACAGGGATGGGTTTAAAGAACTGAACTTTTGTTACTATTGACAGGGCTTTTACAAAAAATGTGCCCAACACGAGTAAACGCGTCTTATACACCCCTCCCCCACCGGCACGTTCACTTGATGGTTTTTATAGATCGTAACAGACGGATCACACGGGTGAGATTATATTGATATCGATTGGTTCAATATGTAACCACAGCCTCAACAGTCAATTTAGAGATCTGAGGTAACGGATCTTACGTGATCGAATTTTTATTTTCTCGAGTACCAAATGGCAATGAAAAGTGAAATTGTTAGGAATTTTCTCATTTCCAGCTTTTCCAAATTAAATCCTAAAATTTTTGTTTGAGGTTATGTTCTACTGTTTTGAACCAAACGATACATCGAACCACTATCGAATACGATCTAATGATGTTTCAAAACAAATGAGAAGGGGGCGGAAAAATACAGGCGGCCCATGGGCGGTATGTAGGTAAATTCGGCCCTGGAAATCGGACGATTTTTCTCTGGCTGGTTCAAAGACTCAGTAAAACGAACAAATCCTTGACGTTCTGAAAAACAATTTTTGCGGAATCTAATTGCCTTCATTTACCCGTCCAGACCAAAAGCTTTACCGATTAGCATGCAAGTTCGTAGTTGTATACCGAAAATCTGACTGATTGTCAGATTTTCGGTTCAGTAATTCAGATTACGAAAAATGTTATGGTGTTTCTTTACTTTCCAAGGGTATTCTTTGAAAATTTTCACGCTTAATTAATTGATAATATTTACTTACGTAATAAACTCGGATCGGATTTTAAGGCATTCCTATCGATTGCTTTTAACGTAAGGTAAGTTACGACTCTGATTGGTCTATATCGGTCGTAAACCCGGGGGAGTTGATCTTGATTTCAGTGGCGAGGCGTAAATGATCGATCATCGATAGTTCCCCATTTGAAGCTATGATATAAAGAATCGATTATTGAGGTGTTCGTAGCGGAATCCATGTTTATAGATCCTTTTTCATTGGCTTAAATGGCAGATTAACCGATGCATCGCAAAGCGCGCCACGCCTCTTCTTGCTTTATGTGTAAATTTTTTATATCGATGCCGCAATCACACGCTGAATTTGGCAGCTGAATGTGGCAGTCAACAGTCAGCGCTCAACAGCTGAAATGTTACTAATGGACCACTAGACAAGGTACGAATTTAAGCAATCTGATACATGTTTCTTAACCAGAATTTCACGTAAAACACGATTCGCTCAACGAAAATCACTGAAACTAACTCCTAACGAAGATATTATCGTTTTTATTTCACATTGGTTACGAGGAATTTGAACTGCCCGCTCTCAAGAAACTCAAAGCTCTACGTGGGTCAAATCGCTCACTACAACGGTTTCAGAAAGCTTCTCAATCGAGCAATGTTCATTTTCCACCATGTGTTGTTCAAACTATAGGTAAGCAATTTGCTATAGCTGAGCCAAAGCGTCAAGATTGAGGTTGCCAGATTTTTATACAGCAGAGACTGTCATAATAACATTCAGCGCGCGATGTGAATCACGTAGAGAATTGAGTTTTCATGAGCGGGTGGTTTGAATTCACGTATCAAGAATCGTTAAATATCTTTGGAAGGAGTTGAATTCGGTAATTTTCGTTGTGCGCGTCGTATTCTACGTGAAATTTTAGTTACGAATCATGTATCAGAATGCTGAAATTCGTACCTTGTCTAGTGGTCCATTCTAGTTCCTTTCATCCAATGTGTGTCAAATCTATTTGAATAGTTCAGACAAATCCGAAATTATTCGTCGCTGAGAATCGTTGCTGAATTTTGCGCGTGACGCGCAAAATTCAGGCATCGGGCCGATGACTTACACATTCAAGCCACATTCAGCTCCCACATTCAGCGTGTGATTGCGGCATAAGCTGTATTACAAAGTATTGAAACTAATAGCAGAATAAAATGAAAATATTGATTTTTAGAGGGCAAAATTTTATTGCATCATACCTTTTGAGATTGGCTCATCGTTGGAGGACGTACCCATTTCATCAAATGCTTTTTGATTTATAATTGTTCTGTTTTGAATGGTCTTCAGTTTTAGGCCGTCCATCACTTCGGGACATTCTCCTTTGAGAAAAGCGTCTGCCTTCTTCAAGGCCTCTTTGGCACTCGGCTCATCGGACGAACTGAGATCTCGCAAAATTTCACCTGTCAACATAAAGCGTACAACTTCCTTACTATACTGGAAAATATAATTGAAATATCTGATGGATTATCGAGTACATAAATCATTTTTGTTGTCAAATGTATCTTACCATACACTGGAAAAAAAACACATTGGATCTAGAGTCCACACTCTTGAAAACATCGACAAGAAAAAATACTCTTGATTCAATCAGATTTAAGTTTAAATCAAGAACCAAGCCTCTTAATTCGAGCGAATTTCCTTTGATTTAAGCTTAAATCTGATTGAATCAAGAGCCCTTTTTCTTGTCAATGTTTTTAAGAGTCTGGACTCTTTATTCAATGTGTTTTTTTTGCCAGTGTATTATTGGTTTCGATCATATTTAGATTATAATAACGACATCTACGGAGATATAGATGGTGAGCTAATGGGAACTACGTGCATTTTGGTCAACGTCGTAGAATTTGCGTATAATTTAATCCCAATGAACAAAAAGCCAACGTTTTAACGCACTGTATTTCGGAAGATTTATCAAAGCGAGACCGAAACATGTCTACAGAAATCTTGATGGCTTTATTGTTATGTTTCTTCTTTTCATTTTTTTTCCTCATACGAATTTTTTTTCTCATCAGTTCCCTATAAACAGACTGAGAGCGGTTTCAGTCGCTCTTGTGCTTACAGAAAGTGTACATGCGCATTTTAATCCGACAGTTTTGAACTCTGAAAATAATAGCAAAATAACATTTTGTAAAGTAGATATTCTATTGAGGGCCCGCATTACATTCTTAGCGCCTGAACAATAGTTGGCACCCGAAAAGTAAGCGCTGTCAAGGAGGGGGGGTACCCCAGACTTTCTCAGCCCCCCTACCCCCCCTCCCCCACCTATTTTCGATAATGAGGATGACAGATATGTGAGAGATACCGGGGAAAATATTTAAAACCCACTTTTGAAAAATCATAATTTTGAACATTTTTGAGGTGCTTATTGCAACAATATTGACGCCGAAATAAAACTGGAGTTGGAAAGTAAAAGGTGACAAAAGACACGAAGAATTACATTTTAATAAACAGTTATCGACGTTTCGGAGAGAAGGCCTAAACATTTTGCGCCTATCAGAGTGTAACAGTTTGACAAAGTTCGCAAAAAGGCGTGTCTCTTGAACGGATCAAATAAACTAGCATCCTTTCCGTTATTTCTTTGAGGACGAATCGGGACCCACCAAGATTATAATACATTTGAAAGAACTTTTGCAAATAGTGTTTACAGTCTTCATTAAGGTTTTCCGACTAAATGCGAGACAATGTACTTCATGAATGTTCGAAAAGCGGAGGACTCTGCACAGTAACTTATGATGCAAATATTTTAACGCTGGTGTGAGCCGTGAGGTATCGCACGAAACGGAAGGCGTTTTTGACTTGTGACAACAGTTTGACATAGCTCACCATAATAACTCGTGCCTAGCATACGGATCATACAAGCCCGTATCCCTCCCATCAGTTCTTTGGCCGAGCCAGGACCTACCAAGATACAATATATTTGATAGAACATTTGCAAATAATGCTGACAGTTAACACAAAGGCTCCATTCCGACCAAATGTCAAACAACATACTTCATAAATGTTCGGAAAGTGGATGAGGAATTTGTACGGCAATATATGATACAAATATTTTAACTCTGGTGTGAGCGGTGGAGTATCGTTACGTGAAGTTGAGTACGTAATGTTGGCACAAACTCCAATTTGATTTCTTCGCTTTGATCGTGTGTCCGAGCTCAGCGCTAATGAGCATCAGCACAAATATTAGATGGACTAATAGACTGAAGATCACCACAGTGAAAATGAACGATCATTAACTCACCAATAGCATCAACTTTGCAGTTAAAATTGTCAAATTCTTCCTCTAAAAGTGTGTTCGAAGCCATTTTTCATCCAATGCGCACTTCGGTTTGTAATAAACAACAAAAAGTTACCATGACAACGTGGCAATGGCTGGACTTGCCTGCTATCCAAATAGGTGCCCGGCGTATTTGCTAATGCCGCAATCAGACGCTGAATTTAGCAGCTGAATGTGGAAGTCAACAGTCATCGCCCAACGGCTGAAATTTAGCAAATTCGAGTTATTTTCATCCGGATGTGTATTAAATCTACTCGAATTGTTCAGACAAATTCAAAATTGGTCCGATGGTTGCTGAGAATCGTTGCTGAATTTTGCGCGTCACGCGCAAAATTCAGGCATCGGGCCGATGACTTCCACATTCAAGCCACATTCAGCTCCCACATTCAGCGTGTGATTGCGGTGTAAGGCTATCATGCAATGTAAACGATGCAACACCTCAATATCCAAAATGGTGATTAATTTTTAGCGCACGATGTCTTGCAGTAAAACTCAATAAATGAAGGGGCGAAGAAAAAAGGAGGGGAAATGTGTCTTTTTCGAAAGTTTGCAATATCTTGAGTCAGATGACATAAACGAACTCCAAACTCGTCCAGAAATGGACTAAATTCGATACAATTTCAATTAAATTTAATTTTGCTGCAACTACAATTCCTAGCTCAATATCGAAACGACGTATGTACCATCTCGACGGTGTAAGTTGGCAATCACATAACTCGGTTTGCGACGTCGCAGACTTCCTATCATACTTTAAATTTTAAACGGAAAACTACTCAACGGTAATTCTTTAAAACTTCCGTGATTTTTCTTCTATGTGCGAGGAAAATTCTGCAAAAACTTCAAGGAATCATGTCCATTTGTTCTCCTTTAAAAAAATAACATAGTGGCGGAGATTTTCAGACACCGCAAACGAGTTATGTGATTGCCGACTTACACCGTCGATCAGTTTCCTAATACACATAAGTGTTTTTTAAGGATAAGCCAGAGATTGAAGTTCTTTCCTCCGAACGGAACGTTTGGCTCACTCGATTACATTGCTTAGAGTGTCGGCGAGGGTTCTCCACAACATATTGTCTCCGATCGCGGCGCCTGTGAGAAGCCTTCATGGATGGATACGCAACCACGGTCGAGGTTACCTCCAGCTCCTCGATTGTTGAATCGTTATCGAATGACCTTGATCGATATATAGCATTGTTAAGATAGGGATCTATCGATCAGAAGCATTCGATAACGATTCAACAATCGACCCGCAGGAGACGTGCCGTGAAGTCATCTTGACGTCATGCAATTGATCGTTGTTTTTCACCGACACGTACACTATTTCACGGTTTCGTTGATGTGTCCCATGCCTCTTCTTCTCTCGATCAAAGACACTCCGTCTGGGGTCGCCTAAGGACGGTTATGAGATTTCACGCTACCTCAAAACCTCGAGATCCCTCGGCCAAACTTGACCTCCGAGCTCGATCCACGAGAAAAATGAAGATCAATAACTAATTTAAGGTGATTCGATGGACGACATATTTTGCGTCAGAAAGACATGCGATATATCGTCACCTTCCAGGCAAAGTATCACAAGCGCCATGCGACGTTTAAAAATTTCCGCCGCCATTTTATTTCTTTACTGAGAAATTGTTGGTTGAATCTGTTTGGAAATTTCACTAAATTTTATCGGCAGCACAAAGAAAATTCAGTGAAATTTTCGGACAGCTTCGTTGAACAATTTCTCTGTAAAAAAATAAAATGGCGGCGGAAATTTTTAAACGTCGCATGCCGCTTGTGATACTTTGCCTGGAAGGTGACGATATCGCATCAATTGGTTCCATTTTTTCAGCTACTCGTCATTTTTCTCGAATTTTGAGATCGCAATTCTGTTGTCAGGAGACTAAAGCACTCACTTACCAATTTTAACAAATAAATTCAACGTAATAAAGCCGTGGTTTTTTAGAGAGAAAATATCGCATTCGAGTGCAGTTTCGATATCAGTATCGAATGCGATGTTTTCTCTTTAAAAAAACCACGCCTTTATTACGTTGAATTTATTTGTTAAAATTGGTAAGTGAGTGCTTTAGTCTCTTGACGATAGAATTGCAATCTCAAAATTCGAAAAAAATGACGAGTAGCTGAGAAAATGGAACCAATTGATGCGATTTATCGCATGCCGTTCTGACACAAAATATGGCGTCTATCGAATCACCTACAGCTCCTTCAACTTTCATTCCTTTTCCCATTTAGTACGTGCGTCAAAAGCAGTTAGCAATCCGCGGCAATTTGGACACACCTTGGAGGTTGCCTCGATAAACAGGGCCGGATTGAGGGGGTGGCCACATCGGCCGCGGCCCATGGCGGCAAAATTAGGGGCGGCAAATTTTGCAATTTTTTTAAATGCAGGTACAAAAAATCAGATTCAGAAAAAAATTACAAACATGAAAAGGTGACAAAATCTCTCATTTCCTGAGAGTTCATTAATTTCTAATTTTGTCGTATTTCGGTGATACAAAAGACTGCGCACCTTTAATTAGTTGATTTAAGAAAGAAACCAAACACGTAATTTGGCCTAGAGCGGCGCGGCGCAAAGAGAAATGATGACGAGGACTTGAGATGAAAAGGAGAAGCCCTCGACGCGGCGCGGCGGTCGGCATGTAACACATATTAGCGCCTACGAGACTGCATGAATACTTCACGCATTGCGTCAAACACAGTACGGTCAACAGCAGCGGTCGGCGCGGCGTGAAACGCACAGTGCCCACAAGACTACATGAATACTTCACGCATTGCGCCAAACACAGTGAGGTCAGCGCGGCACGGCGCCGGCGGAGGTTTTTAATTATTAAACCACATTTATGTTTGTTCTTTCTTAATTTTTTAGTTCATTTCTTACAAGTGAATGGCCTTGTCCCCACAGAGATAGGTTTTCGGAACTGAACTTTTGCGCGAAGTTCTGTGAACTTCTGCTAGTAGTGTTGACAGGGCGTACGCAAAAAATGTGTCCAACACGAGTGAACGCATCTTATGCACCCTTCTCCCTCCGGCACGTTCACTTGATGGTTTTTATTGATGTTTCAAAATGAATGAGAAGAGGGCCGCAAAATACAGGCGGCCTATGGGCGGCAAGTGGGTAAATCCGGCCATGTCGATAAACCCAGTGGTGTGGCGTGCTGTGCGATATATCGATTGATCTGCCATTTAAACCTATGGGAAAAGATCGATAACGAGGTGTTCACAACGAACGCCTTAATAATCGACTTTTTACCATAGCTTCAAATAGGGGAATATCGATAATCGATCATTCACGCCTCGCCACTGGATAAATCGTATCGATATTTCATGTGAGGAAAGATTTAATTGATAATGGATTTTGAAAGTACGGAACCGACTCGGAGCGCCTTCACTTCCTAGGATACTCTACGCCACGCAGTTACTTCAGTTGCCTATCGGACCCAAACCGAACAAAGGACTGATTTCATTACACGTTTTAATAGTAGGTAAAATGTATCAAGAGCTACCATACACTCGGGGAGAAGTCGAAGAGAAGAAGTTTCTTTCCACTCAGTCAAAATAATCAACATTTCTTCATTTTACTCAGAATAATGGTAAAACAAGGCTGACAAAAGACAAGGAAATACACTTCGACGGTGAAACTACCAAACCACGTATCTCGTTTGCGGTGTTTAAAAATCTACGCTCACATTTTATTTTTTTGAAGTAGAACAAATCAATATCATTCCTTGAAATTTTCACGGAATTTTCTTCGCACAAAGAGGAAAAATCACAAAAATTTTCAAGACTGGATGTTAAGTAGTTTTTCATTTAAAAAATAAAGTATGACAGGAAGTCTGCGACGTCGCAAACCGAGATACGTGGTTTGGTAGTTTCACCGTCGACTTTAGATTGAGATCGAAATCGGCAAAAAGTAGATACCTCAAACTTTCTTTGCGTTATTTGTTATCCTCATGAGTGGTTTCACGATAACTGGAATAGTTTTGTTGCCGTAACAGACAACACATTTTTCGGTCATATTTTTAGTAGTAATGATAATCACTGGATTTTTTTTTTGCATTTACACGTTTTAATAGTAAAATGTACCAAGTTCTACCATATCGACGGTGAAACTACCAAACCACGTATCTCGTTTGCGGTGTTTAAAAATCTACGCTCGCATTTTATTTTTTTAAAGTAGACCAAATCAATATCATTCCTTGAAATTTTCACAGAATTTTCTCCGCACGAAGAGGAAAAATCTCAGAAATTTTCAAGACTGGACGTTAAGTAGTTTTTCATTTAAAAAATAAAGTATGACAGGAAGTCTGCGACGTCGCAAACCGAGATACGTGGTTTGGTAGTTTCACCGTCGATATACACTCGGGGAGGAGTCGAGGAGAAGACGTTTCTTCCCACTCAATCAAAATAATCAACATTTCTTAATTTTACTCAGAATAATGGTAAAACAAGACTAACAAAAGACAAGGAAATACAATTTAGATTGAGATCGAAATCGGCAAAAAGTAGATAACTCAAACTTTCTCTGCGTTATTTGTTTTCTTTATTGTCTTTGTTCTTGTTCATTTGTTTTTATTGCTATTGGTGAAGGCCTGATGGATTTTCGGAGTTTCACACCTGTCCATACTCTCGCTGTACAGGCACTTTACCAAACTCCAAAAACGTGCGCTAACATGTCGGTTGCAATTCTCGCGGGAAAATGAGCAATGAATGATCATGGGTTTTTCGGCTGCTATATCAAGAGCGAGAAAATTTATTCAGACGCTGAATCTGCAAATGTCGAAGCAGATGGCAATACAAATTCGTTTATTAGAATATGGTATCTGAGACGCGGGCCCCGGGATGCTCCTCAAATAAATTGGGAGTTAACGAATTCAGATGCAAATGGTATCTCAGCTGGAGATCGGAGGGCGTCATTTCGGATCATGAAAATGAGACAATGAAGCGGCGAATTAGCCGTTGCGGCGGTCGATACGCTCCGAACAAAAGGTGGAATGCGTCAGGTTAGGGAAAGAGAAAAAATTAATAAATAAAAAAGAAGTTAATTT